ATTGGCTACTTCAAGAGATTGACAACTGTTTCAATGAGACTACCTCTCAATTGCTTGTTTGTTCAGCTTCTTTTAGTCCTAGAGATTCATTTCATGATTTTAATGTGGACAATTTGGTGAGATTAGCAAAAATGTATCCAGCTGACTTTACTCCCTCGGAATTAAGAGAAATTAGCCATCATCTTTCTCTTTATATTGTTGATGTGCGAGAAGATGATAGATTCTCTAATATTTTATCCAATCGCAGCGGTGATAAACACTTGTGTCATAGATTGATTTGCTATATGGAGAAAGAAGAAATGAAGAAAGTTACTAATGAACAAGTGGTTCTTGAAGATGACCACCCTCAAATATGATAAAGTTGAATAGGTAACTATTTTTATTTATATCAAATCATTTCATGACTTATTCTTTGTTGATAATTAAACTACACCTCTCTTTGTTAAGGTCATTGTTGCATGGAGGAATGAAGATGGTGACATCACATTTCGCATGATATACTCATATGTTTTGGGAATAGAGGTCTTTTGTCTAAGTTTACACATTATCAACTATTCAACTTTACAAATATTATTATCAGTTGGTTTCTTCGTTATGGTATACATTTTTTAAATTTTTCCATGCACTTTCTTGTTGTATATTGCCATTAATTAGAGAGATGATGCTTATATGTATTGGGTATACAACTATTCAGTATAATATAGTTCTAAAACTATATATGTCGGTATTACTTAAAGAAAGTTAGGAACCCCCCCCCCCTCATTTTTCTCTAGCTCCGCCCCTGCGTCCTGAGGAGGCCGCGCTGCCCCTGCCGGCCAACCGAAGAGCTCTCGCAAACTATAGCTTCTCGCTCGCGCCTATCCATGGTATCGCCGTCTTTCTGATAAGTTATGGTTGAATGGTGTGTTTGAGATAATAAAATAGGTGTTCTAATTATTGTAGTTTGGATTTTTTTTTTTCAGAAATTTGAGTACTGGGCAATTCATTGTTGTGGAAAGCAATGGCGGAACTTGATAGCAAGATACCTGAAATTGGTTTGAGGTTCAGAAATCCAGATGAGTGTTGGTTGTTTTGGGTGGCATATGGCGGCCGTACTGGCTTTGATGTGAGGAAAAGATGCACAAATGTAAGCAAAATGGATGGTAAGGTGACTTCATGCAGGTATGTTTGTTCCAATGAAGGTCATCGAACAAAAAGGCAAACAGAACATGTAACAAAGTGTTTTAGAGCTGAAACAAGAACTGATTGCAAAGCTCGGATGACTATTTCGTTGGATCGAGGTGCAGGAAATTATGAAGTCACTGATGTTGTACTTGAACACAACCATCTACTCTACTTACTAGAGACCTTCCACTTGATGAAATCACAACGGAAAATTTCAGAACTCCAAGCTTTCGAAATAGAAACAGCTGATGATTATGGTATTAGGCCAAAAGCTGCCCATGAGTTGGCCACTCGTCAAGTTGGTGGGACACTTAACCTTAGCTACACTTGTCGTGACCACAAAAATTATTTGCAAGGCAAGCGTTAGAGGGAATTGGCTTTTGAACAGGCATGAAGTATGTTGAAGTATTTCCACGATAAAATTGCCGAGAACCCATCTTTTCAATATGCGTTGCAGCTGGATTGTGAGGAGCATATTACCAACATATTCTGGGCTGACTCTAAGATGGTCCTCGACTATGCACACTTTGGTGATGTTGTCACATTTGACACAACTTTTGGGACAAACAAAGAATATAGGCCATTTGGTGTTTTTCTTGGGCTCAATCAGTTTAGAGAAACCACTATTTTTGGTGCTACACTTCTATTTGATGAAACATAAGCATCATTTACATGGTTGTTTGAGACTTTTCTAGCTGCACATAATGGAAAGCAACCTACAACTATTTACACGGATCAAGATGCAACAATGGGAAAAGCCATAAAGATAGTATTCATAGAATCATATCATGGACTGTGCACCTTTCACATAATGCAGAATGCTGGCAAGCATTTTTGTCTCCAATGAAGGGTAAAGAGGAAGATGAAGGTGAAGAGAAAGATAAAGGTGAAGAGGAAGACGAAGGTGAAGAGGAATCTCATATTCTCTCTGATTTTAGTGCTTGTATGTTTGGCCACGAAGATGAGACATCATTTGAAGAAGAATTTCAGATTATGAGATCCAAAGTTCATAAGCAAACTTGGTTAGATAGCATTTACAAGGTGAAAGAGAAATAGGTTGAATGGTATATGAGAGATGTCTTCAGTTTAGGAGTGAGAAGTACATAGCTAAGTGAGAGCTTCAACAATGCATTTAGAACCATTTGAAATTAGATTTTGATATCATTTGATTTCTGAAGCATTTTGAGAGGTTAGTGCAAGAGAAAAGAGATAAGGAACTAGAGTCTGAATTTGAGGCAAGGAAGAAGCTACCGAGAAGACTAATGTGCACACCTATGTTGGTTCAAGCAAACCAAGTGTACACTCCAGTTATTTTTGAAGCTTTCCAAAGTGAATATGAAAAATCCATGGTTGTATGCGTTAGAGTTTGGATGGAGAACACAAATATGCTGATGTTGTTGGGAATTTGCTTGGTGAGCTTAGTTTTGAGGTGGAGTACATAGTGATCGGTGATCCTCGAAACCAAAAAGCTTCATGTAGTTGTAGAATGTTTGGAAGGACAGGAATATTATGTGCACATGGTCTGAAAGTTCTTGATCTAATGAATATAAAGAAATTGCCACCACGTTATATCTTAAAGAGATGGACTAGAGAGGCACGCAATGGAAATATACAAGATAGGCAAGGAAGGAATGTGGTAGCAAATCCAAAATTGGAAGCTCAACTACGGTACAAGTTTATGTCTCATAAGTTTCACAATTTGGCACATAAAGTAGTTCACTCTCTAGAATGTTGTGTAGTATTAGAAAATGCACTTGATTGCCTTTGTACACAGCTAGAGGAGAAACTCAATTTAATATCTGCTGGTGGTACAAATGAGCCCTGCGAGGACAAAGAAAATGTTGACCCAAATGCGCAGCAAAGAGATGATTTGCTTAGTGATGCACAACTAAAGAAGGAGGTCCAGTCAAACTACTCAAGGAGAACTAGAACTTGGATTGATAAGCTACGCAAGGGGAAGCGCAAGAATCCTAAATGTACAATACCAACAAAAAAAGGGAGTAAAGGTATATCATATGCAAGCTACTCATCTATGTATGTTGTTGCCAAAAATTGCTTAACTAATTAATTGACTTCTCATTGGCAGAAACAAAAGAAAAAGAGTAAATTTCACAAAACCCCAGGTATTGGGGTATCCGTTGCATAAAACCCCGGTTATTGTGATTTGTTTCATGAAACCCCATGTTTTGAACCAAAATATTTCAAGAAACCTCATATTCATGTAAAATACTCATATTTTATTATTGAGTAAATTTCACAAAACCCTAGGTATTGGGGTATCCGTTACATAAAACCCTGGTTATTGTGTTTTGTTTCACGAAACCCCATGTTTTGAACCAAAATGTTTCATGAAACCTCGTATTCATGTAAAATACTCATTTTATTATTACATAAGATTATTTTTTAATCAATTCACATTAGTTGGCTAAAAGGACATATTCTTCTTGTCTACTTCATTTTTTTCTCAATTTTGCGCTGGAAAAGCTTAACATAATATCTGCTGATTATAATATAATAATAGGTTAAATATACACATGTGATCAAAACATGATTATCAACGCTTGTTAAAAAGCAACTAACATTACAGATGTACTAAAAAGTATATCATATATTCTTTTTACAATTATTATAGATAAATATATTAGTCAAATAAACGATGTAAGTTTGTACCTGGGGTTTTATGGAACATTTTACTCTAAAACCTTGGGTTTCATGAAACAAATTGCAAAACCCGGGGTTTTTTGTAACGGAAGCCCCAAAACACGGGGTTTTGTGAAATTTACTCAAAGAAAAATGATGCTTTACAGTGACAACAGGTACAAATGAAGGATGATGGCGGCCACAAAGGAAAAAATGTGGTGCTTCAACAATACAATATCATTAGTGATTTTACCCAGCTTGTGACAGTACCAAGTTGTGATGATGATATTCTTTGTGATCAAGATCTGTTCCAGCCTTTGCAAGATGGTTACATGGCTTTTGTACAGGATGGCTTGATATCTTTTGGGCAAGAATGATATATGCCTTTTCGATAGGACTAACTATAGTTTTTTTGTGGTCTCTGTTTAGTATTTTGGACAAGGCCAACAATAATATTTTGTGGCCAAATTGTACAAGTGAATATGGCCTACCCTTAGAATAGTTGTTCTATATGCTCCACAAACTTGTTTAAATGACATGTATGATCCAAAAACTTATCTCACAACATTATCAACTTCTATATGGCTGTTTCCAAGTTTCTGTGTTGTCTGAATGCTCCAAGTTTCAAGTTCCTATATTGCAATTTTTCATCTCTCCATCCATCAATTATGGGGACATGCTGTCAATTTTTTTAGAAAATAACATCACAAAAACTCTGCATGCTTCTTCCAAGACAAAGATCATGGCCAAACAGATATCAGCTCATGTGCAGTTGATGTACAGAGTAAATACTCATTTGATTGGGAGATTAAGGTGAAATCAGAAGCAAAGAGAAATATGCGGGCAAATGAAGCTTTATAACTTCTGCAAGTCCCAGCAGGATAATGGTAGGAATAGGATGGCATGATGACATGATGTAACACATGAACTGAAACACTTTGAGATCAGAAAACACAAGAATTCAGTTATAGTTTCAGGTTTAACAAGAGAACATAAGCAATGTATGCGTTTCCATCTGAATGGAATCCAATACTACAGAGGCTAAAAGAATACTGCATCAATTGGCTCATCACCTAGGACCTCGCCGACATGGCATCTCCCTGCTGACTTAACCATGGCAATCTTACAAATATATTCCACAGAAAGGGACTCAAACCTGATGATGCACCTCTGTAGCTCCAAATAATCCCAACCCCTATGAAATGTAGTCACTTTACTGCCTAAAAGATTCCCACAATACATGACAAATTGGACCCCTAGTAGATTTAAGGCAAGGCCAAGGATTGTTCACCCCATCAGCTAACAAATTCCATCATATAGAATGCAGATATACACTATCCGATTACAGCGAAGCACCAGAGACATAACAGGAGGAGCAAAAGCAAGTTGTGTCGAATTAACAAATTCTAGCATTGCATTCGACAAAATAAACTCACAAAGATAGAAAAAGACTACTTTTCACTGAACTGTCATTGATAGGATCTGGCGTGCCAGCCCAGGGTCCTGCTGAAGTAGCTCTCTTATGTTGTTCTCCACTTCTGCCAACTGCTTCTCAAGATATTCCTTGGAAGTCTGGTTCATATGAGTAATAAATAAGTCAGGAACTCTCCCTCTTCTAGAGTTTCGACATGTTAAAGGTAAGAAACATATCTAGAGGTTCAAGCATACCTGCATCGATGCTATTGCACTTTCACTGTCATTAAGCTTTTGTTCTTGCTCATTCAGCAGGAGTGATTTTGGCTCCAAAATAAATCTAGAAATAAATAAATGGGGGTAATAAGGAAACACATGGAATCATTATTACAGGGCACCACATATACAAGAGCATGAAATTGACTTTCCAGGCCAGAAGTGATATTGAGTTACTTACACTTTACCTGCAAACAAAAGGAGAAACCATTAAAACCAGAAAGGAAGATATAATTTTATTTACTGTAATTTGGATAATATACTTAGAATAAACCTAATTTCAATTCATGATTACATCATGATGAATAGCAAAACTAAATCACTAGCCTAGTAATCACGTAAAGCAAGACAGAACGAATGATGCACCAAAGATGTTTAATGATTAAGATGATGTAACTATTGATTACAAAGAGTCTTTAAGATGATGCGCTAGTGCTACAACCACAAGATATCAAGAAACTCAGTACAGTGTTCACATGTCACCACTGGTCAACTGACAAGGTAACTACAAAAGGCACAGATTAAGTATGTGAACAACTTTTCTGATCACATTTCATGATATGATTATCCACTAAATATTAGAGGATATTTAATGATTAAGATGATGTAACTATGACTACAAAGACTGTTTAAGATAATATGCTACAACCACAAGGTATCAACAAACTCAGTACAGTGTTCAGATGTCACCACTGGTCAACTGACAAGGTAACTACAAAAGACATAGATTATGTATGTGAACAACTTTTCTTTTCTGGTCACATTCCATGGTATGATTATCCATTAAATATTAGAGATCTCTCAAAAAATCAGAATGTGTGAACCAACTATATATTGATGTAAATAAGAATGCCACTTGATCAACAAGTTCCATCGTTCGGTACTAGAGATGAGTTTAGCATTATCGTCCTATGAGCAAGCTAGCCCAAAAGGCCACTCTTTGACTCAACCAGAAAAACAAAAAAGAAACATATGTAGCCCCTTGACTTCAGATAGCAAAACAAGATTATATAGTGAAAGAGAATTCTTTCTTACCAACAGTCTTGTAAGTGTTTGTATTATCTGGCAATTGGCGAAGTTCCTCCAGTGTGAGGTAAGCACGCTTCTTTTCACCCTCTTTAGAGCGCATCTGAGTTTGCAACTGATAAAAAAACAGCATTGTTATATTAGAGGTTATGTGTCAACAATGCTTTGGCATCCATGAGATGCGTTACGAAGGAAATTCCTGAAAGAAACTTCCAACATATTGACAGCACTCACAAAGCATGGAGCAGGGTTTCACAGAAACCTATATGGATAGATAGAAGAAAGCTTGAAACAAAACAAACCCCTAGCTACCACAACATCCACAATGATTGAAACCCAGAAAGGCAAAAAAAAAAATAATAATTCAAACCATTTATCCTTATTTACAATCTAGAAAATACCTGTAAACATTTTCTTATATTGCAGAAGGGCAAAAAACAATTACTTACAGGACTGAGTAATAATGTTCTGCCCATCAAACAGCTAACTTCTATTTTAATAATCTAAACAGCCATGAACCATCATATTATACATTTCTTTGTGGCAACAGAAAATTGAAATCATAGTGTGAAGAAAATACGTAGGAGTAACAGAAGATGTTGCACCCCATTCCCACTTTCATTAAGGAAAAGCATTTCACGATAAAAGTGTCGCGCTATTGTTCCCTCATTAAGAAATACATGGAATATGGCGAAATGGTTGTTACATATATGATTTTTTTTTGCTTGCATAAAGTTTTAGCAACGTAAAAATACACCCAATATATCTCAACAGAGTAATTATAATTTGAAGTAAAGCCAAAGCAGCTTGACCCTGACATTGACAATTGTCCTTATCTAGGAAATCTTTGTTTCTGGAAATTATGTGATATATACCATAGAGAGACATAGGAGTTAGATGCAACATGGAAAACTGTGGTGGATATCCAGTCAAGGCAGTCAAGTAAAAGTATGAAGGGTCAAACCTATCTGGCCCTAAAACTACAAATGAGAAAAAAAACCATAACAGTTCATATTAATAAGGGCCCGAATCTGCGACCACCAAACCAATGGCCGATAAGAGTTATAGTATGCACTAAGAGAAAAACTAGTACTTTGAGTTGCAAAGCATAACAACAAATAGATTACAATACTTCGTGATTGATTAAAAATCTCATGATATACATGGTCCAGAAGAACTCCAAAAGTCCAAATGCAAGAAAACCTTGGCATATTCACCTGCAGTTTGCAAACAAACACGATTTCCAACTGGTTTCCCTTCCCTTGAATGATCCTAAATCAAGATCAACTGAAACTAATTTAGCACATTATTCCATTCATCAGCTAAGATGTTCCTTCCAAAATCAACTACATAAGAACTTAATTATTTTGTGGGATCTCAACTTTGATGCCGAAATCGGAGCCCTTTATTTTGGCAAGGATCAAAGCTCCTGTAGTTTTTCCACATGAAAAAGACCCAAAAGTTGGAACATTTTGCTGGTTGATGCAGTTAAATATGCGCATGGCCTTGAGTTAACAAGCGCACAAAACGTATGAAGTAAGGCTACATCCGCAAACTGAAGTGTCGCCTCTGAAAATCAAAGCTACAAGCTTTTGAAGTAGCACAGCAATTCGTAGATGCATCGAAAAAAAAAAAGCGTCGACATCGTCAACAGATCAACCTAAAAACCATCATTCGCGACAAGATTCAACTAGCGACGGCACAGGACGAACACTACGAAAGCATCCCCAGTCCACGGAACAAAACAAGGACCGGAGCACCAAATAAATTAGAGATGGGATAATAAACGTTTAGATGCAAGAACGAGCTAGTTCCACGGGGAAAGGGGAATGGGAGGGGGGGGGGCAGCGAGCTCGGACCTGCTTGATCTTCCCGGTGGTGTCGATCATCCGACCCTGCAGCTCCACGAAAGCCTGCACGACGCAGCGCGGCAAAGCAAACGGGAGTTAGAAGACCACCACCACTACCGCGAGCGCGACGGAAACCACTAGGAAACTCAAACAAGGGCACGCTCCCTTGCTCGCCGCGGCGAGATCCGGCGGCACGGGCGCAAGACGGCAACTCACTCACCGCTCGGTTGGCTTCGTCCGCCATGGTAGGGGAGTGGAGAGGAGCAGGAGCCGAGAAACCCTAGCCGCCGGCAAGGCGGAATCGAATCGGGAAGGGGGCGACGTCGAGAGCGGCGATGCGGCGGCGCTGCTCGGTGGCTACCTGTACCAGTTCTCTTTTTTGGGGTGCTTTGGGCTCAAACCCAAATTCTCCAGCCCATATAGAGTTATTTGTTTCAAGGCAAAGAGGTTTATATTTCCTTACTCAACTATCTCGTCGTCTGAATCGTACTGTATGATTTTAGTCACAATTAAATAGATTATTCTTTTAAATAAAACGAATGGTGAAACCTATCTTAAAAACAACGGCGTCATATATTAAAAAAGATGGAGTACTTTAGAGGGTGGCTTCATACTATGTAAGGCTAACCTGAGACTGATGTGTTGTCTACATAGTGCTTTGATTATACTACTTTGTTTCAAAACAAAAAATAATAACAGAATGTATAGGTCTGTTTTTAGAAGTACTTTCATAAGTTTGCTGTGTTCGGGAGGCTACACCTTAACGCACACAAATTCCCACCAGTGTCGGTTGGGAGAATCCTCATTTGTGTTAGATTCCCAACCGGGTACAACACTTGTGGCACTGATGATATGGAGCACATCAGTGCTAGAAGTGAGAATTGATACGGAAAAAAATTACGAATATACTTATTTTTTTAATAATTTATGTTTATATACCAAGACAGATTCGTAAAAATATACCCGTTCCGCAGAATAGAAACGCGGGACTGCGACAGTTCCGCAGCTCCAAAACGCGGACATCGGTCCCGCGTAACGGTCGCACGGTACCTCGACGGTCCCGCGGTTTCAAAACGCCGGGGCAAGTTGGCTAGCGATTTATTCACTGAGTTGGCACTGTTCAACACTGTTTGGGGGTACTGTTTGCACTATTCGGCACTGTTGCGGCCTGTTTAGCACGGTACCGCGCGTGAACCTACAGTACCGCGCGTGTGAACGGTGTCAAATAGTTTCAAACAGTATTGAAACAGAGCTAAACAACGATAAAAATCGCAGGCCGCCTCGCTGCCGCATTTTGTACCTGCGGGACCGTCACGGTCCCACGCGACCATTCTACGGGACCGACGGTCCCGCGTTTTGGAGCTGCGGGACCATCGCAGTTCCATGTTTCCGTCCCGCGGGGCAAGTATATTTTTACAAATCTGTATATAAACGTAAATTATTAAAAATATAGTATATTAACAAATTTTTTTCGAACTGGACTGAGCCAAAAAAAAAACACTAAGCCGGCTAGCCGGCTCAGAATGAATCAATAAAGCTTGAATCACAAAATTAATTATGTTTGAAGTACAGAAACTGAAAATTCATATATTCAAATTAACCGTGTGGCATATATACTAAATCACATAGAAATACAGATTCAGTGGTAGCAAAAAAGCAAAGGAATCTCAACTTGAACAAAATTAGAACATTAATCACATCACACCACTGCCGCGCTGCTCGCCGAGGCCAAGGTCACCGGCGCTGCCGCTGCATGACTTTCAGTGTCTTGTTTTTTTCTTATTCTAATAGAAAAGATATGGTGAAAGTTGCACGTTAAAAACCATGAAAATATCAACCATCATATACTTAATCAAGAGAGTGAGGGAGGTAGCAGATCAATTACATGGATATCACATCAGTCAATAGTCTAAACTAGATATGATGTACATGGCAATTGGCAAATACTACGTGCATGAAAGAGCACTAAGAAATTAACCAATATTCAAACGGTCAATTGATTAGATTAGTTTGTTTCTATATATAGATTATAGAGTCTACATGCATAGACACTACTATCTAGAGCAATCTTCCAGTAGTTTGGTCAGTCGTCCTGTGCTCCGTCGTCGTTGCCGCCTCATCGGGACGTCGATGGCCGGGTTCCCCGTGGCGGTGGTCGCCGTCGTAGGTGACGATGAGCATGGCCGGCTCGCCGGGGTCGCGCTCCACGTGCTTCCGCGCCGGGCACCCGCGCACCGTGCTGCACTTGTAGTACCCGCTGCAATATGTAACGTACGTATAGTACGTGGAGTCAGTGTCCGCCGTCGGAATATCTCTCCATCGCACGGTCAGATATTCAGAAATCGATGTGTTACCGTGGATAAGGCGAGCCTTTGATGGGCTTCTGGCCGTACTTGCGCCACGAATAGTCGTCCGCCGGGATGTCGGCGTTCCGTGAGCTGATCGCCGGCACGCGGATGCGCCGCCTCGCCCTCCACGACGCCTTCCTGCAAGTTCATCACAGAATCGTTAATGTCGTTTTGGAGCAAATCGATCAAGTCCTTGCAGCCGTGCAGGTGTGTGTGTTTAATCACCGTTTTTTCTTGGAGCAGTGGCAGCGCTCGCCGTCGTCGTCGCTGCTGCGTTTGAGGCGGCCATCAGAAGCATAATCTGAAGCAGACTGCATTGGTGGCGGCTTGTCGCCGTCGCCTGCCGCCGGGAGCACCGCGCGGGCGTTGGACACGCTCCCATCGCCGGTGACCCCCGTCACCGACGACGGGAACGACGAGCTGGCCGACGCGCTGAGCCCGTCACACCGCACGACCGCATCCCTCGCCGCCGCCGCCGCCTCATCCTCCTCCTCCTGCACGACGACGGGGGCGGCGCGGCGGAAGCGCGCGTGGCCGGTGCGGTTGAGCATGGACGCCACCGCCGTCCTCAACCTGGACGGCGTCGACACCAGCTGCCCCGCGGTGCCACCACCCTGCTCGCCGCCGCGCGCCGCCGCCGGGAACGGATCCGCCATGGCGCGCGATCGCGGCGAGAAGCAAGCAAAGCAAAATTGAAGCTTAGCCAAGAACTGGACGTACGTACGCGTCGTGTATCGTAGCGCGCTCGCGCGTGAAACGGAATGGGGGGAAACGTAGAACGGCGGGAGAGGGCGGGTTTGTAGGGGCGCGACGCGACGCGACGCGCACCGGTCAGAGAGCGGACTGGTTCGAGTCAAAAGCGAGTGAGGGAGACGGCTGGATCGATCGGACGGCGGGGAAGGGTTACCTGGTGCCGCGTGGGGGGGCGATTCGACGGCGAGGATTAGCAGGCCGGCCCGGCCGGTGGTGCGCCTCGGCCGAACGAACGGGCTGATGTTTACGGTTCCTTTACGTGGACGTGAAGTTTGACCGAAGCAGTTTGACCGTGATTAGCCAAGGACAATGCACCACGTGGAGGAAACAGCGATCCAGTGTGTTTATGTGAGGTGATATCTTTTGTTGTTTTTTTTTTTGACAGTACAACAATTTTGAGTAATCTGTGTATACATAACAGTATGATATACCAGCGATTCAAAACATAAGTTATATCTGTCTTCTCAAATCTTTAAAATATTAAGTTACCTGCCAAAAAATTAAAAGCTTTTTTAAAACTCCTAGGTGACTTTTTATATTTACTTTTTTCTTGCCAAATAAACACTACGGCTTGATCTAGTCACAAAAGAATATTGTTTGAATTTTCAAAGGCAATAAGGCATAATTTTGATTACATAATTATTTTACATATCTTTTAAATAGTCGAAAAAGTATAATAAGAGTATTATAGAAGCTTTTCTTATACAGTATCAAACTTGGCTATGTTATTCCATGTAATTTACCTATATCCAAACGCTATAGTCAAAACAATAATTATGATCAAAATTAACTCAGATTGACTACAGAATTCTAAAACGAGTTTTTTTAATCAAAGAGTGTACATTATCGACTCATTATTTCCATAAATATAGGGCAACGAAGTTATTTAGGCCATTTTCATAATTCTATTCAAGATTTCCGTATATGTTAGTGTAAAATCAAAGGTGTTTTTGATTATTATTCTGTGATGAACAATTGGGCATTGGAGATTATCGGTCTTGTTATTTGGAATTTATTTACGAAGTGGTTTTGGAGATGATCGGATTTCACAGGTGAATCTACAGGTTATCATTTTATGTGGACCGGTCAGACCGGGCTCTGGTAGCTGGTCAGACCGGTGGTATGCGCGCGGTCAGACCGGCCAGCCCGCAGTCTAACCGGTCGACACTGTGTCGGTTTCGGTTTCGGGTTGTTTATTTGGATATCCGAGTTTATTTCGTGATTATGACTTCAAGATGAATCCTATACGTATGTAATACTATTGTTTGCTGCTAATGAGTCAAGTTGGAGATAGCTTGGTCTCGGAATATGGTTTCTTTGTTTGTTCCATGTGTAGGTGACTCGATGTCTCGAGAGAGTATTTGCGGTGATGGACCGGGAGTCGGCTTGGGGATAAGACGATGTCCGTGGTGGTCAGAGATCATGCGGGATACTTAGGCTAGAGTTGATGCACGTGGTTGATGGAGATTCCATAAGGCATACGATGGAGTTATTGTGTGCGTATGGGATGCGGAGTTAAATTTGGAAGGAATTCAAATTTGATACGATTGGTTATGTAAAGATTCTTTCTTGTACTAGTAGGTTTCCTAAGGTGTTTAGGACTCCTAGTATGAGTTTGGTTCGTGGCTTTGGGCTGCCTACCTCATGTATAAATAGAGGGGGAGCGTGAGGTTTCCCGGTATCGCTTTAGAGAGCAATTGAGTTGAGTTTTGAGTTAGGGTTTCGAGTTTAGTCGAAATTTTTGCAAGGAGTGCTATTGGTGCACTTTGTAAACACAAAGAGAATCAATAAAGTCGTCATCCACTTTAAGAGTTCTTCGATTTGTGTTTACCGGGTTTCGGCGGTCTAACCGGCGATCTACCGGCGGTCAAACCGGCGGCGGCGACAGGCGACTTCGACGGTCAGACCGGAGGTTCAACACCGGTCAGACTGGCGGCATCCACTCGGTCAGACCGGCAGATCAACTTCGGTCAGACCGATCTCCGTCGATTTCGAGGATAACTTTTATTTCCTCTAAAAGTTTTTGGTTTTTGGGTATACCAACCATTCACCCCCCCCTCTAGTTGGCTTAGTTCTTGTGATTCGATCCTACAAGTGGTATCAGAGCCTTGTTTTCTTCTTTGGATTTTTATCGATCTATAGTTTTTTGCCATGGCTACTCCCGCTAGGTTTTCAACTAAGCCTCATGTTTTCGATGAAACGGATTTTTCTCATTGGTGTAGTAGGATGCAATCTTATATTATGGCTGAAGATTATGATATTTGGAGAAAAGTTTCTCATGCTTATGTGATTCCTGAAGCTATTAATACTGCTGCTGAAAAAACTGCTATTGAACAAAATTGCAAAGCTCGCAACATTCATTTGAGTGGTATTTCTCGCTCTGATTATGATCGTGTTGCTCATCTTCAAACTGCTCATGAGATTTGGGTTGCCTTGAGTAATTTTCATCAAGGAACAAATAACATTAAAGAGCTTCGTCGAGATCTTTTTAAAAAGGAGTACATTAAATTTGAGATGAAACCCGGAGAAGCTTTGGATGACTATCTTTCTAGGTTTAATAAAATTTTGAGTGATCTTAGATCTGTTGATTCTTCTTATGATGCTAATTATCCACAATTTAAGATTTCTCGTCACTTTTTGAATGGTCTCGACATGTCTATTTGGGAGATGAAAGTTACATCTATTCAGGAGTCTGTTAACATGTCTACTTTGACTTTGGATTCACTTTATACTAAACTGAAAACACATGAGATAAATGTTCTTTCTCGCAAAATTGATTCTAAATCGAGTGCTTTGGTTTCTTCTTCTTCCTCTTTAGATGTTGATGCCTCTTCATCTAAGTCGTCTTTTCTTACTGTTTAGTGCCACATCCGATGATCAACTCGAACAAATCGAGGAGGAGGATTTGGCTTTGGTTGTTAACAGAATTGCTCGAGCTATGAATAATGCCAGGAACAGGAAAAGAGGTGGTCCAAATTGTTGCTTTGAATGTGGTTCAATTGATCATCTTCGTTCGCATTGTCCTAAGCTTGGGAGAGGCAAAAGAGAAGACAAAGATGGTGAGAAGACCAACAACAACAAGCCCAACAACAACAAGTCGAAGGGTTCATACCAAGGGAGGAAGATGGAAAATCTTAGGAAGGCCTTTCAACAAGTTTGCGTCGCCTTCGAGCCACTAAGTGATGTAGATGGTGAAAGTGGAGATGATGATAAGGGAAAGAACGTCTCCGATGTTTGCTTCATGGCGCGTGGTGAATCTGACACAAAGTATGAAGATAATGAGGTGAGTGCTTTTGAGGAAGCTATTAATATTTTGAGTGCAAAAAATAAAAAGTGTGAGAAGATGTATAAAAAACAGGAATTTATCATTGAATCTCTTAAATCTGAAATTGATTATAGATTAAAATCTCTTATTCCTAATGATGATGATTGTGAAAATTGTGAGGTTTTAATGAATGAGATTTCAAAAATTAGTGATGTTAATGCTGCACATGATTTGAAAAATAGATCTTCTCTTGCTTGTAGTTTTGCTTTGCACACACGCACTTTGGATGAGTTGTTTTTAACTAAAAAGTTGTTGCAAAAATATCAAGTTGCTTTTCATGCTAGTTTGATGTTTAACATGATTTCTGCTAAAAAGTTAAAACAACCTCCTGATGTTTTGGATTGCTCAACATGTAATTTGAATAAGATGAAACTAAAAGATGCCTTAGGTCGTGTTGAGTACATGGAAGATGTTGTGAAAAATAATGAAGTGCTTTCTTGCCCTAAATGTCGTAAAAGCAAAGGTGTCATGGTAGATTGTGAAAATTGTACTAATTTGGAAAAAGAGGTTTCTTATTTGAAAAATTCTTTGCTAAGATTTTCTGATGGTAAAAAGAACCTCAACATGATTTTGGATCAATCAAAAGTTAGCACATATAACCGTGGTTTAGGTTTTAATCCTTATGCTCACAATTCTAGACATCCTCCTGTTGTGTTAGGTGTTGGTGCTAGAAGTGGTGAGATTTTGGTTAAACCTGATATTAATAAAACTATGTTTAAATCTGCTGGTATCATGTCTACTATGAGTGCATCTTCTTCAAAATCCAATGTTGTGCATACAAAATCTCCTGTTGTTGCTCATGTTGCTAAATCTAATAATGCTACCAATGTGTCTAATCATCGTGAAAAATATACTTGTTCTTTTTGTGGAAAAGATGGACATATTGCTGGTTTTTGTTTCAGATTAGCTCATAAACAGAAAAAGGAGAGAGAGATTGCTTTTGCAAAATCAAAGTGGCAAAAATCGGGTTTTCCCTCGAGAAAACCGGTCAGACCGCAGTGGGTCCCGCGGTCGGACCGGCGACCGGTCAGACCGGCTGAACAGCCTCGGTCAGACCGGGCACCGGTCAGACCGGCGGTACAGAGGCGGTCAGACCGGCCCCCGGTCAGACCGGCCACTGTACCTCGGTCAGACCGGCCTCGGAGGAATTTTTCTGAAAATTCTAAAATTGATTTTGCACATGGATATATGCCTATTGGATCTTCTGGTCGTGTGTCTCAGTACTGGATTCTTAAATTTTTATTATCTTCTAACCCCAGTACTGAGGCTTCGACTTCTGCTTGTGTGTAGGCTTTGGTGGCAAGGAAGGAGAACGTGTGGATCGTGGATTCCGGTTGTTCACGGCACATGACCGGTGATAAAAATTGGTTCTCCTCCCTAAAGAAGGCATCTAAGACTGAATCGATTATTTTTGGTGATGCTGCTACAAGTGTTGTTCTCGCTACAGGTTTGGTTAAGGTAAATGATAAATTTGAGTTGAAGAATGTAGCTTTGGTTGAGGATTTAAAGTACAATTTGCTTTCGGTTTCACAAATTGTTGATGAAGAGTTTGAAGTTCAATTTAAGAAAACTGGAAGTAAAGTTTTTGATTCTCGTGGTGATTCTGTGCTGAATATTTCTCGTTATGGAAGAGTGTTTAAAGCTGATTTTGAAAATCCTGTTTCACCTGTGATAACATGTTTGGTTGCTAAGTTTGAAAAAGATGTGATGTTTTGGCATCATAGACTTGGACATGTTGGTTTTGATCATCTCACTCGGTTAAGTGGTTTGGATCTTGTTCGTGGTTTGCCTAAACTTAAGAAAGATCTTGATTTGGTTTGTACACCGTGTCGTCATGCTAAGATGGTTTCTACTTCACATGCTCCTATTGTTTCTGTGATGACGGATGCACCGGGACAGCTATTACATATGGACACTGTTGGTCTAGCTAGAGTGCAATCTGTTGGAGGAAAGTGGTATGTGTTAGTTATTGTTGACGATTTTTCTTGATATTCTTGGGTTTTCTTTATGGCAACTAAGGATGAAGCTTTTCAACACTTTCATGGTTTGTTTCTTCGATTGGATCTTGAATTTCCTGGTTCTTTGAAAAGAATTCGAAGTGATAATGGTGGTGAGTTTAAAAATACTTCATTTGAACAATTTTGCAATGATAGAGGTCTTGAACATGAATTTTCTTCTCCTCGTGTTCCTCAACAAAACGGTGTTGTTGAAAGAAAAAATCGTGTTTTGGTTGAGATGGCTAGAACGATGTTGGATGACTATAAAACTCCTAGAAAATTTTGGGCTGAGGCAATTAACACTGCTTGTTATATTTCAAATCGGGTTTTCTTGAGATCTAAACTTGGAAAAACTTCTTATGAACTTCGATTTGGACATTAACCCAAAGTTTCACATTTGCGTGTTTTTGGTTGCAAGTGCTTTGTCTTGAAATCTGGAAATTTGGATAAGTTTGAGGCACGTTCTACTGATGTATTGTTTCTTGGTTACCCCGCACACACTCGTGGCTATCGTGTACTTATTTTGGGGACTAACGAAGTATATGAAGGATCTTTTGAGACGGTTCAAGATGGAGAATTGCAAGCCAATTTCAACACCAATTGGTTCTACAGCTGTGTTGGATCCTGATGAAGATAGTGAAGCTGTTGATCAAAAGGAGTATAGAAGTATGATTGGATCTTTGTTGTATCTAACTGCTTCTAGGCTAGACATACAATTTGCTGTGTATTTGTGTGCGCGCTTTCAAGCTTCTCCTCGTGCTTCACATCGTCAAGCGGTCAAGCGAATAATGAGGTATTTGAATCATACACTTGAGTTTGGAATTTGGTATTCTACTTCATCTTCTATATGCTTAAGTGGATATTCCGATGCTGATTTTGGAGGTTGTAGAATTGATAGGAAAAGTACTAGTGGAACATGTCATTTTCTTGGTACATCATTGATTGCATGGTCTTCTAGGAAACAATCTAGAGTTACTCAATCAACTGCTGAATCTGAATATGTTGCTGCTGCTAGTTGTTGTTCACAGATTGTTGATATTTTCACTAAACATTTGGATCCTAATCGTTTTGCTTTTCTTCGTGGTGAATTGGAAATAATTCATCTTTTTGGCATGGTTTGAGGGGGAGTTTGTACCTCATGGTTTTATCAAGCAACAATATGACAATGAGAAAAATTGAGAAAAGAGAGCTTTGTTTATGTATATGGTATTTTCTTGTGCATGCTAGCAATACTTTGAAGGTTTATTTGTCTCTAGCATAGCTTGTATGTATTCTAGTCTTTTCATGAGATTTAGATTTTGCTTTTAAGGGAGATGATGCATGACATCAAAATTCTACTTGAATTAAGAAAATATGCAATGTTGATGCTAGCATATGGTTTGTTTTATAAATGCTCTATATATATGCTTTATTGACTTGTTATTCCTCAAATAGCTTTAATTGCTCATTGTGAAATAGAGAATAAAAATATGAAAAAATGAATATCGAATCCTTAGAAACAGTCTTGACGACAAGGACGTATTCGATGTAAGCAAAATAATGGGTGCCGAATCCCTGTAAACAATCTTGACGACAGGGACGTACCCAGAATAAAAGAGAAAAATATGAACAAAAAGGCTCCAGAAAAGAAAAAGTTACTAAAAAATTCTCTTGGTTATTTTGTGCTAAAGGTTATTTGAGAAAGAGTGATAAATGCAATAAGTATATGTGTTTAGTGTTTATTCTTCAACCTATGTGCTTGTTAAGATGTTGTATTATAAATTGTATGAAATCATGAATTTTGATTGTTGATTCAAGCTTAATTGTAAAAATCTTTGGTTCATGGTTATACTTTAATGCATGCTTGTTCTGTTATAGATGGGTTTATCTTCTTTTTATTGCAACACATGACATGATATGCTATATGTATGCTAAGCTCTTGAACATTAATGAACATAATTCCTATGCTTGATGAGATCATTGTCAAAAGGGGGAGAAGGAATATGAAAAAATTTTGGTGAATTTTTGGAGAGTTTTTGAGAAGAGCATGTTTTTGGTTCAATTGGGAATTTCCTTCTTTTAAAAAGGGGGAGAAGTTTTCTTTTGGATTTTTTAGCACGATGTGTATATTTGTACGAAGTGTGCTTTTTACCACTTTTGTTTTTACTTTTTCCTAACACCAAAACATTTTTATGAGTTTGTCAATGTGTTCATCAAGGGGGAGATTGTAAAATCAAAGGTGTTTTTGATTATTATTCTGTGATGAACAATTGGGCATTGGAGATTATCGGTTTTGTTATTTGGAATTTATTCACGAAGTGGTTTTGGAGATGATCGGATTTCACAGGTGAATCTACAGGTTATCATTTTATGTGGACCGGTCAGACCGGGCTCTGGTAGCCGGTCAGACCGGCAGTATGCGCGCGGTCAAACCGGCCAGCCCGCGGTCTGACCGGCCGACACTGTGTCGGTTTCGGTTTCGGGTTGTTTATTTGGATATCCGAGTTTATTTCGTGATTATGACTTCTAGATGGATACTATACGTATGTAATACTATTGTTTGCTGCTAATGAGTCAAGTTGGAGATAGCTTGGTATCGGAATATGGTTTCTTTGTTTGTTCCATGTGTAGGTGACTCGATGTCTTGGGAGAGTATTTGCGGTGATGGACCGGGAGTCGGCTTGGGGATAAGACGACGTCCGTGGTGGTCAGAGATCATGCGGGATACTTAGGCTAGAGTTGATGCACGTGGTTGATGGAGATTTCATATGGCATACGATGGAGTTATTGTGTGTGTATGGGATGCGGAGTTAAATTTGGAAGGAGTTCAAATTTGGTACAATTGGTTATGTAAAGTTTCTTTCTTGTACTAGTGGGTTTCCTAAGGTGTTTAGGACTCCTAGTATGAGTTTGGTTCGTGGCTTTGGGCTGCCTACCTCATGTATAAATAGAGGGGGAGCGTGAGGCTTCCCGGTATCGCTTTAGAGAGCAATTGAGTTGAGTTTTGAGTTAGGGTTTCGAGTTTAGTCGAAATTTTTGTAAGGAGTGCTGTTGGTGCACTTTGTAAACACAGAGAGAATCAATAAAGTCGTCATCCACTTTAAGAGTTCTTCGATTTGTGTTTACCGGGTTTCGGCGGTCTAACCGGCGATCTGACCGGCGGCAAGCGGCGGTCAGACCGGCGGCATATGGGCGGTCAGACCAGCGGCGGCGACAGGCACGGCAGGCGACTTCGGCGGTCAGACCGGAGGTTCAACACCGGTCAGACCAGCGGCATCCACTCGGTCAGACCGGCAGATCAACTTCGGTCAGACCGATCTCCGTCGATTTCGAGGGTAACTTTTATTCCAACTAAAAGTTTTCGGTTTTTGGGTATACCAACCATTCACCCCTTCTCTGGTTGGCTTAGTTCTTGTGATTCGATCCTACAGTTAGCTTGACCAATACCTTGACAACTCTTGCCTCATGCTTCGACTGGATGGATGGACCAATCGTAAACAGCGAATGATTTTCCATAGAAGAGAGTAAACTCCCATTTCAAATAGAGTCTGTACTGCCTAAAAATTGAGTAGTTTGAACTGAACGGTTTAATCGATCAAGAGTCTGGTAATTGATTTGTGAGAAACAAGTAAAGCCACTGACGACTCCCTGTCACAGAACAATTATGGAATTCTCATATTAAAAAGAACCCAAGGCAATTCATACAACAAGTCCTCCACTAATTCTTCTTGATTATATACCAAATGTCACTGGTACCATAAAACAAACGGAAACACAAACTCTGCAACAATAATGAACAACCTAAGCTTTCTAGAGGTAAAATCTTGCTCACGCAGCTCACGATTTGATCTGCAAGAAAGAAAAGAAAGAATAAGCAAAATGACAATGTGATTGGCACAAAGTTAAAAGGTTATTTAGATTGGCTATTACACTATCCACAAAATAGAACTTTTAACAGAGAAAGGGGTAGAGTAAAAAAGCAAAAGCAGCAAAGAGCAACAAATAACTCAATGGAAAAAAAAAATGGAAATACGTATCAACAAATGTTACTCCTCCGTTTCACAATGTAAGTCATTCTAGCATTTCCATTCATATTGATGTTAATGACGGAGGGAGTATTTCTAAGCACGCCGATTTCAATTTTGTACTAGCACCTTTGGTCCTTGGATTGTGTAGGCTGTTTACTTAAGAAACATGAGCTCGAGTTCTTTTCACAGTTGGTATACATCCCACACGAATTTAAATGGCATATCCAGTGTGATTTAGGCTTGCTTGACACCCTCTCCTACATGTGCAATGGACTCACCTATGAACTCTTTTCTGTTTTCCACCGAGGGACTCATTATACAACCAGAAATACCACAAACCAAAGAAGATTTTACAAGATAATATGTATCCACATTCATTCATTTAAATTAACCAGAACAGAATCAGAACTAGTGACGCCAGAAGAGAAATTATCTGGATTGTCTCCAACAGATCACAATTCAGTGGATCATTATCTCAAAAGTGCAAGTAGAACAATTTCAAAATATTCGGCAGTATTCCATTATATACCCATATTACTACAGAAGTGTATACAAACTTTGCTCGACGAGAAGCCCATGACAGAAAAATGACCATCATCACCTCAACCTGCAGCCCACAGTCCATGAGGTATGTTAGCTCTCCTAACTAGCTAGCTGCATCAATGCATCCAGTCATCGAATCGATCCCCGTTTCCCCTCTATACGTCGCTCAGCGGAACACACAGATTCCGCAGCAACACAGTGAGCCTGTGCTGACGCCTAAAATCCCAAGGTCAGTACCCCCATAGCCCTACACTGCCAACTCAACAGTTAACTAAGCCTGAGACCCCATTGTCAAAATCTTGGCTCCAGCACCGTGATGCCGTCTAGTGAGCTGATTACGATACTTCAGTAATACAAGCCCAGCTAACAGCAAACTCAAGTTAACAATGATTTACCCATCTTTCTTTCCTGTACAAGTGTACCAAAAGGCTAATGCTTCAATGACTGTAGAGAAGTGGTTATAAGTAGATTGGCTACTGAACTTATGATAAATTAATTAGCTAGATCCCCAAATTGGTTGCAAACTTGCAATTGGTCTTTTACAATAGCAGCTGTTTTTCACATCTCGATACAGTTTAAGTAACTATCCTTATCATCAGCTAGTCCAAGAAGTTTGCCCCTTATGATCAAAGAAACCCCTGATCAAGCAAATCATAGAAACCCTACAAACCGATCCGTATTTCGCACGGCCATAGCATTGCAATCCATACAAAGGGCAGGAAATCGCAGGAAAGAACCTCACCGGCTACACAAAGGCGAGCACGAAGCCGTCGGGGCCCGTGGTGGTGGTGGCTACTGCGTCTTCCTCCGCGGCGGCTGCTTGTCCGAGGCTAACCTGTACATCCAGTACACCTGCAACAAGCGCGGCGGGAGGGAAGAGTCCCGCGCGGGGGGTCAGACGACGGATCACGCGACGAAGGTAGGGGGTAAGCAGATCGGATTGGGGCAAAGAGAAGCGCGGGGGGAAGTGGACCGCGTGCGTACGAGGGCTAGGACGTGGGCGGCGAGGAGGACGACGACGAAGAGCGGGACGGCGTCGAGGAGGCGCGAGCCGGCCGGCGGCTGTGGGTGCTGCTGTGGCATCGTCGGCGGCGTGGGTGGGGGAGTGGAAGATCGAGGTCGAGGAGGGGTTCTGAGTCTGACTGACCCGGGTTTTTGACTCTTCGTCTCCTTCGGCTCGAAGCAAAGAAAAAAAAAAGGGTCTGGCTGTACATAAGATTAATATAATTTATAGCTAACGTTTGGCACAAATGTGGCTGTAGTTTAGTGGTGAGAATTCTACGTTGTGGCCGTAGAGACCTGGGCTCGAATCCCAGCAGCCACACTATCATTTTCTTTTAGTTTGTTTTTTATATCATTTTCTTTTAGTTTGTTTTTTATTTTTATAGTTGGCTTGGACAAGTTTAGTTTTGTCTTTAATAACTGTTTTTATTTTTTTTTTGTAGTTTGTTTTTTATTTTTATATAGTTGGCTTGGACAAGTTTGGTTTTGTTTTTAATAACTGTTTTTAATTTTTTTTTTGTACTTTGTTTTTATTTTTATAGTTGGCTTGGACAAGTTCAGTTTGTCTTTAATAACTGTTTTTATAGTTAGTTTGGATAGTTTTGTTTTGTTTTATAATTTGTTGACATAAGTATTGAAATTCTTTTTATTTTTATAGTTGGTTTGGACAAGTTTTGTTTTGTTTTATAATTTGTTGACATAAGTATTGAAATTCTTTTTTATTTTTAATAACTGTTTTTATTTAGTTGGTTTGGACAAGTTTTGTTTTGTTTTATAGTTTGTTGACATAAGTGTTGAAATTATTTTTATTTTTAATAAGTGTTTTTATTGACATAAGTATGGAAATGCTTTGACTATTTTTAAAATTTTTATAACTGTTTTTTATAGTTGGATTGCATAAGTTTTGTTTTGTTTTGTAATTTTTTACATAAGTATTGAAAATGGTTCGACTAGTTTCAATTGAACATTTTTTTATTTTTAATAACTGTTTTTACAGTTGGTTTGGACAAGTTTTGTTTTGTTTTATAATTTGCCATATGTATTGAAATTATTTTTATTTTTAATAACTATTTTTATTGACATAAGTATGGAAATGCTTTGACTATTTTTAAAATTTTTATAACTGTTTCTATAGTTGGTTTGCTTAAGTTTTGTTTTGGTTTATAACTTTTTACATAAGAATTGAAAATGGTTTGACTATTTTCAGTTGAACACATGATTTTCTTAGAGAATGAAACACAAGTTTTTTATCCCAAATAATTTGAACAGAAGTTTTGAATATAAGAAGTTGTTATTCTTGTGTTGATCATCTGTACCAAATTATGGAATCATTGAAATGTCAAAAGATTCTTAATAAAAGAAAATAATTCGTTGGCATAAGTATTGAAATGCTTTGGCTATTCCAATTGAACACAAGATTTTCTTAGAGAATGAAGCAAAAGTTTTTTTTCCAAAGAGTGGAGCAGAAGTTTTGAATATAAGAAGTTGATATTATTGTATTGATCATCTATATCAAATTGTGTAATCATTGAAATGTCACAAATTTCTTAATAAAATAAAATGAGTAGAAGATGTTGATACCAGATTGTACATAGTAGATGATTTTGTTTTCATTGCCGTTGGACAATTCCAAATGCAAAATTATAGGATATACTTTTTTATAGCATTTTCAATCTATTATGATTGCAAACAAGCAAATCTTTTTACCCTTTTGTGGTTTAAAATCAATATTTTTTACTTGAGTAAATTTCAAAAACTATAGGTACTTTGATCAAATTATCACAAAACTACATATTTAAAGTGTTGTATCATAAAACTACAGATTTAGCATAAGATTTATCACAAAACTACAAATTTAAAACCAAGTATCACAAACCTACAACTTTAGTACTCGAGTTATCACAAAACTATAGATTATATAGTTTAAATATGTACCACTACTATTATGCTAAGACTTATAAATGTTGTAGCTATGTACTTACAGTTGATGCAAAACATGTAGATTTACGATAATTTTATTATTAAACATGTAGTTTGGCGATCTTCTATCTTAAATATGTAGTTCTTTGATAAATTTAGTTATAAATTTGCAGTTTTGTGATACACCACCATAAATTTGTAGTTTTACGATAGTTTGATCAAAGTGAATGTAGTCTTGTGAAATTTACTCTTAATACATTCTTACTTATCTTCAACATTTATGAACTAACCATTTTCCATTAGTCAAGACAAACATTAATTTACACTAAAAGCACTTATTACATGATGCACTAGTACAAATTTGGTCGACTAAAATTTTGTGGAAAGAACAAAGAAAACAATACCATTTTCGCATGTATTTAACCTCTATGGTGCAAAGGGAAAATGTTTTTCTATATTAGGAAGATAGACCCAAGAAAATTCCCCATGAGATCCAACCTCGTGTTAAAAAGGAAAATGCTACACATGCGATGTTTTTTTACGATTTTTGTACGATCAAACGATCAAACGAGGACGGCGCCTGGTACGTAACGTTGGTGCACGCGTATGCTGGAGCCCAAGAGTTCGTGGACCCGAAGCCCATACGCACATACATACTCATAATTTTTCTATGCCTTTTTTCTCTGTATCCAAGCAAATATTACAAACCTTGTCAAACATAGGTTCATACATGAACGTTGCTGCATCTTGTCCTGATTTGTATCATTGGAAATTTAGCATACTTTCAACTAGGGGTGATGTTATACCATGGTCCAAGGTGCAAGTAACATATTTGTATGGGTAATTTACTTAAACTAGGTTCACGTCATCATAATTTACTTAACCAAAACAGGGTAACACGATAAGTGTTGTGCGAAACAACTAGTATATATAAGATTGATTAGGAAAAATAGATTAATAAATACTATGAGCCTAGAAAAGGTTCCGTGTGGGACCAGGACTTGTGACGTTAATAAACGCTGAGTTTAGAAGAGACCGTTTTATCGTACAATTATCGTAACACATTATCGTATGTATAGCAGCGCCGTGTTAAAAATCCTCATCTCAAGACTCAAATGCTCAATCTTTCCTTTGTTCTTCTTCTAAAGGAGCACGTTGGACAATTTTCCATAGGATTTCAATCCTGCCAAAAAAAAAAAAGATCTCCACTTTTCTTTTGTTTCAAAGCAGCCCTTAAAAGGCTCTGCTTGATAAGTAAAAACAAAACCAGCCGTCTGATCATCAATCCGACGGTCCGGTATTCAGGCCGCTGCAAGTACCCACAGTAGGAGGGAAATCATGAATGGATCACAAAGAGCTTTGTGGCCGGTAGCCCACACTGGCCAGTGGCCACTGCTTCGCCGCCGGCCGCCGGCGAGACGGCGAGAGAATGCCTCCCTTCCCCGCCTCCCTCATCTTCCCCTCTCCCGCCATGGGAGCACCTCCGCCGCCGGCAAGACCCGGGCGCCGCTCCCGCTCCCGCGCCGTGGCCCGCGGCCCAGGCCCACCCCTCCCCAGCAAGAACCGCATCATCCCCGGGCGGCCCTCCCGCCTGTGGCTGGACCGGTGCCTCCGCGCGCTCTTCGTCGCCGCGCTCGCGCTCTCTCTGTCGCTGTCTCCTCCGCCGCCGTCGCTCCTCCTCCCTGCTGCCCCTGCCCGTGCTGCCTCCTCCCCCGTCGGCGAGCGTCGTCGGAATCCGGAAGCGCCGCCGTACCCCTGCGAAGATGTAGGGAGGTATTACGCGGGCCTAGACGGCCTCGCCGGCGACGAGCTCATGGCGAAGCTCCGCGCCGTCGTTTCGCCTCACGCCGCGCTGCGTTATAAGGATGTGGGTTTGTTTGCCTTCAGCAACCATGTTTATTATTGCTCCTAATTTGGTGGTAATTCTTGATGGAATCATGGAGTGCAAACAAGAACAGTTGAGAAAGAAATTAATAATCTTTTGTTGTTGTTGCTGCTGCTGCACATTGTTTAGTAGGTGTGGGAGGCACTCAAGATTCTTGATGCAGCTGATGCACCCAAACCAGAGGCGTCCCTTGACGTGTATGATGCTCTGTAACAGTTTATATTCGATGCAATGCTTAATTGCTTATGCGACATACATAATACATTGCCAAATGTTAGCTATATTTATGAATTGATTTAGACAATTATTGTTCTGTAGGATTGAGATATACTCGCAGAGAGCTGTGCCGAAGAACTTGGCAGGCAAGCCGGACGGATGGAACAGTGAGTCACATTTCTGAAGTTCTTTTGATTCACATGTCAGGACACAGGATGTGTGTGCTTTTCTTCGGTAGCAACATTGTACATTTTGCTGTGCAGGAGAACACCTATGGCCTCGATCATATGGCTTAACATATGGGCCTTCGCTGACTGATCTGCACAATATTCGCCCTGCAGATGTCAATGGCAAGTTGATTTTTGTAACACAGTATTTCTCTATGAGTATAACTCTCCAATGATGGGCATCATATCCTCTCACTACCCACTACTAGTCTACTAGAGGAAATTCAATCTTGTCATCTTGGAACATTACTATACTGCTTTTATCATGTTAACCATAAATTGTAAATTCCGTGTCTTTCGCTGATGACATTGATTGAATGCTACTTTGCATTGTTTGAAGTTCGAACTTCGTACTATTCTGAATTTTTGGCCAAAACCATTGCAACAGAAAGGAATTATAATGGATGTTCTATATAATTTTCTGAACATATTTAATAGGTTTTTTAAAAATGAAAATTATGTTTTCAGTAAACTCATCAAGGGGAAACAAGTATTATGGACATTGTGCTGCCACATCAGTAAGATGTATGAGACCTGCAAATCATGAAGCTGCACCTGACACAGAGACAGATAGTGAAAGATGGGCACCTCCTTTAAAGGTGCAGATAATTGTGGTGCAAATCGTAGGCACATGCTATTTCAGAAAGTTACTAAGTATGCAGTGCACTTAGCTTCAGGAAATAAGAATTTTACTTATGTTTAATTCGTATGAGGTGCATAATTTTCAATGAAAAATCGTTGTACAAATCATACTGAGCTAATAGCTGCAATGAGAAGTGATACTTGTGTTGAATAGTACATGAACACCAGCAATAGTACTTTCCAGTTACAGATATGAACAGAGACTATAGTTTTTAGGTTTTAGTGCTTATCACATTTGAGTGTTTGATTTCTTCAGGTGCGTGGAGATGTATCTAGGGCCCTGATGTACATGGCAGTAAGCTATGGATCTGACCAGAAAGATGGAGCACCACATTTGGAACTTTCTGATTCACCAAGTATTCGTAAGTAGTTCCTCAAAACCGAAGGTATTTATGATATTGGCTTCTGGCCACCAAATCAAAATGGAAAAACCATGAACAGGAGAGGAAATAGTCCACGGAATATTGCCTCACCTTCAAAATTTCAATTTAAATTGTAAAGAGTTGGAGGGATGAAAAATATAAAATTCATATGGAGTATCATGTTATCTTCGGATATTCTTTTCTTTCCCGTTTCCTTTTGACTTATTGTTGCATAGCTATTTTTTTCTGCTCTGAATATTAGTCAAAACAAAATTTTGCTTATCATCAGACACCTAATGGCAACAGATATTAATCTTGCAAATGATGTTTATATATTCTTTTACCAAAGCACCACTGTTTGGCTAAAGTCCGTTGTACTAATCATGTAGCTTGCATGCAAGCCTCTTTCATGATCTGTAATTCCACAAAGTTTTTTTTTCTCTCGAACATGTAGGAGAGCTGCGTATCATTGTATTAAGAAAAAGAAAGGAGAAGGTAAGAACCCTTACAACACACACAACAAACTTGCTTACATGAGCGCCAGAAAAGGCACTAAAAGACAACCTCAGCCTAATACAAGCAAACACTATTCACCGTTCGGTATGAGGGCAAGAATGTCCTTAGCCCCGGCCAAACCCCAGTCATACAACTCTTCTCTAGCAAGCAGCAAGGCTTCATCTAGGTTGGGAGAGGCGCCATCGAAGACACAATGATTCCAATGTTTCCATAATGTCTAGGATCCCAAAACAACAATAGAAATAATCCCTTTTCTAACCTTACCATCCACCCTTACTTCTACACTTGCTCACCAGTCATCAAAGGAAGCAATATCTCGCTGCAGCGAAAGAGTTTGTAGCCCAACTTTTTGAAGAAGGTTAAACCAGAAAACATGAGCGAAAATGCATGAGATGAGATGAGCAAATGATTGATTGTTTCTTCTTCTTGATCACAAAGAGGACAACGGGCTGGATGTGGAAGACCGTGGCGTGTAAGATGGTCAGCGGTCCAGCACCTGTCATGAGCCACTAACCATAAGAGAAAAAATGGCACTTGCCTGGAGCCCAAGATTTCCAAATCACAAAAGCTTACATAAATACGACAGAAAGGGTATCCCATCATTACCAATTGGAATGTTTCTCGCTTTGTTAAGGCTGACAAATCAGGTCATATTTTTCATTCTAATTGTGGCGGGCTTCCTCCTACTCTAAATCTTTTTTTCATTTGTTTCATAATGTGCCCAACCTATTATTACCAAGTACACAGCTCTAATCCTAGATGGAATGCTAAAAGAGGGGGAACCTAAAATGACGGATCCTTCCTATCTGATATCCAACAGAAGTAATGATTGATACATTAACACAGTAAAAAAAATACTACATTAGATCTGGTTATAATGTAATATGCACACCACACTAATTATTGATATTACATTTGTACTGTTATAATTATATTGCAATTAGTAACATTGGATCGAAACTAATGTGATAATTCTGTTTCGTATTTAAGAAAGCAGAAAAATGGGTCTCCTATCAGCTCTCCTAAAGTGGAATGAACTTGATCCGCCATCAAGGTCAGAGCAGCTTAGGAACAATCGAGTTTGCAGCCTGTACCAGCATAATCGAAACCCTTTCGTTGACCATCCAGAATATGCAAATCTTATATGGGGGAATTCCCTTGGTGAGAGTTCAAGTTCGGTCAGAACATTTCCAGAGGCTTGGGTAAATGAGTTCCACTATGAAAACAAAGGCAAAGATGAGAATGAGGTACGAAATCCGCTGCTTCACTGTTTTCTGCTATTATTTTTTTCTTGGGTTTCCTATGCTATTAACAGTTTACTTGCATATGTTAAGTAAATTTTGCACACTGGCAGACGTCAATAAATTTTCAATATAGTTCAATATGTGCATTATTTTACCATAATTGCAGAAAGGTTAACTACAATATAGTCCTGACCTCACAATATAGTCCTGAGCTCATATTAGCTTAAAGCTGATTAATTTCTAAGGTTAACTACAGTGTGAGGTCACAATCAGCTTTAAGATAATATGAGCTCAAACTCCAATACATAGTATATCACATACTCCCTCTTTCCTCCGTCCCGAAATGTTGTTACATTTTGGGATGGAGGAATTACTAAATTGATATGGATCTATATCAGTAAATCCCATCTTATTTCATCATCTTATCCATAAATTCATTCTTGAACAAAAGTACAAAACTAATATGGGTTTCTTTTCTTTTCAGTTTGTTGAGTTAGCGGTACGCACGTCATTAGATGCAAAAGATCTTACGCTCATACTGTATAATGGAGCAAACGGGCGAATGTACAATTCTCTGAATCTAGATGACAAGGATGGCTTCAGTGTTGCTGAAAGCAGTTCTAGTTCTAGTTATTTGATCTACACAGCATTCATCACTCTCCAAAATGGACCTGCTGATGGCATAGCTCTTGTCTATAAAAATGGAAACAGAAAAGAAGTCTTGGATTTTCTCTCCTATGAAGGTAGTATGAGAGCACTGGATGGACCAGCCAAGGGCATGGTCTCTGTAGACATGATGCTCAAGGAGACAGACGAGTCATCTCAACAAGATTCGTTGGGACTTACCGGGAACAAGATTGGCGACTTTGCATGGAGAAAGCTAGAAGGTTATGCAACCCCTGGAAAGTTGAATGTCGGGCAGATGTTTTAGAGCCATCTTGTTTGGCCCAAGTTCATGTTCATTGGTGTTAAGTTTTTGTGTGCTTTATAGAGTATCCACTACCATTGCTACATTATGTGATTTAATTAGTATATATTTTTGAGATACAGGTGCAAATTTGTGCATTTCAGGTAAGTGACTTTCGTGCTAATTCTATGGGGCGTCTATTTGTCAAGTGCCGACTCTTATCTATTAATCACATTTTTAACACCAGATCAATATCAATAACTCACACACTATACTTTTTTTTTCTTGTGGTGAAGCAAACAGTGTTCTAACATAAAAGTTAATAATCCTCTCAAGAAAAAACATAAAAGTTCAATAAAAATGTATGATTTGGTGTAAATTCGTACTAGTATGAAACTAAAAATTATGATTTACGTAAGTGTAACAATGCATCTAGATTAATTTAGAAAATAAAAAAACTAAAAGTTGCACTTTGTACTAAAGTTGTGTTTTTTATATTGTGAGTTTTTAGTATATCGCTCGTGAAAGTCCCGAAAATAACTTGTGCAAATTTAGGTGACTATAAAATGGACTGAAAAAAAAATCAGATGGCTGATAAATAGCAAAGTTATAATTGTATCTAAATATATGAAAGCAACAAGCTTTCTGAATGGAGGATGAGCCACATCATCTACAATGGTATGGACCGTTGGATGAGCTGCTAAATGAAAATGCACCGTTGGATCATCATGCTCATCTATAACAGTGGAAACACGTTGGACCAATCTGGATGCTTCCAGACTAAAGACCTAAAAAAGCAGATAACTCATGGGCTTAGTCTATTTAACACTACCATTTAAAAAAAGTCTTTTTAACACTATATATTTGTTTGCTTAATTAATCTCCTGACTAAATAAAGGGAAAATAATGACGCCATAGTCGTAAGTTTGTATCTATGATGTATGAGAGTGTACATGTAAATGCTCTGTTATACTACTTTTGCTTGGTATTGGAGCAACACACATCAACTAAGTAGCATCCACTACGTACCAATTTTATTTTAAAACAGTCCCTACGAACGCACATACGCACACCATACACTTGGGAGCACTCAGTGTTATTGCTGTCTCCGTTCTAAAATATAGATGCCTTTAACATTCAAAAATTATCGTAAAATATAGCTATTTCTACATCCACTCCCTCAACTTAACCAACATAGTCATATATTTTTTAGTTTCTTCGCCTACTTTTTAATGTCAATCAATTACAGCATTCATCCATTTACATCTCTAGCTACTGCATCATTCCCAAAATAAGTATTTCTATGATTCAAATTTTACATAGAAAAATAAGCATTTCTAGGACACTAATTTCAATGCATATCTAAGCATTTTTAACCAACTCAGGTGTTTAGAAAGAGCCAATTGGAGTAGTTCAAAATTTTAATCTTCCTTAATCTTAATCTTACTCTTACTAAACAAACTAGATATACTTATATATAGGAATTAATGGAGTATATTTGAGAACAAAGAAATTAACGTACTTACGAAACCGATACCTTTAATTAATGTCAGGATCAATGGTCTATTATATAGGTATGTTATGTTAACGCTCAGAGTCGTGCAAAGCACGATTAAGTGGCTAGTATTAGTGAACGAGTTTGTAAGCATTTTGCAAGAAAAATTTAGTGTTGTCAAATTTTTTGATATGACATGTTCCGCTCTCTGGACAATAAGGCTGACAGAGTGGGCGGTGTCGGCGGCGCCAAGGACGTGACAGAGCCGCCGCCACCGCCGGTGATCACCTCTCCGTGGAACTACTGCTTCTGGTGCCCTGAGGAAATCAAGCATCCCGAGGACGAAGCATCTTACCAAGCTGGACACAAGTATACATAGCATCTGAATACTGAACAACTTAGCTAGAGCGTAAGGCTTTGTTTGACATAACTCAATATAAGATCACGATAGATTTGATATTTGTATGTTAAATTATAGTAGTTTAAAATTTTAAACTTCATCTAAAATAAAAACACATTAATTTATCTAAATGTTATACACGCAATCGTAGATTCATATCCATGGATTCATGGAGCTAGGAATACCTAGCCCTATGAAATCTTCGATCTGAAGTTGTGCCAAAGAGGGTCTATTGTCCTTTGGACCTACCGAGAGAGGTATTTGTCAAAGTGAATTATTCTTTTTTTTTCTTATCAGTTTAAGTTTTTGGATTGAATCTATTGCTGCATGCAACTTACTATATAATATCACAGCAACAGGGTTGACCTGAGCTGGGACATACTCCCTCCGTTTCGAAATGTTTGACACCGTTGACTTTTTAGCATATGTTTGACCGTTCGTCTTATTCAAAAACTTTTATGAAATATGTAAAATTATATACCTACATAAAAATATATTTAACAATGAATCAAATGATAGGAAAAGAATTAATAATTATTTAAATTTTTTGAATAAGACGAACAGTCAAACATGTTTAAAAAAGTCAACGACGTCAAACATTTCGAAACGGAGGGAGTATATCATTATCCAAGCGAAGGCGCAATAACTGGTTGTTTGTTTCTCTGTTTTGAATTAGTAACTGAACATGAGACTATAAACAGAGTAAAATGAGATGAGTGAGACCATTTTTTCATATCAATGGCATTGCTAGCACAGGATTATGTTTTTTAACATTCCAACTATTTGGAAAAGATGGAATATTAATGCTCGTAAAACCCAAAAGGATAATGGCAAATCTTTTTAATCTACAGATAAAATTAAGAAATACGTAGTAGATTAGAAGTTGGCGTAAATTTGTTGACAAAAATTTAGTTAACCAGTTCTTATTGGAATATTATGTTTTTAGTTTTCTACCACCAATCAATTGATGCACTCTGATACCACAAAAAAGAGCTCTGTTAGCTTCTTGCCTTGCTTATTTGTATAGGAGGGTGCTCTTGCTTCGAATCTGGGTTGACATTTCAAAAGTTGGACTCAAATCTATCTTAAAACCAACTTAAATCTTTTCCAATAGTCGTAGAACCGATTTGGATAGAAAGTTCTGATACCAAGGTAGAAATTCTTGTGCCATTAGGAGGTCGGTTTTTCGAGTCGAGCTCTTTGTTTGATTAAAATAAATCAAATGAAAGATTATCAATCAGAAGTTCCGAAATAAAAACCTATAGAAGGTCTGATTTTTCAGCAAACTGAACTCTGTCTCAAATTATTTTTAACACCGGATGTTCCTATTGATATGACGACGATGTCCTTGGTGCCAAATATTGGTGCATTATTTTGGAATCACATGCATCTAAAGCACCCTTTACTAAAATCAAATGTAGCTGTATGCAAACCTAAAGCCATAGCATGATGAACCAAAAAAATCTCCAAGTCCTATTGTTAAGAAAAGCGAATTCCTATTCTCGTTAATAGCATTCAACCATCCGGTAACCATAGGTTCGACCCGCATTGAAAATAAACCGGAGAACTGTAAATAGTTCATGATGTGAAAGAGAGCCGATAACAATATGAACTATTCCCATATAAGAAGTCTGTGGTGCATTACCTAGCAAATACACTCCAAGTACCCAACAGGGAAAGAATCAAAGAAATATATGGCATGTTAAGTGATGTGATGTTATATCTTATCAATGTAGAGATGGATTACTAATCCACATTCCAGTTAGCAACGCATTGAGCCATTTTTACATATTCTGTTCATGTCCTTGCAGTGTTTATACACCACTTTAAGGAAATATTCAGTTAAAACACTTATCCCTCCTTCAATTTGAAGAGAAAAGAAGTAAGATTAGATGCTTGCTGTATTCATCACATCAGGATCAGGTACTGAACAAAATCCAACTCCAATCAGTACAAATATCTCAGAACCATGGCACATTGGATCAAATATTCCTTAGCATAAACTCTTACAGACTTGCAGGTCAATATTGAATCTGAGGATGGTTTGCCAAACATGCAACATGTAGATAGTGAATCGAAGTAACCAACACCTGCCGTTAATAGACAATGACTAATGAAATGCCTTCCTAAAAGCCCTTCTCACTATTAATGGAACTCCTGTCAAATTTACAGCCCATGGAAGCACAAGAACCAGACGATCAGAATGCCCTGTCCACCGGCACAGTTCCTAGGACTATTTCAACACACAAAACGACCAAAACCACTAGAGGCAGACCATAAAATGTGGAGCATCAGCCATGCAAACTTCCACCCTCCATCTCCACACCTAAGAAACTACCTAGCTCATCTGGCCATGAATTGCACAGAGGTTGATCAATCTTTGGAACTTTTCTGAGCTGCTACGAGATCAATCCAGGTATGGTTTCAGCATTTTCGTTTGGCAGAAATGGCAGCAAATAGTTTTGATCTCCATGGGGAATTTCCTAAAATCTTTCTTGCATCTGTAGAGCATTTGTTTCATAAGGAAGCATTCTGAAAAGTAAAAAGAAATTGTGTCATCCAATGTGTAAAGCCTAGCATAGTGATTAAGCCTCCATTTCATCTCATATTCACTACTCTCTTAGATAAAAACTGCGTGCATGACATTCAATTTTCTTACCAGTTGTAGATTGCTAGTCGTCTGGCTGAATTACTGTACGTTACGTGCCGTGCTTTGCATATCTAGTTCATAAGATCAGAACGGTTGCTTTATAACTGAGTGCCAGCACCTCAATTGACAGACAATATCAACAGCTCCGTCGAACTTATGCCTTTTTGGTTGATGGCAGAAAAGTCTGTCCACAATGGCAACATCAAGGAGGGAACCTGATGCTAGGAACAACAGGACCATCCGGGCTATGTCCACAGGAATCAAACCCACTGATCCTGCAAAGGGGCTTCGACGAGCGAGGTCTGTCCCAAGCTCTCCCGATCGCAAATTATCCCCATCCCATGATGCAAGCTCATCCAACGCCTATCGGCCTTCATCATCGTTCAGCACCCGCACAGGAACATCCCGGTCGACATTTGGCTCAGCTTCTTCATCCATTCACAGCAGCAAGGCACCGCAGACTTCATCGTCCACGACTACTGCAAAGCCAGCCAACACAACGAAAGGAAAAGCTGACAAGTCTGGTGGCTCATCCGTGTGGCCTCCAGCCCTTACAGCACGTAACCGTTCATCTAAGGATATGAACAGGACAGCAAAATCATCATCCGCTATGCAAAAGAGTAACCTCTCTTCAAGGCCAGGTGTTGATAAGATGGCAGCATCATCTGCAAAGCAGAGAACACAGAAAGCAACCCCAGGAGCTCTGGCAGGTGGAAAAACTCAAGCGGTGCCTTCGGTTCGTGCTCCTGGCACAACAACGAAGAAAACAATGGGGGTAGCAAATTCTGTTCCTTCTATCCAGAGAACAAGTATACCATCAAGACCGATAGAGGCACCCAAAGTCAATGAGCAAGAAGTTGAGTTGTTAATGGAATTTGATGAGATGGAAAGCATAAGCACGCCTTCCATAGAGGAACACTTGCAAGAACGGCTCCCTGACCCTGTCGAGCTGAAACAGGTTGATGTCATTGCGTATTTACTATTTGGAGATAATCCAAGTGAGCCAGCCTCTAACCAACAGGAAGACAAAAATGAAGAAGTTGTAGAGCTTATTTCAGAAGAGAAACATCAAGTGCCAGACAACAACAGTTTTAACGGCAGGGATAATGCTGATATTGGCATCAATAGCAAAGTACAGGCCGTGAAGGAAGCCATTGATAACAGTGAGTTGAAGGAGGCTGCCAATGAAACAGAGTTAAAAGAAGCTGTTGATGAAACCGAACTAAATGAAGTTGTCAGTGAATCTGAGTTATACAAAGATGTCAATACAACGAAGTATACAGAAGATGCCCTTGAACCTATGCTAATAGAAAAGGAAGAGGCTGAAGAAAATGTGGAGATGGTAGTGCCACCAAAGAAGACACTAAAGCCAGTTCAGGGATGGAGCAAGGATGATGGAAAGAGCAATGAAATGAAAGAGGAGGGTAGGAGCAAACCTACAGAGGAGAGAAAGAGCAAGGTCATGGCCTTGATAGGGAGATTTGAGACGGCCATGTCAGGTTGAGAGTGAGAATGAGGTTGAGAAACTGACACAACAGTAGCAACCAGCCTTCTTTTCATCTTTTGCGAAGTACCTACCATTTTGATTCCTGAATATGTATGCATGCAATCATGAATTATTGTGGACTGGACTAGTTCCAATTGTTGTGTGCATTGAAAAATGAGAACTTTTCAAGCTAGTATCTGCAGTTTTCGTCAAAAAAAGTTAGTCTTTGCAGCTCATGCAAGCTTAAAGTCAACTGTACATCAGTACATGCATATCTGCAAAAGAAAACAGGTGGTTTCCTGGACAAATATATTGAGCTAAACCCTGCCATATTCAATAAAATATTTTCTTGCCTACTTTCTGTAACTCAAGAAAAAATAAATAAATTTCGAATTCCATATGAATTTGGCTATATAATTAGGCTCTCTAATTCTCTGAGCAAGGGGCAACCTAGGCTACTCCCAGGATGATTTTCATGACCTAGTATTTGACCCATAAGCACCGATATCTATAGACTGAAAGCATGCTTGAACCAAATCTACCGCACTGGCAGTGTGGTAGATACCAGTGTTACATGGACTGTCAGAATCTGACTCTGACTCACATGTCTGATTCATCATAAAGAATTGGACACGCGAAATTCTTCTTAGAGTCTGACACAGGTGTCGGAATCCGACTAGGACTCAGGGTGTCTGACTCCGCAAAAAAATTTGGACATGGGTTTACAGGTAACACTCCGCACTCCAATATCACAAACTAAAAATAAATTGAGCATACCTCTAGATAATTTTTTTCCTCGCTAATATTGCATAGAAAGTGAGCAGTACATGCCCAAGGCAAATTAAACAAGTAATATGCTGTACTCAAACCTAATCTAAAGTGTATTTCAATTTTCACCATTCAATCTTTTGGAAGACCAGTAGTATGCCCATGCACATAGGTCTACAGAAAATCAGTTCTATTACATTGGAGCATGTTGAATAACTTTGTGATTAAAATGAATTTTTTTATGTAAATTTAATTTTTCCAGTCTGCCCTTACACTATAATTCAATAGAGTCTTCTGCTGCACTTAATATGGAACATCACAAAATTAAGCATCATAAAAGCAGGAAAGTTAAAAGCGCTAATCCGATAGATGATAATGTAATTTCCCATTATATCTAGCATTGTCAGGGCCAAAAAAGATTTGTAATCTTTTCAAAATGGTAAATTAATGCTTGCAGGAATAATTTGAAATTTCAGGAATACTACTTGTTAAGAAATGGAAAAAAAATGGTAAATAACCTTTTAAATGATAGAAGAGTTAAAATATTATATTTTTAAGGATGAACCCAATATATTACCATGCAGGTCGTCACTAAGATAGAGTTAGCAATATAACAAGATTTACTGCCTCTTCTAATTTGCACAAGAAACCTCATTTAGCCCATTCACACCTTTGCATTTGTGACCATATTCGGTCAATCTACCAAAGCAATACCAAAGAATTAAGAAGCCTGAAGTCTCCAATGGATTGAATAAGAATGGATGTCAAGAAAAAAAAAACGAGAGACAGTTGTTTTCAGTGCATTTCCAACTATTTTGGGCATCAGAACAATAATTCACAAAACCGACACAGATGTTTTCATCTTACTAAAAAATAAGGAAGATCATTTTGGATTAAGGTCAAATAGGGCTATTGTTGAACTTATTCCATCAAAGAGATTGAATCAGTGAAGAATAGGAAGATTTCAAATGTTGTATTGCATAAAACTTGTCACCTGAAACTAAAAGTGGTGTATTGCTGATCTCACTTTCTATGTCGTGCAGATAACTATATTTGGCAGTTCTATGTTTTGTCAGCACAAACTTAAACAGGCCATGTATTGTAGGAGTAGCTCATCAGATTTCAGAGAGAAATAAAAAAGCACCATGATCAATTGTTAGAAAAACTATGTCCAGCATGGCGCGCTAACAATGTAATGGAATTATGGAATGCCATTTGTTTCCTTTCTGATAACAAGAAAATAAGTGCTAGCAAACATGCATTGCTGACATGAAAGAAATAAAACATCTAAATATGGATTATGTGCTACTTATATTAGACAAAAGAGACTGCATCTACAATTCATTAATTCAACAGTCAAACTACTCACAGATCCTACTGAATTCCGTTGATTTCCAAGAGTTCTGCAAGAAGAGGAAAAAAAAGAAGTTATGCTCAGAGGCATGTGTATAATAAATAAAGCTCCTCAACAACACTGGAATGAACAATCTGTGCTATTTATGCTATATGTGTAACCATTAATGGAGGCATATTGGAATGTAGTAGACTTAACAATAATAATAACAATAATAAATAATAAATGGATGGCCCCAGCCAGCATTTCCCGACACCCGGGGACCCATGAACCCATCCGCGTGCTCCAGCAATTGCGCCGCCGCACCAGTTTGGTGAGCGCCATGGGAGCCCGCTGCCACGGGGAATGGCACCAACGCCGGCCGGAGGGAATCAGCGAGAAGACGGACAACTCAGCGAGTCTATGGAAGCTGACGCTCACGCCGCCGCCGCAACGCTCCCTATGTGCGCGAGCTCACCGCTCCCCGCCTCCCCCCACCATCCATGCGCGAAACCTTGCCACCGAGCCTAATGGGAAGGAGGTATCTCCATCGTGCGCCGCCGCCTCCATGTGCACGAGCTCGCCGCCGGCCGCCGCACCGAACAGGGGAGGAGGAAAAAAGGGAGAGAGACTGAGATACGGAGACCAGTTGCTTTGAGATTCGTTTCTAACACGTGCCATGCAGGGAACCGTGGTCCTTCGGAGGAGCAAAGGACCAAAGGCCTCGTGCAATTTTGCTTTATATAGGATCCGCAATGTATAATACCCTTTACTTTAAGGTACTAACATCTCTACCACATGTGCAAACATCTCATTTAAAAAAATTTCACAGTGTAGCATCTCTCTTGGCAAATGCGTGTCTCTGGGTCGTTCCCTCGCCGACGGACGTCCGCTTTTCCGTCCGCGCCGGCTCCCCACGATGGAGCGTGTCCCCCGGCTGAGGGACGCGTCTCTCGCCACTTTTCGGCCGAGCGACGCAGCCAAGAGACGTATTGGGGGGCGACGGGCTCATGTGGATATCGATTCCCCAGCTCGTATTCCTATTCCACCCCTTGGCAGAGCTGGAGTAGCCGCCGGAGGAATCGCCCGCCGACGAGTCGCCATCGGCCAATTCGGAGCCACACTGGGAACCCACGTTGACTGCCGCACTACAGACCCACATCCAAAATCCAGATCGGGAAGGAAGAAAGAAGAGCAAGCAAATCCAGATCAAAGAGGAAGAAGAGCAAAGGCATGGCCGGGATGCTGGCGGACCACCCACTCGACACGCTCCGTATCCGCCAGCAGCAGCCGTCGTCGCCCGCCATCCGCCATCAGAGTTCGTGCCCCGATCGCAAGCGCGCTTGCGCAGAGCCGGAGGAGGAGCGCAAGGAGTGGGAGGAGGAGGCGGCTGCGGGGGTAAGAGCTGCGTCGGAGTCCGGTGGCAGCAATGACACGAGAAGCGAAGGGAGGAGGCGAGCACAAGATGAGATGAGTGCGCCAGTTGGTAGGAGGAGGCGGATGGAGTAAATGAGGGGAAGAGAGAGGGGGATAAGAGAGGGGTAGTATAGTAAAATAGCTACATGGGCTTTTTGGGTTAGGGACACTCATTGGACCACCAGGGGTATCCTCCATTGTATGAGGAGTTCCCCAGAAAGTGCCCTCAGTTAGTGAGGGCACCCATAGAGTGTCCCTGGTTGTGCATGCCCATCACCTTGGAATATTAAACTAGAAAAAGTAGAGCATCTTCTCTCGCAAAATTGCTTTCCATTGACTGATGTTTCTAGGTGTACCTAAAATATATCCTTGCTACCTGGTGCTTAGCTTTTTTTTTTTAGAACACCTGATGCTTAACTTGAGATCGTTTCTTCTCTTTCTTTAAGGTCATGTTCTTTTCTCTGACAAGAGTTGGATGAAGATTAAGATTTTCGTGGCTTTTCAAACTGATAAACGTTGCGTATCGTGCGGAAATTTTCTATATGAAAGTTGCTCTAAAATATCATATTAATATATTTTCAAGTTTGTAATAATTAAAACTCAATCAATCATACGTTAATACCACCTCGTTTTGTGTAAAAACTTAATCTTCATCTTTATCTTTAGGAAAAAAGAACACCAAGGCTAGTACCGATGCAAAAGGTTTGTATGCAACGTATAGGAGCCGGTCTTTTGTTCTTCTATCTCCTTTAGTGTCCCTATATTGTGGATGCTCTAATAAGAGCAATGCCAACATAGATAAGTTTTTGTATTACCGGCATTTTAGTAAATTTGGTAGCAAATCAAATAGTGCTAAATTACTACGAGAACGCCAGCTATCGTGTGCTCAATGGATAGCGAAATATCGAGCTTCTTCCCAACCAGTTGTTTACCTCCTTGACTCCCTTTCTCTCTTCTTTCTCATACGCCCACTTTTCTCTCTCACACACTCACCAGGAGAGGATGGCGTCACCCCCAACCTTTACTAGGAACACCGCTACCCCCCTCCCCCCCGAGCCACATTGCCCCCGCTTTGTCACCACTGACGCCCTTTATCCGGTCTTGTCCTCCACCAACAACACAATCATCGACGATTGGCCCTTCCGCTTAGGTCGGAGTTCATCGGGCTCCACAACCCTTAGGTTGTTGAAGTATTGGATATCTCTGATTCAGCCTACTACCCCTTTGCCGCTGCCACTCATTGTCACATAGTCTAGAGCACGCCATTGGAGGGGAGGAAGAAGCTAGATCTAATTGGTATATTTTGTGATATTTTTTTTGTGTTTCAGCCAATGTATCGTGATGTTTTAATGGTATTTCCATTTTTCTCTTTGATTATTGTGGATTTGTTGACGTTTCAGCAGTGGAAGCTTGATGTTTCATGTATTAGAAGAAAGTGTTTCAATCCATGATTCAACCATGTTTCATGATTTTAGTAGTCTCAAACATGTGCTAAACTAGTAGTGAAACATTCTTCTACGAGTAATAAAGCAACGCCTAATTTTCTGATTTGTAGGCCTATTTAAGAAGCTTGTAACATTTTGGTACAACAAGTTTGACTTCCTATACTTTTTCCATCTTCACCTTATCAAATTTTAGTATGTTATTTAAGTTTATTTTCATAAAAACACAGCCGAAATTTAGAAAGGTTGCAAAGCAAACACGTCCAACGTTATCAAAAATTGGTAATAATAAAATGTGCCAAAATTCACAAAGTGAACAAATTGAAGATTGAACATGCTCATACTGTCATCCAAAAAATAAATTTCTGCGAAGTTGAAAATATTATTGTCTACAAGTCATATATCAAAAATCAAGATTAAAAACCTGACAACCGGAGATTAATTATTTCCAGTTGGCATTTAACGTATGTGTAGTATTATTGAAATCTTCAAATCTGCCATATTTTGGGTAAACCTGTTAACAAAGATATATCCATATATGGTATTTGTAGAGTGTGGGGATAGTTGGAACAGAGTATACGCGATATTGAGGTAAAAGAGATGAGAGACATGGATTTTTATACAGGTTCGGGCCCCTTAAATGACAGGTAATAGTTATACTCCTTTTGGGCAAAGCCAGTATTGCTTTTATATATCAGTATCTCATCTCAAGAGTAGAAGATTTGGGATGACCTAATTTAATCTCTGTCAGCTTGACGGCATGGAGCTCTCACACGTAGTCGGCGCTACAGTGTAGTCTTCTTTCTCAAACATGAACTCAGTGAGATTGGAGGTAGCTATCCCTCATGCTGGTCTTTGTGGCTTCTATATTGGGTTTGTTTAGATCTGTATTTGCTTGTCTTCTGTCTTAGTCTGTCCCTCTCCTTGTCTTAGTCGGTCCCCTCTCCTTCTATGGCGTCTTGTATTTATAACGAAGATCATCATTTATTACTCTCCAAGTAGAAGTTGGAAAAAATAGAACATGATACGAACTAAGGAGACCTTATCTTCCCTGATTACGACTCTAACACATTCTGTTTTGGGAAGATACTTTTTTTTTATCCGCTGTATTTACTTAATCAAAGGATGCCTTCTCATATTCCATTAGGTATATGGTATTCTCGTATACCACGAACTCATGTATAGAAGGTATGTGTTATACTTGGTACTGACAAAATCATAGAATCAACTAACCCGCCTTGTAGTTTCGTTCTCATTAGCTAATCTTCTGTTCATGCATGCTTGGATGTACAAGTCCACGCCTTTCTATTTTCTAATTACCAATTTGCCATGTAGTTCTACGCCCATACGTACTGATTGCTCCCTAATAGCCTGATGAATATAATAAGAAATAATTCATCGAATTGTATCATTTCAACTCACCAATCAATTAGGAACAGTTTCTTGCAATCTTGCTAACACCTTGAGAAGGATTATTTGAGATTCGAATTTCGCATTCTTGTGAAGAGTCATACTAAATTGGCAAAATTTGCAATGGGACACTAAAAAAATGTGTAATTGACACGGCTAATGGACACTAAAAAATTATTTAATTAGCTGTAGAACACTGGAGATAATATTTTATAATTTCTGAGTCAGAAGAGGTGAGAATTTTTTTGAAATAGCGAGATTGCCCCTAGCGCTGCTCCTCTCCGGCTCGCTCGCCCTGTCACGAAGCACCGGCGCTGCTGCCTTGTGCGCGGCCACCTCCTGCTCACGATTGCCCCAGGCACCGAGAACAATACAAGGAGAAAAAAAATCAAGAACAAAAGAGAAAACACATCAAGAACAAGTTTTTCTACTTTTTTTTTGCAAGAACAAACATAAAAAAAAGAGAGGAAAGAGATGATTTATGTTTCAGATTTGAGAGAGAAATCTCACCTTGTTGGTGGTGTTGGAGGTGAGGAGGAAGTGAGGAGGGCTGAGGATGAGGTCAGCGCTGCAGGGGTGGATCTGGATCCTCCGCGGCCGAGGCGCGCACAGCACCGTCGCCTCCCTGCCGGAGTTCGACGCCTACAACAATTCAACGAACAGCCTCTTCATCGCACCAGTCGGCATCTCCTCACTCTCCAAATATCCAACAACAACAAAAAATCCCTCCTTTTCAAGCTAGTATCACACTACCTATATCTATCTCTCCTCCGCATCCTCTTGCCAAGTCGCCTTCTGTAAATTTAGGTGATTGGAGCGGATGAGCTGAAGCAATGGAGGAAGAAGAAGATTTGGCCTTTGCCTTTTGGTTGGTTGGAACAAGAAGAAGAGGCAATGCAATGTCGAGGGACCCGAGATGTTGCAGGAGCTAAGGGTGCGTAGGAGGTGGCTGCGCGCGAGGGCGGCGGTCCGTGACAGGGCGAGCGATTCGAGAGGAGCAGCGCCAGGGGCAATCTTGCCATTTCAAAAAAAAAAAATCACCTCTTCTGATCCAGAAATTATAAAATATTACTTCCAGTATCCTACAGATAATTACATAATTTTTATAGTGTTCATCAGCCGTGTCACGTTTTTACGGTGTCTCTCAGCTAATTACACTTTTTTTAGTGTCTTGTACTTCATCCGTTTCATAATGTAAGACTTTTTAGCATTGCCCATATTTATATGGGTGTCAATGAATATAGTCATATATATATCATTGACACCCATATAAATATGGATAATGCTAGAAAGTCTTGCAATATAAAACGGATGGAGTAGCAAATTTTGCCTGCTAAATTTTGTGAAATCAAGCTGGGAACTATAAAAAAGAGGGGCTACACCAGTTGTCGAAGTTAACGGACGTAAGGTTCAACTGACAACTCTATAGTCTGTCTTCATCTTGGCACTGCTCGTGTTGCTTTTCTGTTTCTAGCTCAAGACATCGCACACAACGACTGTATTTGTTTTTGTTGCCTGGGTGAGTTTGAGAGGAGAGGAGAGTAAAAAACGAGGTGAGCTATTAGCATATAATTAATTGAGTATAAACTATTTTAAACTTTAAAATGAATTAATATAATTTTTTAAAGTAACTTTCGTATATTATTTTTTAAAAAAAACACACCATTTAATAGTTCGTACGTGCGGAAAACGAAACAAACTTTCTCACAATCTAACGCTGCCGAACGCAGCAGGACATAAGGAGAGAAAGGACATAACACAAACTTTCTCACAATGTAAGGCCTGGTTTAGTTCCCCAATAATTTTTCCCAAAAACATCACATCGAATCTTTGACACATGCATGAGCATTAAATATAGATTAAAAAAAACTAATTGCACAGTTGGGGGGAAAATTGCGAGACGAATCTTTTGAGCCTAATTAGTCCATGATTAGCCATAAGTGCTACAGTAACACACATATACTAATGATGAATTTAATTAGGCTTAAAAGATTTGTCTCGTGATTTCCAGACGAGTTATGAAATTAGTTTTTTCATTCATGTCCAAAAACCCATTTCAATATCCGATCAAACATCTAATATGACATTCAAAAAGTTTCTTTTCGTGAACTAAACATGCCTTAACTCTTTCAACTTGACACTGCTTACATATCTCCTGTATCGTTAAATTGACGCTACTCAGAGGGGATAGAAAGAGGGATGGAGGACATAAGGAGGAGAACCATCAAAGAGGTGGTCAACAACATGTGAACACCACGGTTTGGTCAACTGCATTAATATCATGTGGATGAAAATCACTTTGATTTACGCCGTGTTTAGTTCCAAAATAATTCTTCAAACTTCCAACTTTTTCATCACATCAAAACTTTTCTACACACACAAACTTTTAACTTTTCCGTCACATCGTTCCAATTTCAACCAAACTTTTAATTTTGGTGTGAACTAAACACAGCCTTTAAGGGGGTAAAATGAACTGTTTAATAGTTGATAAACGTAAATATCGATATAAGAGCCAACGGATGTAAACTGAGGCCTCGTTTAGATCCCAAAAACATCACATCAAATCTTTGGACACATGTATGAAGTATTAAATGTAGATTAAAAGAAAAACTAATTGTACAGTTAAGGAGGAAATCGCGAGACGAATCTTTCGAGCCTAATTAGTCATGATTAACCATAAGTGCTACAGTAACTCACATGTGCTAATGGTGGATTAATTAGGCTCAAAAGATTCGTCTCGCAGTTTCCAAGCGAGTTATGAAATTAGTTTTTTCATTAGTGTCCGAAAACCCCTCCCGACATCCGGTCAAACATCCTATGTAACATCCAAAAATTTTCATTTCGCGAACTAAACAGGCCCTGAGCCATGTATCCTACCATTTACTCCCTCCAACTTGATAATATGTTTAGAACAACACTAATATCAAATTTTAAAATCTTTAACTATAAATAAATTTTTAATATATATATATATCAGTTAGTTTTTAAAAAATAATTCAATAAAATTATACTTCCTCCGTCCCAAAATATTGCTATAGGTAGTATATTGTTAAATTTTTTATATATTTTATAATATAAAATATTGGTTAAATTTATTTTTTAAAAAATTATAATTTTATTTAAATCGATAAGCATTATCAACATGAAGGGTAGCAAATAAACCCTTATTATCAACTTGAAGGGTAGCAAATAAACCCTTTTATGGGTCCATATAACCTACGATGAAAATTAATATTGAAACAAACGTTTTGATCCCCGCTATCAAAACGTTTTGCAAGCTCGTGGGACGGATTTGCAAAAGGTAGCGACCGTGGAATGTGTGTGTGTGATCTTCGGATCCGACGGCCCGGGCCGCCCGGCTGTGCCGTGCAGGCGTACTATCCCCTCCTGTCCCCTCGCTTCCATGTGGCCAGGCCGACCAATCAATCATTCTCGCCTAGAAAGAGCAACAAACGAGGCCGAGCAATCAAAACAGCCTACTAGTTCCCACTTCCCACTCCACTACAGTGTCACCGCCCCGCTAATCCGCCCATACTCCGGGGGCAAAACCGTAATCCACCATCTCTCCTCCTCCCTCCCCTCACCCGATCGACCCCCCCGCGCAAAGTGGGCTCGCAGGACAAAGGGGCTGTTTGGTTACCAGGAACACTTTACTATTACTTGCCAACAAAAGTTGACACACCTTGTCTAAGGTGAGGTGATCAAATTGTTAGTCACAACTTACTAAGCCTAAAGGAATCTTGCCACACTTTTTTGAGCCATTGACACGTGGGACCTAATTTGTTAGAGGGGAATCTTGCCACAACTGTGGCTACAACCAAACACCTGTCAAATTTGCCTAACCTTAGGCGTGGCAAACTGTGGCAAAGTGTGGCTTGCAACCAAACACACCCAGAGCCCCTTTACCTCTCCCCACCTCACCGCCTCCCCTGCTACACCCGGTCTGCATACACCATCCCACTGTCACGTGGGCCCCGCACCACCCTGGTTCAGTGGACCCGGTGCAGAGGCCCGCCCACATCACGGCCATCGCCAAAAGGCACGCTGTTTGAGAGGAAAAAGAAGAGGGGGGAAATTACAAATGAAAGCGCCCCCCCTCGGTGGTCTTCGCCTGCACGGCGTCCACCAAACACCGCGTGGACCATCCGTGCGCATGTGTCGCTGACGGTGGGCCCGACTCGACGGGGCGTTGGTAGACGCGGTGCATGCGGCCTCTCTCCACGGGGTGGTAACCTCCAAAGGCACGTTATTTGATGGGTGGAAAGGGATTAAAAAAGAAAGGCGGAGGGGGGAAATTGGAAAAATAAAATAAAATAAACAATTCACTCCTCCTAACAAGCGAACAAAAGCTTCACTGCCCCCTTGTCTGCAATGGCGTCTCGAGCTTTCCCACGAGCTCCCCGCCGCTGCTGCTCGCCCTAGGGGCCCCGACGCTCCAGCGGTAAACCCTACCTCCTCCTCCTCCTCCGTCGCCGGGATGGGGTCCACCTCCTCGCCGTCCCCGCCGCCGCCGCCGATGATCGGGAGGGCCGGGAACCTCACCGTCTTCATCACGCCGCCGTCGCCGGCGAGCACGCCGCGCTCCTCGCGCCCGTCCGAGTCCCCTCGGTCGGGCTTCTCGACCCCGGCGACGGCCCCGCGCACGGCCGCCTCGCCGTCGCCGCCGTCTCCGGCTCCCTCGCCGCAGCAGCAGAGGGTGGCCAGCCCGCCGCCCACGATCCCGGTGAAGTTCTCCCCGCCTGCGGCTCCGGTGAAGGTCCCTCCTCCGCCTCCGGTGCAGGTGCCCCCGCCGCAGTACGAGAAGGCCTCCGCGGGGGGCAAGCACGACGGATCGGCGTTTGGTTTCTTCTGGGACGCCGTCGCGCGCGTGCAGGAAGGTGAGGCGCATCCAGATTTTTTTTTCAACTGCATTTTCAGATTTTAGCTCCGGATTTGGGATTCTGATGCGTCGAATTTCTCTCCGGTCGCCGCAGCCCACGCGAGCCTCGACGAGTACGTGGCGAACTGGTTTGGGCTGGATCAATCCAAGTACCAATGGGCTCTCAACGACTACTACGAGAGCACCGGCAAGGTTCGTTCTCCCTGATTTCTCTTACGCGATTTTGCTGCTTTTGCATGTAATTTCGGGGAATCGGATTCGATCCATGTCGTGTAGGTTGCTTCGTGTGCATGTTTATTCTTTACTGGATCTGCGCCCGTAATGAGAATCTGGGATAGAATTTGCTCGGTAATTTTCAGTATGAAATTGAGCAAACGTTTCTGTTTGGTTGGTGGGATGCACTTATGGTGGATGCTGCTGTAGTTTATCCTGGTGAAGTCTACTACTTGATGGTGAACATGGAGCTGTCCTTCTGACCATGTCCTTTAGATCATAAAAGTGTTGATCTGTGCGTTCTGAGTGTGATAGATGCTCGTAGGTGTGTCTTATGTGGTAGGTACTATTTGGGCCCGAAAGGCATTTGTGTTGTGGGGAATATATGCAAAGGGTTTTAGATTGAGTGTGTGCAGCAAAATTCAATTCGGCCTAACATCTGTAAAGGTGGATTCAAGCATAGGCCTGAAACACAAGGCAAGGATAGATACCTAATCGCCCTTTTTAGCATCTATACAAATGATCGAGAGTTATCACTTGGTAGAAAATGTGCAGTAGGCTTATCATATTGTATAGAGAGATGCTCTTGGAAGCTTTTTCAAAGTTGTTCCATGATTCTACCTTTGAGTGTACCTGCTGTTTGTATTAATTATTTCCGCTCAGCACACTTAATGACACTTATGATGATTTGTAAATTGCAACAATCATGATTGACAAGAGGGTGAAATGACAAATTTGTCCCTGCTGATATTTGCGTCCTTCGTATCAGTGGCAAATGCCCCTGGGACTGGTGTCACTGTAAACCTTTTGACCGTTCTGTTATTAAACGCTCCTAGAAGAACTGTCAACAGGGTATTTAGAAGTGTGATGTGGAGTTAGATATGAATAGTTCATATGATAAGTATGTTCAGGATGGCTTTACTAGGTAGGATTGTATGGAAGAAACAGTTCTGATTTCTTTACGTAATGGGACATAATTCCATTGCTTGGAGTGACTAAATCACATTAAGTGATTGGCAAACTGGCAAACATCTGATATTTAATAGACTAGCTCACTCCATTTTAACTGATTTTATCTTAGGGGCCATAGAATACCTATGCCACCTTTGCATTTATGTACATTTATAAATACTTGTTTTACAACCTATCCTTTTTACACACTTGCACATTTGTAGAGAATGTTGGTGATTCCTTACAGATGTACAATTGCATTTGGTTATGTTCTAGGGAATGCCTGTTTTGTTTTAGGAGTGCCATCCCAAACAGACAATGTAGCAAGTTGGCGGAATCGTTGGTTATTTTTCAATGATTTTTGTTACCACATGGACAATGTTTTATGAATGTTTTTTGTTCTAACTATTCTGCTTTGTTCGAACTTCGAAGTAACATTGTCATAAGACTTTACAATTACCAAGAATATAAATTTGTCTTTTATATGGAAAATAGGAACTCAAACAATGTCCTTTGTTGCAACACTTGGCAGTTAGAGCATTGTCAACATGTAATGAGGTACTACCAACACATTTATATACCCTTCTTAATTGATTAGCTTTAATGTGGTAATGAGCACACCCACCTAACTTCTCCAACTGCGCTGTTCAACTTGCACTTTGTAACAGCTATTTAGAAGAATGTGATATTTAACTCCATGAGGTCATCACTCATCATAAAAGGACTCACCATTTTAATTAATAGTATTGCCTTGGATGGCTGTATGTCTACATCCTTTGGTGTTATCTGATATTTGCCAAATCCTAACCTTCAATTGTTGGCGGCCATATGGGTGTATAGTGCAGCTATGTCATGGACCCCTTGTGGCATCAGATGTTTGTAATTGTATCATAGAAGCATTTCTTGTCACATCATTGTTTATGCAATACAATTGCTTATCTGATTATAATAAATGAATTGGCAAGCATCCCAATTAGAACTTTGATGAGAAGGGTTGTAACTTGCATCTTCCAGTGCCTAATAATTTTAGTTGACTGCAGGAAGTGGAGTGTGGCAAAGCTGGCAAGCCAAAGGAGCTTACTACTAGCAAAGTGCAGAAAGTTTAGAAGGTCTGTTCACATGATAAAACCAGCAGTTCTTTTCTGGAATTACGCTGAGGAGCATTTTGCAGCGACTTCTTTCTGGGTTGAATGTGTAGCTAAGCAAATGTGTGGAGAAGTTCGATTTGTTAGATCTTGGGGGCGTAAAGGTGGTTGTCTGTTTTTCAACTGCATGGAGTCTCTTGGCAGGTTTACGGGCTGCGCTGGAAGGGAATTGAGACTGCTAGGCGTTTTGTTCACTCCTGCCAGGATCTCTATTGTAATCCTATGTTATGACAAAATTGCATATTCGCAATGCCTAATAGTGTTTTTTTTTTTTGCCTTCCGTGAAATATGCAAATTGCATATTCTTCTGAGCTCTTTAACCTTGATGTGTGGTGGCAACTGGCAAATGCGCAAAAAATTCTAATCACTAAAATCGCTCCAAGACTTTATTATGGCGAATGTGTTGATCAAGTTAGACTAAGGAAATAACATTTTATATTACTCTATGACTTTATCTATTCATTCATGTTTCTACCAAATACTAATTTAAATATCTGTTTTGATTGTCGCATAACTAGTAAAAACAAAACTTCAGTCACCAACAATTTGTGTCATCATAACATGCCAAGTGAGAATGACGGCAAGCATGCTATTTTTCCATTACGGAACCTATATGCATGTTTGATTTACTACCGTCCTCAATGGCTCAAACATACCAAAAATGGGGAAATACAGAAGTTGCCTGTCCCCCCCCACCCCCTCCCCCCCCAAAAAAAAAAAGAAAAAAGAAACAAAAGTTGCCACTCTTCAACACTAGGCTTATTTTTTTTTCTTTTTAATAAGGTCTCAAACTAAATATACCTTCGCATTTCTTTAACCTTTCAAAGTTTATTTTTAACCGGACATTTTGTCCTCACATTTCCAAAAGGACGCAATTAGCAATTGGATGGAAGTGTGCACATGCTCCGTCCGATTTCTTTTGGTTTGAGCTCGCTCGTGATTATCCCACCATGTGACTCTCCTGCACCAATTGAAAATTTTGACATCGCTTGTTGGAATATAAAGTGAATTGTTAGCCTTTCCTTATTAGTTTAAGCTTTTGGGTTGAACTGGTCGATATATGCAACTCAATATGGTATCAGAGTCAAAGGTCTCGAGTTTGAATCCTGGCTGGCACACAATTAAATAAACATTGCAGCACACTTCTATTCCATGCTAGAGGCTTGAGGGGGCCTCGCGTAGGGGGATGGTGTTGGAATATAAAGTGAATTGTCCGTCTTTCCTCACCAGCTTAAACTTTTGGGTTGGTCGGGCTCTTTGGGTGTCACTCTCCTCGGTCTCTCCACAACTCTCTCGCATCCCCCTTCAATACCGCTCATTTCTTCCTGACCCCTTTTCCTTCTCTCAAGCGGTTCGCCACTGGTTAGGGTGGGGAGGGGTCCGATGTCGTTCCTCTAGTAGTAGTAGTAGTAGTAGTTGTAGGTCTTGTCAGGTTACTCCCGTAGCTTTTGCTTTTGAGGTTCTTGAGGTGGTTTTTGGCATTGGTGTTGTGAGGCTCATCGTCAGATTTGGTCCCGTCAGCAAGTCTCAACATCGACGGCGTCCTATCTACTGGCTAGGATGCTTCCACATATGCACAAGAAGAGGTCGCACTGGCCTTCACCGTTAACCGTTATCTTTGGCGAGCTCGTTCTAGGGATGCATGCCTTCTTCCTGAGCTTCGGCGAAAGTTCTTTATGGGAGGCTGATGGTGTTGACTCAAGCCGAACTGACCTCAACCTCCCATGCATCAAGGCCTCTTTTGGGTGTGGTCTTTGGTTTCTTATGCAACTTCTTATGCTTCTTCACCATACTTCGTCAGTGCTTTGGATCTAGACTTGATCTTTGGAATTGTTGCTATTGCATCTTTCTTTGGCTTATGATTCAGTGGAAATCTTTTGTGGTGTGGCTGAAATTTCGATTTGTATGCTATCGCTTGAACCTCCATATGTGTGTGAGGGCCCCTTTTGGGATTATGCAGTGATTCAATCATATGCAGCTCACCTTGTGTCGACGGGGATACCCATAGACCGAATGAATAGGGTAGTGGGGTACGTTGGTACGAGGATCTACACGACATGACATCAAGCAAATAAGAAAATGAGGATTATACTGATTCAGGCCCCTCGTAAGGTAATAGCCCTAATCCAGTTTATATGAGATTGATATGGAAAGACCACATATTACAATGGAGAATCAACAATCTCGAGATTACCGGCGAGATCCTTGTCGAGATAGATTCGACGAGATCTCCCGGTGAGTAGGCTTCGCATCCTCTAGATTATAGGCTATGGTGGTTGTGTTGATGCTATGATTCGATGATCCAAACCCCTCAGGAGGTGTGCCTTTTATACTGTGAATCACCTAAGTCTCCAAGTAGACCTCAGAGACTATGGACCCCATCCGATATAATACAAACCCAATCCTCCCCGAGTAGGATTCTGACATTCACTTGCTCGTGAGGATAATTTCCATAATCTCTTGCTAATTTCCTTATTGTATATGGAAACATATCACACATATGAAGGTATGTCGTATCCGTACATTCCATGAGTAGTAGGATATGAGGTATGCCTTATCCGTAACCATGACACCTTGCTTCTAGTTCTGTTGGAATCAAGCTCCAAGACTTCGTTGTTGACGCTGCAAGCAATCGAAGAAGAAGGACCTGATTGTTTTTTTCAATTCTTCCTAAGTCCTTTTCTGCAAAATGTAGCTTAAAAGGGCAGCTATCACGAAGAGCGATTGCTGTTCTTCCAGCAATGCCTTCTTCCTGTTTTCAAGAATGCGGATTTAGTTCTGAACAAGAAGTATATGATCTTGTATGATCACTGCTAGATCGACGAAAGCCAGAAATAAAGACTCCTCGAGGACACCCAGAATTTGCTCTAGTTTGAGCTTAGTGTTTTCTATATTTTGGATTTCCCGAGGAATTGCTGATAGTCTTGCAGTGATATCAATGGCTTTGACTCTTTCTTTCTTGTCCCGCAAAATATAGTGTGCGCCGAAGCTTATATTTATAGACGGTGTAATTTACCCATTGCCAAGGGGTTTCTTTACAAAAGTGGATGTATCCCAGTCCACACCTATGATTCATGCAATGTAACCACTCATGTATGTCTCTAACTTAGCTATATTAATAAATGCATGAGTTAAAAAAAACATTTGCTCGCAATGTGGCAACCAACAGTACAATAGATTTTCTATCTCCATTGAACAATAACCGTCAACTAAATCATTCCTTCTCAAATGAACATCTATTTTACAACTATTTTTGGTTTTTTTTCCAATTATCAAACACTATGTCGCTAGTAATCCTCAACTAAATCATCCTTATTCAAAAGAAACGTCTATTTAGCAAATTTCTTGTGTTTTTTATTTATCAAGAGTGCTCCTATTCAATAAGCAAAAAATCTTTGCTACAATTAAGGGCAGACCCATTGCAACCAAAATTACTACTTGCGCAGAAATAATTTTTTTTCATACAACAATAAAAATGTTTGCTGCAACTAGGGCACCCATACTTATGGTTTAGAACAAAATCTTAGGACGGCTAAACATCATATGTTTGGCTCATGACAAACCTTACATCATCCCTTGCATGCCCATATAAATTTAAGAGAATAGGTTGCCACTAATTCTCATCCCAACTCATTTCATTCAATTCAAACAAGATCCGACACTCATGACTTAACAATCATCTCTGCATATCAACTTAGAGTATGCTGATTAAAGGGTGGTGAAGTCAACCATGGAGGAACAGTAAGCAAGGTGTAACTCAATGTTTGTATCATCATCATCTTTGGCTAAATTTGATTCCTCCAGAGCAATAGGTCAATGAATAAGCTGATATGAGCCACCAACAATGTGCCTGAGAGTGGGTGGAGCTAAGGGTTCACCTCATTCTCGTTTTTCATATTCCATTAGTTTTACTCTATGTTACCTTGATATATGTACCATGATACGGATACGTGATACGTCTATACGTGGATACAACATTTTCTAAAAAAAACATAGATACGCAGATACGTCTATATATATATAGTGCAGAAAAATAAAAAAAAATCAATGACAAATTAGAACAAACTTGTTCAGAACTTCAGGTTCAACTCAATATCTAGATAGCTAGATCAGTTTAATTGTTTCTTGCATCATCAGATAGATCAAACGCTCCAAGATCTTCTAGTACTCTCTTAAGGTTGTAGTTGTATGCACAGAGTGATAGGAGAGTAGGAGTTCACTAAAGCTAGAGAAAACAAGCAAAATGAAACATCTCATAGCTATCTCCTCTAACGTTATGAATTTGCGGTTGCATTAGCGGTTATTACTAGCATAATGACGGTATATAAAAAATCATTGAAGATTTGAAGGGGGCTTGAAGTGGAGTGGATGAACAAGTGAAAGGTGGTGAGAGGGTTACTTTGTGCCTAGCGGCCATAGCAATGTGCCCGGCTGCCAAGCTGCTGGCTGCGGCACCCAATGGCCGACAGAGGTGCTCTGCGTTTGTTCGTCGGAGAGCAAAGCTGCAGCACTAGGAGGACGGCGGAGGCAACACATTAGACGGCAGCACACTTCTACACTATGCGGACGGTTGAGGCGCTGCGCTCGATATCCAACGATTGGAACATGCTAGTTGTTGTGCCTTGCTGCGCTTCGTAAGGTTGAACGACGGTGGCGCACGGGGTGGATGTCAGGATCGATGCTAGGGCTTGGACTTATTAGGAGTGCGTCGATATGTATCGGGAAAGTATCCGGAATTATTTCTTTTATTTAGAAATCTTGGTAATTGGCGATATGTACGGGATACAGATATATAAGACGGTGTATCCAATATGGGTATGTGACTATCCATACATCCTAGATTTTACTTAGGCACAGGGTTAGATAAAAGAAAATTGCTTGCTTCAATGCTAGGGCATAGAGAAAGGAAAATTGAGGAGAAATGTGAGACAATAATAATTATTGGTGGCGGCTCAAAAAAAATCATGCCAGATTTTGGAAACGAGTTAGTTTTCTCTTTTCAACATACTATATTAGTAATTAGAAGGAAACTATTTTTTACTATCATATATTTAGATCAAATATATATAATAGTTAGAAACATTGAAGTTTTACAGTACGTCTTCTCTAGATGTGAGAAAAGCTATGAATCATGTGATTTTTCCACTGTCATCAATATTGTAATTATTTATGGCGAATTTTTCATTCCTTAATAGCAACTACACTGGTAATGCAATGGTTTATTTAAGAAACCGACTTTTTTAAATGTGACTGTTTTTTAAAAAATATATTAATTTTAATCAATTATTATTTTGGTAGTTTATTCATTTTTTTCGAAAAAGTTTACTAGAAAAAATGTCCATGCGTTGTAACGGGTGAGTCTATTTTAATCTTATTATTGTTATATGGTTTAGTTAAAATGAAATTCGAGTTCGCTGGGATATATATATTTTTAGAAAATCATGAGCTATAGTTAGGAGTCCGATCGTTTCACATTGACATGTGAGTTTCTTTAAACATATTTCTTATATGATTTCTTCTGTATTACCAAAAGTGAACGATCTTATAAATTGACTCAAATACGGATATATATTTTCAAAAGCAAATGAACTTAAAAACCGATTCATACGCATACGACGTATTAAATTACTGACGAAAACATCTAGAGATTTTTTGATTAACGAAACGGCAGGACAGGAGGATGAATTCGAAAACAAGGGGATAGAATTTCCCCCGAACGCGGAAGGCGGAACACATCCAACTTTCCCATGTAAAGCCCTCTCCCCCTCGGCGAAACCCTAGCTCCTCTCCTCTCCTCTTCCTCGTCCTCGCAGCACAAATGTCCGACCGCCGCCACGACCGGGAGAAGCCCCGCGACCGCGACCGGGAACGCGGCCGAGACGGCGAGCGCGACCGCGAGCTCGACCGCCCCCGCGACCGCGACCACCGTGACCGCGACCGGGACAAGGAGAGGGATCGAGATCGCGACCGCGACCGCGAACGCCGCCGTGGGGAGCGTGACCGGAAGCGCTCCCGCTCTCCCTCCGCCGACCGCTCCCACCGCCGCCACTCCCACTCCCACTCCCACCGCGGCCGCTCGTCCCCGTCCCCGGACGCCGGCCGCCACAAGCGCCGCCGCGACGGGTCCCCCGCCGCCGCCGCCACCGACCACAAGGACGACAAGAAGCCGGAGGCCCCCGTGGTGCCCAAGAGCGCCGCCGGGGACGGGGTCGCGCCGGGCGACGGGGATGTGGACGTGGAGGAGCTGGAGATGATGAAGATGATGGGGATCCCCGTCGGCTTCGACTCCACCAAGGGGAAGCACGTCCCCGACGCCGACGTCAGCGGGGTGCGCGTCGTCACCAAGCGGCAGCCGCGGCAGTACATGAACCGCCGTGGCGGGTTCAACCGGCCCCTTCCACCGGAGCGCAACCGCTGAGGAGAGGAAGGTTTGCATTTCCTTTTGCTCTTAGATTTTCTAGATTTTTTTATAGACCTGCTTGCTGATTGCGAGCACAATTTAATTCTACTGAAGGCATGAGTTGGATGGAGTTGTTTTGCTTGTGGAAATTTGCGCTAAATTGCGCCTGAATCTTTTGACTAACTGGATGAGTTATGTTACTAGCATCTTGTTATGAATGTTCTGAATTATGAGCGAAATACAAACATTACGCTTACCTACAATCCAAACTGTTTTATATGGATTTTGTATGTTCAAGATCTGTTCCAAATGTTAAGTGCCGTGGCATTTTAAACTATGAGCATGTCTGTACTTTGTACGCAGGGCATTTAGTTTCATTAGTGCCTTTATGTTCTGACTAGCTGTTTTATTCAACTTCCAAACAGAACAAAACTAGTATTCTGTATTTCATCTTCAGAACCATTTTGTCTTCTCATTGTAGTTGGACTTGCCTGTAGTAGCAAGATGTGCATGAAATAAGATCGTAGTTTAGCTTTAAAACGGTGTTGGTCCTTGAGGGACTGAGGCCTGAACAAGGCTATGCTGCTCTAAATCTTCTTCACAGGGTAACTATTCTATGTGGGCGATGGGATTAAACTCTGCATGCTGTGATATTTTGCGATATGTTTTTATATATCAAATGTGTAGATTGGAATGTTCTGAACTCTTTATGAGACTGACAAGCACAGAAATAATAATAATAATTTGCCAGGGCATTTCATATTAAATATAAAAGTCACTTGAAAGTAATACTTTCAAATGGATTTTGTTATTTATGATTTTTTGAAGATATAAAATGTTTTATTGTAATTGATCCATGGTATGCATTGCAAGGTTTTCTAAGCATTTGGAATTATATTTGCTATCAAATGCTTGCACCAAACATTCTGTTGCCTTTTGTTAGCCAAATCCCGCATATTCATTATTCTGGTTTTAATCATAAACAAGTTCGGAAATGGCTATGTTCAAATGTGGACTATAGATGGACATCAAGTGTGGATCTAAGTTACATTTTACTCAACAAAAGTTGGTTCAACTATTCATAGACCATAGTGTAATATGAAGCACTCTAAATCAGTATGGACGTATGGTATGACAGAAAAGTCCTTGTGCGTCCCTCTTCAGCTTGAACACCCACTTAAGAGTGATCGCGCGGTGACCACGAGGGAGGTCAGCAAGCTCCCAGGTGCGGTTCTCCTGAACCGCGTCCATCTTCGACTGCATCACGGCACGCCATGCCGCGTGTCTCTTGGCCTCTGCGAAAGACTGAGGCTCACCATCGTCGCACGCAAGGTGCAACTGTGCCTCCAGGTCGCGAGGCACCAGTCCCGGCACTGACTGGTCACCGAGGAGGTCCTCCATCGTACAGTACCGCGGCAGCTCGCCATCGTGGTACGCGTCGATGCGCTCCTCGTCGTGGGAGAGCGGAGTAGCGAACTCCACCGGGCTGTGCTCAACACGAGCTGGCGTCGGGGTGGACGTGCCCGGAGGAGTGGCTGTTGGTGCTGGAGTGCGTGGGGTCGCCGGCTGTGGTGGTGTCGACGAAGAGCTCGTCGTAGTCGAAGTAGTGGCTCGAGGGTGTGTCTGTGCCGGAGTCGGTGGAGGCTCGGGGACTGGGGTAGACACGCTCGGTGAAGAAGAGCTGCCTACTCCCCCAGCTCCCTCGAAGTGGACGTACTCGACAGTGAAGTCGTTGTATGTCGGAGTCGAACCGTCGTCCACCGCTTTGTCCCATGCCCACCCTCGCCTATCGTCGAACACTACGTCGCGCACCGTGCGCACACGCTGTGTCTCCGGATCGAGAATGCGGTAGGCCTTCGAGCCCTCCGTGTAGCCGATGAAAACCCTTGGGGTGCTCCTGTCGTCGAGCTTGCCGATGTGGCCAAGCTCCTTGGCGAACGCGAGGCAACCGAAGACCCGCAGGTAGGAGATCGCCGGCTTGCGCCCATGCCAAGCCTCGTACGGTGTCCTGCTGTCGAGGGCCTCGGTAGGCGAGTGGTTGAGGATGTAGACGGCCGTCACCACCGCCTCTCCCCAGAAGATGGCCGGCATCCCCCTCTGCTTGAGGAAAGCCTGAGCCATCCCCACAACCGTCTGGTTGCGCCGCTCGACGTCGCCGTTCTGCTGCGGGCTGTATGGCGCGGTGTAGTGGCGATGAATGCCCTCATCAGCACAGTACGACGCGAATTCAGCCGCCGTGAATTCGCCGTCGTTGTCGGTGCGCAGCATGTGGAACTTGCAACCTGATGGTGTCCGCAGCCTCTCCCTTGCTGCTGAGGACCATCACCCACATGTAGTGGGGAGAGGTCGTCGATGAGCAGCAGGAAGTAACGTCGTCCTCTTGGTGTGGCCGATGTCACTGGGCCACACAAGTCCCCGTGCACGAGCTCGAGCCGCTCCTTGGCTCGGAAGCTCGTCTGGTGGGGAAAGGGGAGCCGCCTCTGCTTCGTTACCACGCAGATGTCGCAGAGCTGCTCCACGTGGTCAAGGCACAGCAGGCCTCACACCATCTCCTTGGCACTGAGCCTCTTCAGGGCCTCGAAGTGAAGGCGCTCGAAGCACTCGTGCCACTGCCACGCCTCGTCGTCTTGACGAGCGGCGAGGCAAACTGGTTGTGCCACCTGCGCGTTGAGAATGTAGAGTCGATTAGTGCCTCTGGTTACCTTGGCAAGAAGGCGGCGACGGCGATCCCAAATTCTCATGACTCCGTGCTCGACCAACACGCGTGAGCCGTTTTTATCCAACTGCCCCATGCTGATGATAGAGTTCTTCAACGCGGGGATGTAGTAGACTTTGGTGAGCAGCCTGTGCTCACCGGACTTGGCGGTGAAGGTGACGAGCCGACGCCCTTGATGTCCACGCCGGAGGCATCCCCAAACTTGACGGAGCCTCGGACGCTGGAGTCAAGCTCGGTGAAGAACTCCCGTCGGCCAGTCATGTGATGGGTGGCGCCGGTGTCGAGGTACCACCCATTAGCCTTGTCGTTGTTGGAGCTGTTGCCGAGGAAGGCGTGTACCTTCGACTCGTCGAGGTGGAGAAAAACCGCTGCGGCCGGTGCTGCTGGAGAGCTCGATGCTTGCGTGTGCCAGGAGTAGAGCTGGCTCTTCCTCCACCTGTGCGACGTGGGCCTAGCCGCGTCGAGCCTGTCGACCGTCTTTGGCCCAATGGCCAAGCTTGCCACAGTTGCGGCAGGCGTCGTCTCGTGCTGGCTTATGGTTGCTAGCGGCGCCGCCCTGGGTGCCTCTTAGAGGGCCACCCTCGGTGCGTCTTCGCGTCCACCGCAGCTGGCCGCCTCCGTGTGCCTTGCGCTGCTTGTGGCCGCCCGTCGAGGAGTAGGAGTCTCCCTCCCGTCACCCTGGCTAGCCTCCCACTACTCCCGAGTGAGATGGAGCTTCCCGCCAATGGTGATAGGCCCCAAGAGAGGCTGTGGCTCATCGCCGTCGACGACCTTGAGGCGACCTATCGCCTCCTTGATCGACATCGTGGAGAGGTCCAGCAGAGACTCGATCGAGTGAGCGATCTGGTACTTCTCTGGGACGCAGCGGAAGAGCTTCTTGACGGCTCTCTCCTCGTAGGTGTCGTCACCGTACTGCACCATCTTATGCAAAAGAGTGTTGAGACGAAGGGCAAAGTCATCAACGTCCTCACCTGGCTTGAAGGCCAGGTTCTCCCACTCCTTGCTGAGTGCCTGCAGTGTGGACTTGCGGGCGCGGTCGCTGCCGATGCGTGCCGCAGCGATGGCGTCCTAGGCCTCCTTGGCAGTTCGCTTCTGGGAAAGCGAGAACTGCATCTCGGGCGGGATTGCAGCGATGAGAGCATCCAGCGCCCGTCGATCCTTGTCGTAGTTGACGTCGCCGTACCGAACTGCCTCCCACATGTGCCGTACCTGGAGCCTCACCCTCATGACCGCAGCCCACTCGACGTAGTTGGTCTTGGTGAGGATAGGCCACCCACCGCCGGGGCCGACCTCCCTGATGACATCCTGAATCCCGTGGTGTCCACGGTATCGGTCCGGGGAGGGAGAGACGCGCTGCTTGTAACGATCGCGATCTTCGTCAACCCAACCGTTGCCGCCGGGAGCACTGCCGTTGTGCGCACCCCTGCTAGGGGGTCCGCCGAAGCGTCCAAGCTCGTTTGGGCTGCTGTCGCCGCGCGCGCTCCCGCCAGGAACGCCGCCGGCGCGTCCATGCCCGGCTGGGCTGCCGCCACCGCGCGCGTCGGGGTGCGCGGCTGCCCACTGCTTCACCCGCTCACGAGCTGCCTCCCTTGTTAGCTCATCAGCGGGGATGTCGTAGGCGGAGACAGAGCTGCTGGAGCTACTGTCGCGCAGAGCCTTGAGCTCTGCCACCGCCGCACGCGCTGCATCCGCCGCTGCCGCTGCTTCCACTTCCGCCCTTGCCGCCGCCAATTCCGCCGCCGCCAGCCTTGCTGCCCTTGCTGCCATCGCAGCAGTCTTTGTTGCCGCTTGCTCGCGTTCCTCTGCCGTGGCGAGCTCGGCCTCCTGCCGGAGCCACGCGCTCGAGGCGACCGAGCGCTTGACTTTCCTGCGGACATGGCACGCTACTGGGGGGCTTCTGCGTGGGGAAGAGGCTGCCTCTGACGAGCTGCTGCTCGTCAGTGCAGGGGAGGAAGGATGAGCAGGAACAGCCGGTGTTCCTGCTAGAGAGGAGCTCGGGAAGGGGATGAGCAAGAGATGTCTTGGCTACAGGATAGAATGGCTTTGATACCAGATGTTAGTAGCAAGATCTTTACTCTCATTTGAGAGGATGGCGCTAGGAGAGTTGGGACAATTTTCTGTCTATTTTCTTATATATAAAAGCCATACCATCCTGAGGGAGGTTGGATACATATTTATAGCCATAGCTGGCTGGCTGCAGGCTACTCTAAAAAATGAGCGGGATGTTATCCTAGAGAGCATCCAAACTGAAAGCATAAAGCATATTGTCCTAAAGAGCATTCAAACTGAAAGCATAAAGCGAGCATCCAAACTGAAAGCATAAAGCAAAAACTGAAAGATGCTGTCCTAATAGGAATAGATGCTGTCCTAAAAGGAGAAAACAACCTAAAAGCAAAAAAGGACCACAAAGACCAAAGACCAACAGCACAAGGACGCACAAGGCGGCCATCTAACGGCGGGGCAATGGAGGAAATGCCTTGCTGGTGGGTGTCTACGTTGACGACTTGGTGATCACCGGCACCAAGGATGCGGAGGTGGCGGCGTTCAAGGAAGAGATGAATGCCACCTTCCAGATGAGTGATCTGGGGCCTCTCTCTTTCTATCTGGAGATCGAGGTGCACTAGGACGACTCCGGGATCACGCTTCGACAGACCGCCTACGCCAAGCGCGTCGTTGAGCTGGCTAGGCTTACTGATTGCAACCTAGCTCACTCCGATGGAGGAGAGACTGAAGCTGAGCCGCGACAGCACGACGGAGGAGGTGGACGCCACGCAGTACCGGCGTCTTGTAGGGAGCCTTCGCTACCTCACCCACACACGGCCGGACTTGGCATTCTCCGTCGGCTACGTTAGTCGGTTCATGCAGCGACCGACGACGAAGCACCAGCAGGCTGTGAAGAGGATCATCCGCTACGTTGCGGGGACTCTCGACCACAGCCTCTACTACCTGAGGTGTCCTGGCAAGGCACACTTCATCGGGTACAGCGACAACGACCATGCCGGCGACATCGACACTAGCAAGAGCACGAGCGGGATTCTCCTTCCTTGGTGAGTGCCTCGTTAGCTGGTAGTCGGTCAAGCAGCGGTAGCCCTGTCCAGCTGCGAGGTCGAGTACATAGCAGCCTCCACCGCTTCGACCTAGGCGCTCTGGCTTGCTTGACTGCTTGGTGATTTCCTCGGCCGAGACACTGGAGCGATGGAGCTCAGGGTGGACAGCAAGTCCGCTCTGGCCCTGGCAAAGAACCCCGTTTTTCACGAACGGAGCAAGCACATCAGGGTTAGGTACCACTTCATCCGAGGCTGCTTAGAGGAAGGGAGCATCAAGGCGAGCTACATCAACACCAAGGACCAGCTTGCGGACCTGCTCACCAAGCCCCTTGGGAGGATCAAGTTCCTTGAGCTTTTGCTCTAGGGCCGGGATGGCCCGACTTTCCCACAAGACGACGTACAAGACTTAGGGGGAGAATGACAGAATAAGTCCTTGTGTGTCCTTGTGATGTTGGTCTTTGGTCTTTGTGGTCCTTCTTTTTTGCTTTTAGGTTGTTTTCTCCTTTTAGGACAGCATCTATTCCTATTAAGACAATATCTTTCAGTTTTTGCTTTATGCTTTCAATTTGGATGCTTTTTAGGATAGCATGCTTTATGCTTTCAGTTTGGATGCTCTCTAGGATAGCATCCCGCTCATTTTTAGAGTAGCCTGCAGCTAACCAGCTATAGCTATAAATATGTATCCAACCTCTCCTGGGATGATATAGCTTTTATAAGAAAATAGACAGAAAATGCCCTAACTCTCCTAGCGCCATCCTTTCAAATGAGAGTAAAGATCTTGCTAACATGGTATTCGATGGATGGGAGAAAAGTATGCTCCTTGGTGCTCATTGCTGCATAAGGTCTTACATGAATTAGGATGATATCCTAATACAAATCAAACTGCAAATCATATCTGCCCCAAATTGATGAAATATAAGGTTTACACGTGAATTTATTGACTCCTTTCCTTGTTTGCCCACATTTATCACTAATATTGCTCTACTGCATTTGCAACTTGCAAGAAACATCTCCCCTACCATTCTTGCTCCTATTTCTAAGGTATGGGAAACACAGTCATTTTGATTCCTCTTTGTCATGGTTCGATGAGCTACAATAGATAGTTGGGAGGGCTAGCAGCTAGGAGCCTAAGACCAACTTGACCAGGGGCTATGAAGCAATTAGCGTTGCCATAGCCATACAACCATGGTTTTAAAGGCATTGCCATAGTGTCGCCAAGGCGTCGTGGAGCTCTGCTAGCTCCAGGATGTCCGACGCGTTGACCTTGACCAGCCTGTCTATGGCGACCCCAATCCCATGCCAGGAGAGAGGGAGGGACAGGGATGAGTTATGGCAACCTGAAACCAGCAGAGAGAGAGAGAGGGCCGGTATGCATCCCACTTGCATGATCTGTACTGATGGTGATCGCAAACATAACATTACCTGTCCTATTATTTTCTGTATCGTGTTCCATTAGTTCCACCCATTTCTGCTGAGATAAGCCATCAATTTGCATATTACCATTTCATATTTTTCTTGATTCTGTACCTTTGATTCTGCATTCTAAAATTTTGGTTCTAGCTAAGATATGCTAGACTAGTGATGAATCATTCCTAGAGACTACTGGTTATCTTACTTAAGACATTCCCATGTTATGTTTGTTTTGTGATGCAGTTTATTCATGGTAACAAATTTTAGTTGTCAAATATGTTTTGCTTTCCCCATGACCATGGAAAAGCTATAGATAGCACATTCTCACCAGTCTTATTATTCAATGGCAATTGTCAAGTCATGTGATTTCTTGGTTTAGCTCTGAAATTTGTCTGTGTTTGTCTTCTGGCAACTAACATGTTAGTTTAGAATGACTGATATCGTGGCCTGTTACTTGCTTACTCATGTCTTGCTTATCTAGCAAGTACTCCATCTTTCCTAAAATATAAGAACCTAGGACTGGATGGGACATTTTCTACTGTCCAGATTCGTTGTACTAGGAAATGTCCCATCCAGTCCTAGGTTCTTATATTTTGGGACAGAGGAAGTAGCTACTACTGGTCTATTTTTTGTTAGCTAATGAAAAAACAAATATTTGTCCTGTAGGATGATGAAGATATTCTGATATTGGGTTGCATTGGACTACTGGAACATGTTGCTGTCTTGCTGGACATAGTAGGCAATGAACTGCTACTGAGCATGTATAACCTTGATGGCTAGTTACTTCGCAAAACTTTGTAGACTATGGGATCTCTCTTTTTTCATCAATTGCTCTGTCGACATTCCAGGGATACAGAATTTGGTGGCTCATTTTGAACTATGGGTTTACAACTTTCCATGCTGTTTCTGCATATAATTTGGTGAGCCCCAAGCAATGCTTGTGCAGTCATTTGCTTCTGAATTACCGATGCTCACAGTTCTCTTAGTATTTTTTTTTCAGGTAATGGGACGACAAACTGAAACAGCCTTTACTTTCAGTTGTAGATTCTGGAATGAGTTTATTGGTGATGGGTGATGGTTACAAATTTGGTGGGTGATGGTTGCAAATTTGGCCGCAGCTTTATACTCTGAACGTCTTGCTGAGTACTATCTTGCATGCAGCGTTATAATTCTGAATATGTCGTTAAATTTAACTTTCATATAGCTTTGGTTAACGGCCGAGTTTTGCCTGTAACTGGTCAAGAGTTGGTTTCCCCTGAATTTTACTGTAGTTATATGGTTGGCTGTTGGCAAGGTAAATTGTCCGCAACTGCACATTATCCAAGTTGATTAGCCCCTAGGTTTGCAAATAGCAGAAACCATTTTTAAGCCGGTGCTGACGTTTAAATTTCAATGCTTTTCAGCACACGCTTAAACCTCGTTTTCTACGTTCTAATTCCACTTGTTCTGTATAGTGCTATAAATCAGACAAATTGGATTTGTTCCGCGTCCTGACCTGTGCATAAATTGAAACAGAAAAAAATCATCTTTGCAATAGGAAGAATCGTTTATGCAGTGGGAAGAAAGTAAATTGCATTGTACTTTACAGCTGATTCATGTACAGAAGGACTTAAAAATTTTTTTCCATTGCATGTATTCCCCCCGCCGCAAAGGTTGCAGCCAAGTACACACGAAGTCATCTCAGGTGCATCATGGTTTCTGACATCATTCTCCCCTGAAGAAGCAAATGAGGTGCCACCTCTTCATGGCTCTCCCCAGCTGCAACTTCACCGGCAGGCATCCATCTAGCTCCGGCTCCTTCCCGCGCTTCCTCCCCCGCCGGCCGCTGCCGCCATCGCCTCGGCTGGTGAGCCGAGCGCTCTGCATCGCCGGCGACGGGCAAAGCAGCGGTGGTGCCGCGTCGAGCGGCGGCGGGCTCTTGGGCTTCCCCGGCTCGTCCTCCCACTCGAAGGGCACCCTCCCGCTCGCCGGGCGGTACACCCTCGACGAGTGCCCCAGCTCGTCGCTGCCGCCTGCGCCGTGCAGGAGACCGGCCGGCGACGTGGCGGCGGCGGCGGCGCTCTCCATTGCTTTCCTCCCTTCTGTTCTCCTCTGTTCCATCCACTTCACTTTTTTTCTGGCTAGCTTTTCCTCTGGAGTTTTGAGTTAGGACAGCATTAGAGGGGTGTCTTATATAGGCTCAATTGTCATTTGCCCAGTTTATGTGCTTGCTAAGAATGCCCTTTTGCAAGTCAAAATGCATTGGTTTAAGGGATGTTTTGTTCGCCCTGGTTTGATGTCAAAGGATGCTAATAATCTTCTCTTCTTCTCTCTCTTTTCTTGTGCTTTGGTTTCAAGATCACGGCGAAGAATTTTAGTACTTGTGGGCGGCCGGCAATGCGATAATTTGTGATTGTGATGGCAATTACCGTTGTGTGAAGCAATGGGAGGAGGCGTGGCGGCCACAGGGGATGGCTCTGGTTACGTACTTAGCTGACCTTCCTAATGACACTGGTTAAACAAGTTAGTACTTAGGAAGGCGAATTCACTGAATTGGGTGGTGAGCAAGCTACTAGTATTCATTAGAGGGTTTAGAAAAATGCAGGCTGTTGCAGGTAATGCGTAGTCAGGTAGGCGTCGAGGGGAACAGGAGGTGTACACTTGTACTGGATTTTTCACATTTTGGTCCTTTTGAAAAACTTATTTTGTAAATAGACCCTAAAAAAACTTATCCCAGATATGGTCCTTTTTGGGGCGCCAGAGTGGCTGGCGCCGTCATCCAACGGGACGGCGCCGTCCTCCTGCCACCGTGGTGCACGCGAACCGACGTGGCAGGAGGAGGGCGCCAGCATGGCTGGCGCCGCCGCCTCCATTCCTCTTTCTCTGTATGGAGTTGTAACGGTGTCATTTTTATTTTATTTTTTCGGATGTTTTTTCACACTCAGGATCACGATACAACCAACCACAAAAAAAAATTTAAACTCAAACTACCACTTAGCTAAGTCTGAAAATATCTAGCATACCACTTAGTCTACTTTGCACCTTCACTAAAATTAGACCATAACTCCTTTAGTAAAACTCTTTGATCAGCATGTTAAACATAATGCAATCTACCACTATATGAAATTACTTAATCTAATTCAAAATATAACCACATGAAATGACATATATAAGTTAAACAGTACATAGAGATGTAATTTTTTTATTTTTATTTCATTTTTTTATATTTTTTTCACACTTAGGAGAAGATATAAACCAACCATATAAAAAATAAAGTCAAACGGACAAAATATGTGACATGTAGAATTTTCCAAAACTCTACCGAAACAGACAAAATATGTCATCTATTAAAATAGGCGTAACTTTCTCATACGGACTCGGAATCAGGCAAATAATATATGCACGGACATCTACAGAAAAAGTTACATTTGATTCTCCCCTGCTTTGCTGGGTTCAGCGATATTAAAACCTCCAAATTCCGCTTGCAAGATTGTGTTTTCGAGGAGAGAAGTTTTTCGGTGGAGCTTTGGAAAATTCCACATGCCACATATTTCGTCCGTTTGAGTTTATTTTTTACATGGTTGGTTCCTGTGAGTTCCTAAGTGTGAAAAAAATATCAAAAAAATAAAATAAAAATAAAAAAGTTGCACATCTCTCTCCTCTGCACTAGTTCGGAGAGAGAGAGAGGAGAGGAGAGGAAAAATTCTACATGTCACATATTACGTCCATTTGAGTTCAATTTTTCTATGGTTGGTTCTTGTGTGTCCCTAAGCGTGAAAAAAATATCAAACAAATAAAACAAAAATAAAAAATTTCGGGGGGGGGGGGGGCGCCAGCCACTCTGACGCACTCCCCCTAGCCACCTCAGCATCGCCCCGCCACGTCGGCAGGGGGACGGCGCCAAAGAGGCTGGCGCCGAAGGACGGCGCCAGCCACTCTGGCACCCCAAAAAGGACCATTTTTAGGATAAGTTTTTCTAGGGGTCTATTTGCGAAATAAGTTTTTTAAAAGGACCAAAATGTGAAAAATCCAGTACACTTGTACATGGCTGATTGGATTGGAGATACTCCCTATATTTCTAAATATTTGACATCGTTGATTTTTTAGCACATGTTTGACCATTTATCTTATTCAAAAACTTTTGTGAAATATATAAAACTATATGTATACATATAAATATATTTAACAATGAATCAAATGATAGAAAAAGAATTAATAATTACTTAAATTTTTTAAATAAGATGAATGGTCAAACATATTTAAAAAAATCAACGGCGAAACGGAGGAAGTATATCCTTGTCAATCCTACAGTTGCGTAGGACATAAAACACGAGAAAAATATATAGTGGAGACGTTTTCTGAAAAGCTGTAGCAGAGGACCTATGGTAATCAACTGATTCAAGGAGACGTATAGGTTAATTGTAGAGGTGGGGAAAAAAAAATCCATCGTTGAGATATTTAAGGACTCGTCTGGTTAATCTCTTTCGTAAGAGGATTTGTTCCGTACCTATTAAGGTCTGAAATTAATCACATGGTTAATTAAACGGAATTAAATTGGATTTTGGAACGGAAAATTTCCCTTGCTGAGTTGGCTGATACATGTGTACTGTTTCGAGTTTAATAAAATACTTATTGTAATATAATGTTCTATCAAATTTCATTTGTAACTGTTCAAATATATATTAGATTAAATGCGATATAGATAAATAAGTTCATAGCTCAAGTATAGCTTATAAGATTTTAACAAGACAACATGTAGCTTAATTCGAAAGAGAGGTTACACATGGTTGGGCGGTACCGGAACAAGCAGTATGAAATCTAGGCAATTCTGGCTGGTAATGACCAGATTACTAATTGGGTAGTATAATTCTATATTAGGACTAGAATGATAAACCACTTGTCGAATATCGTTTGGGTAGCATAACGCCATATATAGAGGGTACACCGTTAAGGGCCAACCATAGAATGCCTTGTTCATTTAATCCCTACAAGAAAGAGATTGAAAAAAAATGAGGGAAAATAATTTTATATCACAATATATGTGGAATTAATGCCCTCAAATCCCTCTTAATCCTTTTGGATAGGGGATTAATGAACAAGACCTAACCACATCCTAGATACGCTTTTACGCAAAAAAAAAAAAGGCATTGTCTACCTTCTACACACCATTCGAGTATTACCTTCCACCCACCGTTCGACAGGAAACCCCTTAGGAATCATGTAAATTCTAGACTATCCGATTGCTTTAAGATTTATGCAAGGCACCCAAACCCTAAAAACCCCTTCTCCCTCCATCCCTATCCCGACTCCCTCCTCATGCTGCCGCCGCTATCACTAGCACCAGTAGCATCGACCGCTAGGCCACCGCCTTTCCATTGCCATCTCTCTAAGCCAGGAATCTCCCCTGCCTTATGGCCTCCTCCTACCCCCCTGCAACCCGGGACCCTAAAACCCAAAAGCTCCATTGCCTCCATTGTCAGAGTTAGAGAAGAATGTGTCATCAAAGCTGGAGAAGAGCTATGGTTGCCAGAGCACGAATCGTGAAGCAAATCCCAAGATCGGAAATTTACAAGATTTTGGCTTTAATAATAGTATATCGAATACCATCTAGCAATCCCACAAATAAAAACCACACCATGTCTAGTTCAAGGTGCCTCTTGTCTTGTCCATGAAAGGAAAAATATTGCAGAAGCTGAGATGCAACAGATAGGTGCCAACACCTGCCTCACTGAGGTCCGCCGGACCTTCCCCTCCTCTCTTCCGCACCTGTCATTTTCAAACTAGCAGTAGGGAGGTGTCTGTCGAATCAGCTTGAACTTGCTATAAATTTAAACTACTGCCAAATTTGAATATCAACCATGTCCCTATCCCGTCTTTTTTTACCATCAGATCCATCAGATCCATCATCACTAGCCACCATTCCTAACATCTTGATTTGTTTTGCTCCTACTGCCAACGTTGGCCAACCGCTCGCTATAGAACCATGGTTTCGGAGGCATCGCCACTACCTCACCGTCCACAGTTTGCCCGTTCCATCACCCACTATTGCGCCACCACCTCCTATGATTATCCCTCTAAGCCTGACAATCTTCTTCTCTTCCCCTCACAACCTCACTAGCCCCCATCCCCTCCCATGCTGACAATCTTCTTCTCTTCCCCTCACAGCCTCACTAGCCCCCATCCCCTCCCATGCTGACCCAACCCTAAAGCCCTAAACTAACTCGTTGGGCCGTAGCCAATCACTAAAACTAGACGAGGGTGCACAGCCAGCCGAGGTGCACGCGGGGAGCACTATTGGAGAACTCCTCATCTCTCTGGTTCGCAACCCCCTTTACTCCCGGGTAGCGAACCAGGAGGGAGAATCCGGGACTAAAGATGGCGGTCTTTAGTCCCGGTTCAAATACCCGGGAGTAAAGCTCCATCTTTACTTCCGGTTGGTAACATCAACCGGGACTAAAGATGGCTTAGTCACGTGGCTGGCTCAGCCATCTTTAGTCCCGGTTGGTGATTTTTTTCTTTACTTTTTTTTAATTTGGTTGTGCTATGTGCTGCCTACACACACACACACACACACACACACACACACACACACACATATATATATATATATATATATATATATATATATATATATATATATATATATATATATATATATATATGACACTCATATGGGGCACCATGGTGCCCGGGCACCATGGTATCTAATGCACAAAATCACTCAAATTTTTCAAAATTTTCAAATTGTGAGTATATACCTAGTTATAATAATTTGATTCATACCTATACTTATCAACAAAACAACTCAAATTTAACTTTATTTCACAATCCATGATTACATACCTAACTAATTATATGTATGGATGCTATATACCTAGAATCAAAATCTAACAAAAACAAGTTCAAATTCAGTTCAAACTTGCTTTAAACTAGTTAGTAAAGTAGTTAATGTTAATACCTAAGTAATTGAAAAAGTTTCATACTCATTTGAATTGGGTATATACTCAATTTCAACAATGGTGCCCGGGCACCATGGAGCATCAAACAAATTTACTATATATATATATATATATATATATGTTTAAATACATATATATGCATAATATAGAAATGTATATATTACACATATACATATGTATCTATACATACATATAGATACATATAGTGTGCACATATATGTATATGCACTTAAGTAAATATGGCCTATATTTACTTAAGTGCATATATGTGGTCTATATGTTTTTACACATATATATGCAATGTGCATACATATGTAGAAATACATATAATATACACATATATGCACTTAAGTAATTAGAGGCCATATGCATATATTAACAAAATATGAGTTTGCACCTAAGTAAATATACACATATATTACCAAAATAAGTATACACAAAAGTAAATGCATGTGTGCATATATAAATATATACATGTATTACAATTCCTTCGGACTTTGTAATTTTTGTTTCTGTCGTATACTACGACTTTGTGAGATCGGAAAATTGCGTTCATGAAAGCACAAAACTTCGTTATTGTTGCCCGTACATTATCAGGAAGGATACCACGAATTATAACAAGAAGCAGCTGTGTCATCAGCACGTGACAGTCATGAGACTTCAGGTTTGTGAACTTCTTATCCTTCGTGCTTATTATTCTCTTTATATTCGAGGAGTATCCGGACGGTACCTTGATGCTCTCCAGGCATTCAAACATACTCTCCTTCTCTTCCTTGCTCAGGTGTAGCTTGCTGGACTCAAGTAATGGCTTCCTTTCTCAGTCGGTTCCGAATGAAGGCCCTCGCGTTGTTCCATATGCTTGAGATCATTACGTGCTTCGAGTGTATCTTTGGACTTCCCATATACACCTAAGAAGCCAGTAGGTTTACGCAAAGGTTCTTAGTGAGGTGCATCATGTCGATTGCATGGCGGCCGTCCAATACTTCCTAATAAGGTAGTTCCCAAAAAATAGAGTTCTTCTTCCACATCTCCGCGTGACCATCTTCGCTCTCTATAAGTTGGCTGCTAGGCCCCTTTCCAAATACTACTTTCAGATCCTTCACCATAGCGAACATTGCTTTCTCATTGCGATGTTTAGGCTTAGTACGATGGTTTGGCTTCTGTTCAAAGTGCTTGTCTTTCTTCCGTACATGGTGGTTCGCAACAAGGAATCAACGATGGCTCATGTACACAACCTTCCTGCAATGCTTCAGATACGTACTCTCAGTTTCATCCATACAGTGAGTGCATGCCTTGTACCCTAGTTTGACTGTCCGGATAGATTACTAAGTGTAGGCTAATTGTTAATGGTAACGAAAAGCAACGCTCGTAGGTTAAATTGTTCCCGCTTGTCCTCATCCCACACGGGGACGCCCTCTTTCCTCCAAAGCACTTTCAGATCTTCAACCAATGATTTTAGGTACACATCAATGTCGTTACCAGGTTGCTTTGGGCCTTGAATAATAATCGGCATGTGCATCTACAACCAATGATTTTAGGTACACATCAATGTCGTTACCAGGTCACCATGTGCATCTACAATCTCCCCCCCGGCTATACATGATTGTAGATGCACATGGTGACCGGCCAAGTGCTATAGCCGCTGCTCATCTCTCTAAACGGATACATTCCATCCGTGCTTAAACCGGGACTAAAGATCTCAAATCTCTTTAGTCCCGGTTGGTATGACTAAAGTTCCTCAGCCGTCCGACAGGGGTCTGACATGTCCTGTCAGGGGGCGAACCGGGACTAAAGATCCCTTAGTCCCGTTGGAGTAATAAACCGGGACTAAAAAACCTCTTAAGTCCCAGTTCTTTTTGGAACCGGGACTATTGCAAAAATCGCTCGACCCAGCAAAGATCACTTCTCCAGTAATGGAGGGATTGATCGGGGTGACGTGGATAGATGCGGAAGCGAGCACGTCGGCCTGAATTCGCCTGGAGTGCTGTGGGGAGGCGAACTCACCCTCATATTTAATTCTCACCGATTGGGTGGTTCAAAATCTGTTTGAAATCTTGTTGAATGACCGTTTAACAATTCCGTTAAGAAAAATCAGGGACCAAATTAAATAGGAGTAGAGGTAGGACTCGCGACGTGCTAGCGCACGACAAAACTGAGGCCCGAGAAGCTTGGCGCGTGCATGGCCACGGCCATGCAAGATTGCAAGCACCCATGAAGCTAGAGGCCCTGGTTTAGCGTCACGCGCCCGCCACACTGTCCTTCCAACCAGCCAACCATGCATATGCATGCGCCTCCTCCTCCAAGTTTGGCTTCCTCCCCACGTGCGCGACTTCTATATCACTCCGCAATCTCTCTCCTCCCCCTCCACCTCCGGTAACCTCAAGCTCGAACCAAACCATGGCTTGCAAGAACGCCTCCTCCTCGGCCATGCCGCTCCTCCTCGTCGCCGGCACCGTCGTCCTCGCGCTGCTGGCGTCACCGGCGGCGGCCTTCAACATCACCAGGATCCTCGGCGAGTTCTCCGACTTCTCCACCTTCAACCACCTCCTCACGCAGACGAAGCTGGCGGACGAGATCAACCGGCGGCAGACCATCACGGTGCTCGCACTCGACAACGGCGCCGCGGGCGGCGTCTCCTCGCTCCCTTCCGACGAGCAGCGGAAGGTGCTCTCCGTCCACGTCGTCCTCGACTACTACGACACCGAAAAGCTCGGCGGCATGAAGATGAAGAACCGCTCCGCCGTGCTCACCACCCTCTTCCAGTCCTCCGGCCAGGCCACCGACCGCATGGGCTTCCTCAACTACACCAAACGCTCCGACGGCATCATGGTGTTCGGCTCCGCCGAGCCCGGCGCGCAGGCCACGTCCCAGATGGTCAAGGTCGTCGTCACCCGCCCCTACAACATCTCCGTGCTGCAGGTCAACTCCCCCATCGTGCCGCCCGGCATCGCCTCCGTCAGCAACAGCAACACCGGCGCGCCACCGCCCCACCCGGCCAAGTCCAGCGCGCCGGCACCCTCGCCGTCCAAGTCCAAGGGGAAGAAGTCGGATGCCCCGGCACCGGGCCCGTCCGACGACGTCGACGACGACACCGCCGCCGACGCGCCGGGACCGGCGGTGGATGGCCCCACGGCGGACGGGCCGGCGGCGGACGGTCCTGCGGCGGATGGTCCGACTGAGGCAGACGCGCCGGCGCACGACAAGGGCGACGTCGCAGACGCGCCGTCCGCCGCCGGCAGGGCGGTGGCCAGCAGCGCAGGCCTTGGCGTCGTTGCACTTGTGGTTCTCATCTTCCCCTCAGTCTCACTCTGATCAATGCTAAAATGGTGGAGGCCGAGAAATCGGAAGAGTTTATAAATAGAATGACCATTAGGAAACGATATAGTCAGGGTTCACTCTATCGGTTGAGACGTTTGTATCGGGGGTCACCGAAATTCCGAAATTTCGAAAATTTCGGTCCGAAATTTGGAAAATTTCGAGTAAAATTTAGTTGAATTTGAATAAATATTACCCAAATTCATGAAAAATTGAAAAATTGAGACTGAAATAATATCGTATCGGAGGTGACCGAAATTTTCGAAATTTCGGTCCGAAATTTCCAACCCTGGATATAGTACGGTGCTAATTAGTGCTTTTAGTAACTTTATTCTACATAGTAATCTAATTGTATAGGTAGATTGTGTTATATGTGTGTCCATTGTCATACCCTCCTACTCCTATCAGGAATACTGGGATAACAATGTGAGAGTGCGGCAAAAACATGAGCCACTAATGCCACTTTCCGTAAAAATAGATATGCTCCTTGAAGTAATTCTAAATTCTTGAAGTCTCATAGTTTACATGTCATTTAAATAGTTATAAGATAGATTAATATATAATGATAGAATGTCAAATTAAACCTTTTCTAGTTAAAAAATAATTATGAATTTTCTAGTTAACTAGTTATAGTTTAACTTTTCTATTTCAACATATAGAAGTTGAATTTTAACTTATATGTTTATACGATGATATATAACATATTAATCTATATTCTCAATTTCTTTCATAAATATTTAGATTTAATGTATACAACAAGTGGATGTTCCCTAAAGAGTTTAAAATTCACAACCCTGAGTAAGAAACTGTGCAACACCACAATAGTTTATGTGAAGTGCTTTTAAATATTGATATTTTCTCGGTAAAAGTAGATAGGAAAATTCTTGTAATGGGTGCTTAGGAGGCGGTGGAAGGTGGCGACTGATCCAGATCCGGTGACAAGAGCTATCAAAGAAAGAGAAGGATGGTGATGCTAGGCTATTGGAGCCGAAAAAGATGAGGGACTGCGTGTGACATCCTGGCCCAATTAGGATAATGCCTGTGTTACCCATGTGAGCTGTGTGCGCATGTTTAGTACCACCTTGCTAGTCTAGCAAGAGCATAATTCCTCCAAGCATATCACTCTTGGGTTAACCCTTTTACATGAAGCGAGGACGAAAGTGTAAGTGGTGTGGTATGCGTAAATGGGTCCGCTCGTCGGATGGGTTGGCTATGCGGTTCTAAAGGGATGGCTGTTACACCGCTGCGCGGGGCTTACTGAATACTGGAGAAGATGGAGGCGCGGGGCTTACTGGATACTGAAGAAGATGGAGGATGGTGTGCCTCCGAGGTGGACGGTAGTTGGTGCGGGATAGTGGGAGATCCCCATGATGGGGGAGGAAACATCACTACACTACAACACCAATTAGGACGTTGTGGTCTATTGATAAAAGTGGATAATCGTTAACCCTTCATCTATCAGGGAATATACTGTCAAACTTTCTATCACTAAGAATTTTCGTTTCTCCATCCATAGAAAAAGATATATAATGGTAACAACTTTTGTCGATTGTTGAACCCCTGTCAGACACGTGCGGCAGACTAAGTATCATCAAATTTTTTTCCTGACATATAATTTGCCTTTAATACCTGTTTATCCTGATGAATGAGTGCTTCTATATCTATGTTATGGTGTAGTATGTACGTATTGGATGTTCTAGAGTGTTCCTACGTATGAACACAATGCTGGTGGGGGTGAAAATGGATCGGACAATCTGATCCACTTCAAATCCGTCCAAAACAAGGATATGGTATAGATTTATAGAAATCTAGCAGATATGAATGTAGATGCAGATCATATGATGTGGATTCGAGTGCCGATGTGGTATTTCTAAAATCTGACGGATAAGGATTAGTACCCATTACTAATTGTACAATTTATAGCATCAATGGCACTGAACTATTAAATACTAATTGTACAATTTATAGTAGATATAACACAACATTGAACATAATTTCATATATTCATAGAATTGATTTAAACTAATAATTTCCAATTGTTCAACATATAAAATATTAAACTTCTAATTGACAATTGTTTAACATATCAAAGCGATCAACATATGGAGTGAGTAAAATAAACTCACTAAACAAAGGTGGACAACAACTGAGACATTTGTTCCATGCCATGTAAGAACACTAATGCAATTGGCAATCTAAACCACCACAAAAAAATAAAAAAAATCTAAAATCCAATGGTTTGTAAAGTAACTTCATTAATATATGTATTCTATAAAGTTACAACCTACTACATCCTAAAGCATCATCATCCACTAACAATTATTACATCTTAACATTCAAACATGCAAATCTACAATTTATTATATTCAAGAGCTCCACGTGCAACTATATCAAATCCCTCTCACATTATTTTCATAATATTTCAACTTATATTCTTCAAATCCTATTTTTCTTCCTCTTTATTCAGTTTGATTTGAATTTGTGGTTTTTAAATAGAGGAACTTGAATTAAATAATCTTAATATACAAACATGCCAATCTATAGTTAATTACATTCAAGAGCTCTACACACAAGTATATCAAATCATGGTCACATTATTTTCACAATATTTCAACATATCGTTCCAATCCTATCTTTCCCTCTTTATTCAGTCTGATTTGAATTTGTGTTTTTCAAATAGAGGAACTTGAATTAAACAATACTTATTCATTAGTTCTCCATTGTATTATGGGCTATAATATCTGCCAGTTTATTTTTCCAGTGCTATAACTATTGTCCTATATTAGTTCTCATATTGGACTACGTAATTATTATCCCTTGCATTACTTCTACAAATCTTACAAATCTTAGAAATATGAACTAAAAAAAACATTTTTCTACCACAAGTTTTCTATCATATAAACACTAGAAAAAGTGCATGTGCGTTGCATTATGTAACAAAACACGAGAGATTTAAGAAAAAATTAAGAAAGATTTACATTATGTAATTAATTAAAATATAAAATTACAATTACACATGTATACGATGTTGAAGAAAAGAAAGGCTGATGAAAATCAATGTAAATGTGGGAAATAAAATATGACTGGATTTAATTTTTATTAAATTCTACATGATTAATTACACTATGTGAAAGTTTTTCAGAATTTTCAGATCTGCATTTCTAATTTTAATAATACAAACATCATTTTCATATTTATTTAAATAAAAATCTAAATAAAAACCCTCCTTTCTCCCTGGGCCATTTTGAGACCATTTCTTTCCTTAGCCCCTCCCTCCTTCTCCTCCTCTCCACTTCCGGCCCACAAAGCGCGCATCAGGCTCATCAACAACAACATGTCTAATCGTCCTCCCCTACTCCTCTCACTATCGCGTGGGTCCCAGCGCTACAGTGTCGTCACCTACCTCTCGCCTGTCTCCTGCGGCTCTCGGAGGACGCCTGAAGCTCCCTCCTCCATGAAATCCGGCCACATCCTTGGAGGTAATCCAAAATTGATTGAGGGGTTTCGATTCTTATCTCCCCCACTTTCCGTTTTCTCAAGAATCGGAGCAAAACCGCATCGTATCGCGCTTGAAATCGAGTCTTATCCTACACAACCGAACCCTAAAGTTTCCTTTCTTTTTGCTTGAACAAAAATCGTGTATACCTATGGATGTTGAGGACAACAGACGAAAATAGTCCTGGAATCCTTACATACATCTATGGATGTTGAGGACAACGGACGAAAATAGTCCTGGAATCCTTACATACATCGTATCGCGCTTGAAATCGACTCTTATCCTACACAACCGAACCCTAAAGTTTCCCTTCTCAGTCCGTTTAGCTTGAACAAAAATCGTGTATACCTATGGATGTTGAGGACAACGGGCAGAAATAGTCCCAAAATCCTTACGTATTTTTTAACAAAATAAAACCAATATATTTAACACATCATATGTCTTAGTTGTCCAGTTCAATCAAGAAAATCTTACGGTAACGTACAGGCATAGATGGCCAAATGGGCTGTCCGGCCCGGCACGGCCGTGCCTAGCCGAGGTCAGTCAGGCTGGAACAGTCTGACCTACACGTCAAACCGTGGCGTGCCAGCCCACGGGCTGCATACATGGCCCAGATGCGACCCAATAAGACTCGGGTCGTGCCGGGCCGGTCCAAAGGCACGACAGCCTATCGTGCTTTTCCACATAATAAGTCTATTTTTTCCTCCCTCAACTCTTTGGGCTGTGTCCATATGGCTAGAAAATAAGTCTATTTTATATTCCCCTTCTCTTTGGGCCATTCCTTATATGGTTGATTAAGCCTATTTTGGATTCCTCTACTATTTTTCTTCGTTTATGCCGTGCCGGCCTACCGTGCCAAGGCATTGGCCAAGGCACGATCCAACTGTCAGGCTGTGCCATGCTTGGGCTGGGCCAGGCCATCGGGCCTTATTGCCATCCATAGGTACAGGTAGGAAAAAGTATCCTTAGAATCCCTCAAATATTGCTCAAGTATCATTCATGTCCTCCAACCACAAAACTAGGTATATCGACTCCTCGAACTATCAAAACCAGTGCAAACAATGCCTCTCGGTGGTTTTGGAGGTGGTTTTGGCTGACGTGACACCTATGTGGCGGTCTTGACCAAGTCTTTATCCTACGTGGCGCTTACGTGGCATTAGAATAAAAACAAAAATAAAAAAAAAATATGTAGGACCCATATATCATTCACACAAAAAAAAAATATTGTGGGATCTACATGTCATGCTCCCTCTCCCCTTATTATATCCCCCCCTTTCTCTTCACCTTGGCTGGAGCGGCAGCGGGGACGGCAGTGGGGAATGGCGACGACGGCGGCGGGGAGCGGTGGCGGCTGTGTGGGAAGCGGCGGCGGCGGCGGCGGCGGCGGCGGCAGCTGTGGGAAGCGGTGGTGGGGAGCAGCGGTGGCGGTTGGGAGCGGCAGCTCCTCCTCGAAGCACGAAGCACGACCCCGCAAAAAAAAGGAAGCACGAAGCGGCGAGCTCCCGGGCTACGCGGGCGCGCGCACGCCGAACCTCCATACCTCTTCCTCGGCGGCAACCTCCTCGCCGGCCCAATCCCTATGGATGGGCATTCGGTCTAACAGAGAAATTCGGTTCGGTTTCTCGGTCTTTTTGAAAATTCGGTCTTCAAAATCTCAAGACCGATCGGTCTCCAACAAAACTCAAGACCGAACAAATCGGTCTTCGGTTAGTTCGGTTCGGTCTCAGACCGAACTAACCGTAACATATGTTTGAACAATAAAACACAAATCAAATAATCAGTGCAAGATCGATGAATCAAACAATTAGATCGCAGATGACACACTACAAATTGGTGCACCATCAAATCAAGCACGATTTAGACAAGAAAAGAAGCAAATCGAACACGATTTAGAAAAGAAATCAGCTTCTCATGGCCATGGCTGTCATCTTCCACCAGGACCACCACCGAGGCCGGGATGCAGCCGGCTGGCTGGATGCGGCGCACGGCGATGGAGACGGAGGCGGGTCGGCTGGAGGCGGCATACGGCGATGGAAGTGGAGGCGCGCCGGCTGGAGGTGGAGGCGGCCCGGCTGGAGTCGGCGCATGGCGATGGAGGCGGAGCCGCGGAGGTAGGCTGGTTGGAGGCGGCGCACGGGCGGCGATGGAGGCGGAGGCGAGAGGCGCACGCTGATGCGGTCAAGAGGCGGCGCGAAGGTGCAAAGGAGGATGGGGATGGGGATGGGGACGGCGCACAGGAGGATGGGGATGGTCAGATGGGGACGGCGGCGCACATGTGAAATGGATGGGGATCGGTTTGCCTCTAGGGTTTCTTCTAAATTAGTGGGCTTATTGGGCCAACAAGATCTATTGGACCCAATTCGGTTATTTCGGTCAATTCGGTTAATTGAGACCCTGACCGAATTAACCGAACAAATTTCGGTCTTAATGGTTGAGACCGAATTTCTCGGTCTCGGTTTTTTCGTCCGGTCTTTTCGGTTTGGTTCTTCAGTTCGGTTTTATTCTGCCCACCCTATCCCGGCGTCGCTGTCGAACGCCACGGCGCTGGTGGCTCTCAACCTCGCAAATAACAGCTTCGCCGGGCAGGTGCCCGCCGAGATCGGCACGCTCTGCGCGCTGTCGCTGGAGCTGTCGAACAACAAGCTCACGGCGATCGACGCCGGCGGCGGCTGGGAGTTCGTGGACAACCTGACCAAATGCAGCGCCTTGGCTGAGATACTCCTCTACGGCAACAAGTTCGCCGGCGTGATGCCGAGCTTCGTGAAGCTCAAGAACCTATACTGTATATAGAGCTTTGGTCAGGGAAGAACAGCCCCCAGTTCCTCTCAGATTCAATTTCCGGTTTCTTGTTCTCATTGAAAACGGCGCGAAGGGGAGGAGGTCGGAGTTGGGGACGCCGACCATGAGCTCGACGCCGGTGTTGGCGAAGGCCTTGATGACGTCGATGTTGGTGTCGTAGATGCGCGCGTACTTGAGCGACTGCTGCTGGATGAGCTGCACCACCTTGTCCGGCGCCGGCAGGTCATCGGCGTTGCGGGCTTGCAGCCGTAGCAGATACCAACCTTGCCTCCGAGGCAATGCCCTGCAAAAGCCACATTTGCAATCATGCGTTATGGGTCCACAATATTATTTTTTTTTGTGAATGACATATGGGTCCTACATATTCTTTTATTTTTGTTTTTTTTCTAATACCACGTAAGCGTCACGTAGAACAAAGACTTGGTCAAGACCGCCACGTAGACCAAAACCACCTTCAAAACCACCGAGGGACATTGTTTGTACTGGTTTTGATACTTAGAGTACTCGGACAATAGTTGAGAGAGTCAAGAGTATACTTTTTCCGGTACAGGTATCAACTAGTATAGCTGACAATCCAAACCACCACCGACTGGTGCGTGGCGTGGTTGCGGCGGCCGTGGCTTGGGGACGGGTCTCTGTACCTGTGCTGATCGGTTGACGCGGCTGGCCAGCACATCAGAGGAGTGAAGCGGGGAGTGAGGCCCAGGAGACCAGAACGATAGGCTTCTTGTTTCTAGGGTTTAATGTGGCCTATTTATTTCTTCTTTTCTCATATATATACATACATATTATATTATACGATTTATTTATACATCTATTTTCTTATCAAAAGTTTTGGATATACATCGGGATACCCTTCAATTGCCCTTCATTTACATCTGAATACCCGACCAACAGCGTCCATCCTATTTTGCAAACTAGACTACACAAATTTACAAAATAATAAAATATACACAAAAATATTCGACAGTTTTCATGTATTCACCTTTGATTTACTATTCGTTTTCTTTTTTTAAAAAAAAATCAGCATAATAGTGCCGACGTTCAGAACGTTTGAGCGCATAATTAGAAAGAACGAGCAGACTACATGTAAGTTTCACAAGAGAGACCAAACATAGTCGGTGGTGGAAGTACGAACAAATTAAACAAGGAGTAAAGGGTGTTAGAGAACATATGTTAAGATACAAAAGTTACATGAAAATTCAAGGAGCAAAGGGTGTTGGAGAACATATGCCGAGATACAAAAGTAACAGACATGATACTTGATACAGTACATGCTAGTGATTCTACTATTATAAAGTAACACAAATAATGCACACGTACAAACAGAACATTAACATATCCCGCATTCGAGTGGACTTCCTGGAACCAGTCAATCTCAGTTATGATATTTCTAATGCTATAAGATTCTTGTGACTTATCAAAGTTTCACTATCACCTTCAATCTAATGTTTCTTCATTCAAAACACCACCGCCAAGAAGATATCCAGGCAGCGTCAGCTACTGGAGAAGGGATATAAATTTAGAACAGGGAGAAGAACATTGAGGGAGTAGAGATTAGACTAATCGATTTTCATTGCTTAATCCAAACCACAATACAATCTCTCCTTATATAGAGAGGGAAGGACCCATCCTAGTCCTATCCAATAAACTCTGACCAACTGAGCTACAGTACTGAGTAAGAGGGGAAGATAGGGATAATGTTACCTCCACCGGTACTGGGCTGCCCAACGCCCATGAGATCTAGCGGCTGAACCACCCACTGGAACTATATACAAAAGACCCACTGAATGGGTAACATCAGGGGCGGTGATGTACATTGGCGCACTTTTATCTTAACCATACCTTTGAGGTTCTCAGTCTACTCATAGAATGTCTCTTGCTTCTTATCCATTTGTGGTCCTTAAACTTTTTAAACTTCTTCCGTTGTGTCCACCAATTTGAATAATCCAAACTTGGATTGCATTCAATAAAATCGTATAGATCTGAAGAATCCTCCCCACGTCCTGTAAGTCCTTTGAGAATGGTTCTAACATTATCCCTTCCATAGCTAGATGTACACCTCTGAAGACTATCGGAACTGCAATAGGTTAAATATAAGCTTTTCAGATATTGGACGAACAAATATGAGTTCAAAGTGACAAGAATAACAGATCTACACAAAATAAAACAGAAAACTAGTATTTCTGAAGGGAAAAAAGGGCTTCTAAATTAAGAAAAAGGGAAATGTCTTTTTTACACCCCTGGATTTTTGCATAAGTCTAAAAATCGTCCATCAACTTCAAAACCAGACACTTTCATCCCCGAACTTTTCAAACTGTTTGGTTTACGTATTTCAACCAAAACCAGACTGGTTTTAATATGTGGCATCTCAGTTAGCAAAGAAAAATAATAAATTAGTGGACTCTACATGTCATTCGCTATCCCTGCATTTTGCTCTTCTTCCTCAGCTACAGCCTACAGGCTAAGGTGACCGGCAGCGGCTACGCCTTCGGGCGCGGTAACCTTCTTGGGGGCATTGTCGAGGTACCCTCCTCCCTCAACGAGGATCTCTAGTTGAAAACCTTGTCCGGTCTTTTGGACGGACAACGACGGCATCTTTTGATGTCGCTACCTTCATGAAGGCGTTGTCTTTTTTGAGTTTCCGTTCTGTGGTGTTGTTGTAAGCCTAGCGGTGACCGGCCTCGCATGGCGGTTGCCGGTTCGGTGTTTGGCTCCCCTCTCTGTAGCTTGTGTTTGTGCAGTTGGCATGTGGTGTCGGGGCGTGCGCTTTGTGCACATCCTTCCTCAATAGCTTGCTGTCGATGAAAAACCTTCTTGTAACCTTTTTTTTCCTCTATCTTAATGACATTGGATGACCTCCTTCGGTCATCCCGACAAAAAAAGGTTGGCCAAGGGCAAGCAAGGAAGCAGAGGCAGGCAGGCAGTGGTCAAGTAGCAGCGAGTAAAGTTGACCAAGTGCAGAGGCCGCAGCCTGGCGGCTGTGGGTGAGGCATTGATCTAGTAGCAAATAGCATCAGCGACACAAAATCTGCCCAAGCTCACTGGTGCCAACTAGCAATATTTCATGGGTATTAATTAAACACGTAGCTTGATTAATTGATTGCATCGTTTGACTCATGCTGCTTAGAAATGGGTCTTTGCTCCACATGCACGAGATACCCACCAGATCGGAAGGAAGCCTCCTGTGTGCAGCTCGGTCCTCAGCGAAGCCCTAGCCAAATGCATGTGCGATGAAGCTAAGCGAGTTGGCAGCAGCAATGGTGGGTGAGGCACAAGGACAGGTGAGGTCGATGCCAGCGCAGGCAGGGGCATGCCGGTGATTCGTCCAGAGTTGTTGCTTCACTGCTTCAGCAGGAAGAATGAGGAGGAAGAGAAGGAAGAATCCCAAAAGTAGATGGTTTGATAAGTTAAGGGGTGATTAATATCCAGTTTGAAAGTTTAGAAACAAACTTTAGACTTTTGTGGAAGTTCAGGGATTTAAAATAGACATCCCTAACAAAAACAAAGCAGTACATTAGAGCATTAGCAAGATGGTACTTTCAAATTACACTCCTTAGTGTGTTCATGTGCATATGTACCATTTTCAATGACACAAAAACCAATTAACAATGCAACCTACAAAAGAAAAACCATGCTTGCCCTAAAGGTCGATTTCTGCTCAAAGAAGTATGAAGAAACTTTAAGACTTAATAACAACAAATGCTAAGAACTGTTAAGATCAAGCTCCTCTACATCAACCTCACCATTACCATATAAAGTACCAACTAAGACTATCTTCTTCATTGTACACCTCCAAGAGCTACTCCTAAACTTTTTGGAGCTTACCTGCAGACCTCACCAAAGCCAGGGCCAAGCTTATCTTGAATATAAACTTGCTGTGTGTTCTGAAACCGTAATGCTATCACTGTAGAAGATTTTCTCGGAACAGAGGCCTACATGCATATGGTCTTAGAATCAAATAAAATGACAGAAATAAAAGACATGCTAACAAGAATCAGAGATAAAAAAAATATCCGAATCGGTACAAAAGAGTACTACCTTCAAACTACCATCTTGATCAGCACAACGAACTTTAGATGCTTTTGAACCATCAATAAGAAAATGATACATTTCAGTAGCACAAAGATTGGCCATCATCATCATGAAAATGCAACCTTTCCACATAAAGTTAAACCTCATTCTTAAACAATGAACTGATAAGGTAGCAAAATGAGATAGCATTAGCACTGCTCCCTGTTGTCCGTCCCCAGGCTTACCAATGGTATCAAATAAGTCATTTCTCTGAAGCTCATTAGGTTCATAGTGCCCAAGTAAGCTGATGGTTTCTGATACGATGTTAAACACCTTGCAAGGTTCTAAACAATGTGTGGTCTGGCAGCCATCTCCCACTGTCATTTGCCTAATGCAATGCATAATTCGTATAAAAGAGGAGCCCATTAGCCTAAGTGCTGCAGCAAGGCAGATAATCTCCTCTGAAACATTAGGATATAATCTATCCATCTCTTCCTGCTTTGCCAAAAGAAGGACATTTGATACTATGCTTTTCACAGCAGTAATAGTGTCCTGCCTAGATTGTTCATGAAGTACTTGCTGGTTCTCTTCAATGAAACGGACTATATCACTCTCATTGATGGGCAAGTCGTCATTGGAGTGCAAGTTGCAAAACAAAACCAGCCTATTGATATCACAGGCTAGCTTCTGATGAGTTGCAGCCTGTAAACAAGAGCTCAAAGGTCTTCTTTTCATGGAACAACCCAACGGCCTTTTTACACCACTAGTTCTTCTGAAAACACCTAATGCAGGTAAGTAACTCAAATAGACATCCATGGCATGCTCGAACGCCAGCAAATTCATGTTCAGATCCCCATTGTCAGCACATCTGCACGCCAGCAGTAAGAAATGAGCCTGGACAGCAGGCGGAATAGAGAGCAAGCAGCTCTTGTGGAGCAGGGAAAGAGCTCCTGAAAGGCCAATTTCTGGAACTTCCAACTTAGCCTTCGCTGACCATGATAGTGCGCTCAAAAACCCCTCCTCGTCTTGCACAGATGAAATGAAGTGATGCGACATGAGCTCCATGACGAAAAGGTTGCCACCACTGCACACCGAACCCAGAGAGGTGATTCTTGAGCGTCTCGGCATAACAGCATTGGCCGCAGTAAAGCAAGTCATCAGTTGGTTGCTAGATACAAGATTGTCCAGGAACACCTACAACATATAAACCAAACAAGAAATTAACAAAAATACCTCTCTATCCGTTGTCACGGATGAGCTCTCACCTAACTATTCATAGGGGAAAAAGTTATTTACGCCGGTAAGGGGAAATTTTCAGTTGTCCCCTGAGCATCACATTCTGATTCCGGAATTGAGAGCAAAAAAAACAACCCAATGGTGACGAAGCGAACGGAGCGCGTACCTCGAGGGCGGGGAGCAGTGAGGGGTCGAGGTCGCGGCAGAGGATGCCGCGGAGGGAGGCGAGCAGGCGGGTGCAGCGGCGTAACGCCAGCTCCGCGTCGGCGGAGAGAGGCAGCGACAGGAGGCAGAGGCGGAGGAGCGTGGGGAGGTCGGCGGGTGGCGGGCCGGAGGCGGAGGAGAGGTCCCGCCGGGAGAGCTCGTCGAAGGCGAGGCCGGACAGGCGCCGGAAGCCCTCCAGCTCACCGGCGTCGGCCATTGCCGGGCCCCCCCGTAAACCCTAGGGTTTGATTTTTCGGGGATGACGGAGAAGCGGGGGGTTTGCGTCGGCGAAGAACGAGGGAGGCCTTCTTGGTGAGCGTTCGCAGTTGGGCCGTGCGTCGTGTGGGCTTCGCGGAAGGCCGGGCTCGTTTGGTTGTTTGCCGTTGTAAACCTTGCCAATTTTTTCACTTTACTACTAGCAATGATGTTCGTGTGTTGCAACTTTACTATACTAGCAAAGATGTTGATGTGTTGCAACAGGTGAATTCAATTTTAGTAATTGTATATGTAGATACTTTCCATTTTCTTCCACCGTGCATTTATCACACTTTGCTCTCACTCTACATTTTCTAGCTATTCTGCAATTTACACAGTCTTTTGCCTTGTTCATTAACAAAGAAAATCTCATCACTTAAGCCACAAAGCTTCTGCAATATATATTTTGATAAAACCTATTTTGCAACCCATAATACTGCCCTCATATTAGAATACTTCGAACATACTCCCTCCATCCCAAAAAAAAGATAAACCCTAGATTTCCGTGTCCAACGTTTGACTGTCCGTCTTATATGAAAATTTTTATAATTAGTATTTTTATTATTGTTAGATGATAAAATATGATTAATATTTTATGTGTGACTTGTCTTTTTATTTTTTTCATAATTTTTTTAAATAAAACGAACAATCAAACTTTAAACACAAAAACCAGTGTTTTTTTTGTACAGAGGGGAATTGCTCCTCTAGAGAATTTTGAGCTGGCGTGGCCACTTGCGCGAGCCGACGCGTCATCGGCGCTGGAATCTTGGGGGATTTCACGAGCGCAGGTGCGGCCGCGTCGACACTGGTTATTTTGCAAAAAAACCCTTAAACTAATTGATAATTTGTTTTAGGTTCCTGTCCTACAGTTTCTATGTTCTACGTTGTTACGTGCAGGACCTCTACAAAACGAAATATTCTGACTAAAGAAGCGAAAAATCAGAAAACAAGACCGCGCTCGAAAACATGGAAAGTAAGGGTTTTTTCCGCAAAACTTGCAACCCTATCCCAGCCCTCCACCCCACGAAAACCTAGCCGCCACCGTTCCCTCGCACCTCTCTTCTCGCTCGCTCTCCCCTAGACCACACCGCCGCCGCCTCCTCGCGCCCTCACCCCCCCGTGCCGCCGCCGCCGACCACTTTTCTCACACTTAGCCAAATCGTCGCACCTTCCCCTTGCCACCGCGGGGCCAGTTCCGGCGGAGGGTAGGCCATGCCCGCCGGATTCGGTAGCCACGACCTCCTTGCCGGCGGATCCGGTCACCCGGAGGCGAGGGTAGGGCTAGCACAGGAGGCTCATCGACAGTACGGCGGTGAGCTCCATGGGGAAATGCTCTGCTCCCCACCCTCATCTTTCTTCTTTCCAACACTGTGCTGGATTTGGCAAGATGAGTAATACGGTGCTGCACGGAAGCTTGAAGCCGCTCTGGCCGGCGACGGCATCAAGCAAGAATAGCATTGTACGCAGCCAAAAAGGTTTGTCTCCATGCATGTCCCTCTCCACATCCAAAGCCGTCCACGATTCATGTGTATCTGAGTCCCTTGCTATCGTTGCCGCCGGCAATAGATTGTTCTCATATGTGACGGTGACCAGTGGGCAGTGGCACAGACGATGTGTGGGCTGGCTGCCTGCTTGCCTCTTATCATTCCTTTCCCCTTTTTTTTCATGCTCTCTCTTTCTCCCTTTGTATGTGTGTTGCAGCCTTCCAGGCTCTCACTATCATGTATTTCTGAATTTGTGCAGGTTCTTGGCAAGTAACTCAAATTTCTTTTATCTTTCAGGATAAAAGTTTAAGAGGTATAAGAGGTTGGCTTTCTGTTTTGTTTCAACCTCTTTTACTGATTTATTGCATTCCTTAGATTTGGTCTTTAATTATGCATCTTTAGTTACTGAGATCCATAAATTTGTTTGCTTCATTCTTTTAGGTGGTCGACCATCTACAGTTGCTTTGCCTCTCACACAAGAGCCACCAATGAAGCTCCACAGCATAGCGGCAATTGCATACCAGTAGATGCTGCTGGTTTTGTTTGCCATCAGTCATCTTGATTACCTTGGTGCACATAGATATTATCTGTTTATTTAAAAAGAAAACTGAATTTGGATTCGGTGACTACCAAACAGGTGAATACTCGACTTGAATTGTTTATGTACAAAAAGTATTTGGCAATATGTTCTCCTGTAGTTTAGATAGGCTAGCAGTAGATGTTGCTGTTTTGTTTGCCATCAGACCTCTTGATTACCTTCATGCACATAGATATCATCTGTTTATTTAAAAGGAAACTGAATTTGGATTCAGTAGTACACTGGGATTTGGTGGCTACTGAACAGTTGAACACTAATCATGAATGTTTATGCTTGAAAAGTATTCTATCCTTCGGAGATTCTTATTGTTGGCCAGAGGATATAATTAGAAGACAATTGCTGATCCTTTGGAGATTCTTATTCTTTGGGAAGGAAGGTAGGGTTGTTCAACCCCAAACAGTTGCTGATCAGCTATACTGATCCCTTTTTCATGTTGCAAAACTTTTTATCCTATGCCTTCTTTTGCTCAATTGGCCTACAACCAAGGGATAAATAGAAATTACCACAGGATCTTCTTACAATGATGAAAATTTCATTTGTAATAATCATTTTACTACCTCAATAGGGGAAAAAACATAGGGCGAGCTTTTATAGGCTGAATGCGGAACTAATTCTGTGAGTAGATGAGGTTATGTGATAATTGAGTGTACTATTTGATGCTCTCTGTCTGCATTTTCTTTTATGCTTTCCAATTTTGTGCAGATAAATAACTGGCAAGAAATTGAAATGCCTCAGGATGGTACAAAACTAAGAGTAAGAACTTTGGATGCCAATACAACACTGTCAGCCTTTGGTCATGAAAACATTTGAGAATCAACTTAGACATTATCAGGTATGTCATTATTAGTACCATCAACATCCTGATTAACTCATCTTAATTAGCTGGAACTATAATACCTATATTTTTCTGAAATATGCTATTTCTGTTCTACAGAAGCAAATTATTGTTGTATAGTGTGTGCTTTCATTTGCTGTAAATCTTATAGGAGGGTTTGAAGTATATGATAAACAAAGTGGAACAACTTATGAATGTGATGCCTAATTGTTGTTGTTTTAACTAGGCAACAAACTCAGCAAATTCAGAGGCACACTTCAAATGATCTGGTAGAAATCCCCACCTTAAATCCTTAATACTGTGCAAACCACAACTATATTTAATCATCTGTTGCCCTTGTTTTTCTTATATCTACACATGGCAATGATGCTTCATGTTTATTTTCTGAAAATGCCAGCACCTAAGATTTTGAAGCACACAGCTAACAAAGTGGACATGCTAGGAGTGCAATAGAACAAAATGCAGTACACATGTATGCTGATTGCAGTGCTAGGAGTGCAATAGATTTTTTTACATGGGTGTTTTTTTTTTGAATGATGGATGTTAATTATTGAGGGATATGAATGAATTAGATGATATATACAAGGCGCGATGAATGAATTGAGGCCATCCTGATGTTGGGTTGCACAAGTAATATATTTCATTGGATTTATCTTTTTATTATGCACTATTTACAGTAGTTGGTCGGAGAGGAATGACTAGAGCTAGAAGACATTTTCACTTTTTTCCCTCTAAATATGGGCAACATGCCTTTAAACCAATTTTTTCTTCTTATTATTACTTGCTCATTCCTTATCTGCAAGTTCAGTTGGAATTTGGATTTGTTAATCTGCTTGAGTTGAATTTACAAAGCGATTCATATCTGGGTTGTTTTATATTTTGTTAAATGGACATGATGGCTGTTAGACTGACTGATAGCAATAACAACACTTCTTTGAAAATAAGAGGGGTAGACAAAGATAGTTCCTCCATCCTCCCTCTTGTTTCTTCCCCACGTGCAGTTGAGGCTAACGGTGATTTTTGACGGAAAACGCGATGGAGTGGCACGGTTCTAATTTCCCCAAATTCCAGTAGCATGTAGCCGATATCGTAAATAGTAGTAACATTTATCTAAAATGGCGTATTTGTAGTGGCATGGATCCAATTAACCCATATAAAAATGAGATCTGTTACTTTGTTTTCTAGATGCTACTGGCCACCCCCATATTTATCTTGCATGTGGCAATGAATAATGTATTGTATTGCATTTGTCCACAATTTGATCATGCAAAGTTATAAAAAGTGGTGTGGTGGTCTTGCCGAGGTGGGTTTCAAAGTTTCTATATCATTTTTTTATTGATGTGGTTCAAGTGTTAAAGTTGCTTGGATTTTTCATTGCTCAGAATTGTAGATTTTCATTAGTGAAAATTGCAAGTGACAAGTTTGGTTCTATTGGTCAATATAATATTTTTTTGTGATATTGTGCAAGATGTTAAGTCAAATCCGTGACTGTTATCTTGACTAGAAGCAAATTTATGCCACAAAATATAGTATTTATTGCTGAGATTGTAGGATTTATTTGTTATAAAATGTTCTTTTTTATCTTGTAATAAAATGTTACCAGCGTAACAGAAGAAAACTATCAGATTATGTTTTATAGGCTAAATGTTAAACTATTTTCGTTAGTATGGCATTTTTTTAATAATATTCTTAAGCCTAAACAAAAACTGGATTATATGTAAGCTATCTAATTATGAATGGCTTTGGTAAGTAATGTAGCATTCCTTCACTATTTATAATACCATCATTGAAGAGATGATCTTCTTTACGTTTTTTTTCTTTCATGTGCCCTTTACTACTAAAAAAGAATTGAAAGTACAACCTGAATAATTGGAGGGGATCTTACTTGACCAGTTGGCATGTCTCTACTTCACATTAGTGGGGATCTCACTTGGCTAATTGGCCAGTTGTCATGTATCTGCTTCACATTGGAGGGGATCTCACTTGGCCAATTGGCATGTCTCTGCTTCACTTCATTTCAGCTCCTCAGAAACGAGCAACCAAGTTCTTATTGCCCAGGGATGGCCAAGCTCTCCAAAAACAACTGATATAATGAAATATTCTTTCGTTCCTCCCACAAAGCTTCAGAGCTGGACTATCGCAAAAAAAAAAAAAAAACTTCAGAGCTGGAGGGTGAGGTTGCTGCCATGCAAAGCTGAAATTTCATTTTTGAATATTCCTACTGTACTATTCTGTTTTATAATCGTCGTGCTTTTGTTTGTAGAGTATGCTTAATTAGTCATAGAACCAGATTTACAGTATAAATTCGTGAAAGCAGCTGTAAGCTTTTTCATACTATTGCTTATTTTCAAAAAGGGTAAGTTTGTGCTTTAGTGCTTTAGCTAAACCACAAACTTGGTAGAAAATTAAATCTCAATTTACAATTGCATCTATGGCGTTTAACTCCATCTTGAGTGGACTGCTTTTATGCTATTATCAACATAAAAAATGGATCCATGAAAGGCCAAATTTCTATGTAAATTTTTGTGCTATTTATCCTGTCTTTTTTTTTTTTGCATTATTCATCCTGTCGAAATTCCTGCTGTACTATCCCTGTTGTCCAATTAGTCATAGATGTTTACAGAAGTTTGGACTGGACATACTATATTTTAAATTGAGATTTTATTTTCTATTAACATTGGATTGAATATTATAGAATTGGTACTCTTATGTCATAATGCATCTTTCTTCACTCTATTTACCAAAATAATCTTACTCTCCTTTTCGGAGGCCATTGGTGTAGCGTGCAAAGTGCGTGTTTGACTCTAGTATATAGTCAATAGCAACTCATACATATAGAGCTGTATTGATCGTGGAGATTCGATCTTCTTATGGAAGTAAAACAAATGTGCCCTTGATTGAAAGGACTCATGACTCATCAGTGTAAGAATGAACTGAAATACTAACAAAGTAGTAATCACAAGCCGCTCTTACCGAAGCTACACAAACTTGTTAGAGAAGGCCTACATAATCAGAAAAAAAACATGCGACACAAAATATTAGGTTTTTGCAATAATAAGCAAGTATTACCAAACCATATGCAAAAGTATCTAGGCATCCAATAACTTCACCGTATTTCTTTGACCTCAAATGCCCCAACTTCATGAATCGAATCCACTAACAGGGATTCACTGACCTCAAATGCACAGTATTTCACGAATAGAACCAAAATTCACTGTATTCAAATGCCCCGAATGGGGTTATTGGCTCCGTGAGATGAGCATGCAACATTGGTGTATGCGAGCGATCTGGAACATGGGCTTGGATGCAATCGATCATGAACTATGGACGCACGCGGGAGGCCAGGAGCTATCCAATCGATCTGGTGCTAGGCAGAGCCACGCGTCAATGAGGATGGTCGACACAAGTATCACGAAGCAAGGTCGACACAAGCATCATGAAGCAATTGGACTCACGCAATTGGACTCACGCGGGCCAGGTCATTGCGTTGGAAAGCGTAAACCTTGTGCTATTTGGACACAAACGACGGAAACATTACGGATATTTTAAGTAGGTAAAGATAAAGATATGGTAAAAATTAGAATTGCTAATTTCTTTTGCTCAGTTGAGTTTGGCCGCAAACCAAATATAACTTGGTTGAGTTTTATCTTTTGGATATATAATACGGTGGGGACTGTACCCCCTCCTTTTCTTGTCTCACGGTGGGATGAAAAAACAAGGTTATAATGTTATAGACGATCACTAGTGAAATATAAGTATATATTGTGAAAAACGATACGAAACTGTAAAATACTTGCGACAGTTTTCAAATCATTAACCATCGAATTTGCTTTGAGATTGGTGATAGGCAGAAGAAAATTCATGTACATGAATGGGCATGGGGAATATCGAACACTCGAGCTGTAGATGAATGGTACCACTGCACCAGCTCGTTTTATTTCATATACATATATAAATTACATTAAGTATAGTTACACTTTAATTATATTTGAAAGCTTTTCACAAAAAAACTGACAAATGCTATATTGGTACTCCTAAAAATAATCATAGAAATATGCAAAAGATATATTTCATCTCCACGCATAAAACATCGAATTTCTCCTCAATCTTAATCTCTACTAAACAACCTAAAGTTGCAAATAGAGAGAGCATGCTATCTTATCCCCTAAAGTTGCAAATAACTTCCCCCGAACAGGTAAGAGCTGATGAGTAGTTGCTTTACTGCGGCCAATGCTGTCAAGCCAAAACGCTCTAGGGTCACCAGTCACCTGGGGAGGAGGGGTATGGGTTCACAATTTTATCCATACCCATCTCATATTTAACTTGCCCATACTTAATGGGTGTGGGTATTACCTAATCGATTGGTGTTATACTGTCCAATTGGTATTGGTAACCTACATGTGGACCCACATATAGAAATAGCTCAAAATTACACAAAGTTATTTTTTATGCAATAAACCATTTCTAAACAAATTCAACCAAATTTGACAAGTTTTTATAGTGTGGATGCGAGTTTTAAAATTATGGGTCCGAGTTAGGTGGGTAATAATAAGTATAATCTCCCCTACGCAAAACTCAAATTAATGGGTAATTTCTTTTTACCCAGACCTAGGGATGAAAACGGATCGAAAAGAAACAAGCTCTACCATATTCACTTTTCGGAATTGGAATTGGAAACCCCGGATACGAAAAAGAAATACAATATTATCAAATATAGATATGGAGCAAAAATGAAATGGAATGAATACAATAAAGAATATTTGTCGGAAGATAAAGACCCCTCAAATTGAACTTCTCGAATCAAGATATATCGTTTGTTATTTTTCCTGGAATAATAGGTCATCATTTCCAAATTTTATATCATTTATTTTGTAGGTGATCCCAAACAGTACGTGAAAATCGGTTTTCATAGCCGTTCCCTTAAGAGAACTATTATCCACTTTCTAATCTATTGAATAAACCTAAGATATCTTCCTTTATGCATAATTACACATGGGAAGGAGGAGGAAAGGATGAGGCTGGTATAAGTGGACGTACAACAGCTGTGGGATGGGATTTTTATTCAGATAATGAGATAAAATTTTGATCTTTGCTCAGCGAGTTACAGTCAATTATTACAAAAATCCATTCGATGACGAATGACGAGCACACACCAAGTCAATAAAAGCACACCCAAATAACATGAAGCAAGCACAAATTAATATGCACCAACGCTAGATAAAGATCCCACAATTATTGAATCCTACTCCGTGTCGACGTTTGATGTCGCGACTACGGTATTTGGACAGTATGGGGATTGTTGGTACTAGAATATATGCGAGACTTAGGTAAAAGAGACGGAGACGAGGATTTTTATACAAGTTCGGGCCCCTAAATTGTCAGGTAATAACCCTACTCCTTTTGGCCGAAGCCGGTCGTTGCTCTTATTCACCATGATCACACCAGTACAATATTTGGGGTAGCCTATCTAACTGTTGTCGACTTGGCGGCTTGAAGTATCATCACTAGTCGACAATAGGGTAGTCTTCCTCCTCGAATCCGTGCCCGGCGAGATCAGAGACAATGCTATGTCTTTCCTGACAGTATCCGAAGACACCGTAGGGGACTAGCCATGCTTATTTTTGAAGTCGATATCCGGCGTCTTGTCTTGTCATATGTTGGCTTGTATGTTGATCTTGTGTCTTGATCTATTGTTCTGTGTCCCCTCTCCTTCTAGGGGGCCTTGTATTTATACCCGTAGGTGTCCCCTTCTCCAAGTAGAACTAGGGAAACCAATATGGATACAATTCGAGTAGTACTTATCGTTTCCATGTAGAACTCTATTCATCCTTCCTTATGCGGAACTCCTCTTATCTCCGAAGGTTGTTTCCGTATAAGACATGGTATGTGGTGGGTCCTGCCGAGATTTAGTCAACTACTATTAGGTATGTGATATCCGTAACTCTGACACTCCGTATTTGTGAATCTCCATCCGCAGTTGGTGAAAAGACTTTTCCTCGAAAAAAAAACTACCTTTTGTTTTGTTGGATACACTTGAAGGTTAATTTGTATTTTTGAATGTACATACCGGGCACTGTGACGGTGTGCCTCGGGGCAGTAACTCGCTTCGGATGTTCGAGCAGGACATTTAGTGATAGTGCAACACTGAGGATCGAACTTGTTTGAGTTTGATTTCCTCGCACAAGAAAAAAGGAAATTGTAGCGAATTTATTTCCCTTTTTCCGTTTCCATGAAATGGGTTGGCTTCTACTCCCTCCATCCCAAAATATTTGACGCCGTTACTTTTTTTAAAAATGTTTGGCCGTTCGTCTTATTAAAAAAAATTAAGTAATTATTAATTCTTTTCGTATCATTTGATTTATTGTTAAATATACTTTCATGTATACATATAGTTTTAAATATTTCATAAAAGTTTTTGAATAAGACGAACAGTCAAACATGTTTTTTAAAAAAGTCAATGGTGTCAAACAATTAGGGAAGGAGAAGGAGGGAGTATTAAAAATGGAGGCGAGCGAAGACCGCGGGGAACCAGCCGCATGCAGAGCAGCGACGACGGCATCCAGGGCGCGCGGCGTACGTACGCAGGAGCACATTTGGAGGAGAGGACGACCCCGACCTCCTCCCAGAAATAGCAGCCATCGCGGCCTTTATAAGCATCCACGCACGATCGATCGCCATTGCAGAGAGCTCGCAACCACAGGCTAATTTAATTAGCACCAGAAATATGGCTTCTTCCAAGATGACGCTGCTCCCCGTCCTCCTCCTCCTCGCCGCGGCCTCGCCGGCGGCGCTGGGCGCCTTCGACGTGAACCAGATGCTCGCCGACAAGTCCCAGTACGGGTCGTTCCTGAAGTTGCTGACGCAGACGAAGGTCGCGGAGGAGACGAACCGGCTCAAGTCGGCGTCGCTGCTGGTCCTCCAAGACAAGGCCATGAAGCCGATCACGTCGCTCCCCGCCGACAAGCAGCGGATGGCCATGGCCAACCACGTCCTCCTCAAGTACTTCGACCCCATCCAGCTGGGCGAGATGAAGGACCGCACCGCCATGCTCCCCACGCTGCTGTCCAACACCGACAAGAAGCTCGGCGTCGTCAACTACACCAAGGCCAGCGACGGGCAGATGTACCTGGGCGCCCCCGGCGCGGCCTGCGTCGCCAAGCTCGTCAAGGTCGTCGCCGCGCGCCCCTACGCCATCTCCATCATGGAGGTCAGCGAGGCCATCCTGCCGCCCGCGCTCGGTGGCAGCGGCGGCCCCGGCCGGCGCGCCAAGGGCGGCAAGGGAAAGGTCAAGCCGAAGTCCAGCGACGCCGACGAAGCCGCGGCCAAGCCCGCCACGGAGCCAAAGGCAACCGATGTCCCTAAGTAAGCCGGTGGCAAGGTCGACGCCGATCGACGCGCTCGTCCGTCCACGTACAAGTTTGGAATTGGATAGCGCAATAACCACGCACGGCTAGGCGTAATGTGTGACGACACGTACGGCGCATTACCAGTCTAGTATACCATCACCTTTGACCTGTACTGCTAATTTTCAGTTTAATTTGTATTCGATCAAGTACGTGAAATTGGGTCGAGTTCGATCGATCGGTTGTTTCATACGAACCGAGTTTTGTACTGCTACTAATTAATGTAATGGCTTATGGCTAATGCAAATATTTGCATGTATACGGCTGATCGATGTGCATATACTGCACATTATGTTCAAGAGAAAACCACAAATCGATCGTCCGATTCCTTAAATAAAAGCTAGCAGGTGTGTTTCACTTTACCAACGAGTTAAGCATTAGATTATAAATAGTGAAAAAAAATCAGCAATTAAAATATTTTAAAAAATTTGTGAAACGTGATGAAAACACTAAAACATGTCGCTATCACATACGTTTTAACAGTTTGAAACATATTTTTTTATTTCATTGGAATATAACTATATGATACATTTTTAAGATTTAATTGTAACAAATATAACAGTGTGATCGGATCATAGATCGGATAAGGAGTTTAGAAGAAGAAATATTATTTTGAAGATCACTATATACATGGTACATGAATGGAATGGAGAAAAAAAGGTAGTATGGAAGCAGAGAGTAAGAGTAGTGATTGTTTAAGTTTTGTAAAACATGGTGAAAACATATATTAAAACATATCGTTATAGTTCATGAAACATTAATGGTATAAAACATATTTTTTTATTAGAATATAATCATAGATATTATAAAGAATTAATTATAACAAATACATTGGTTTAATCGGATCGTAGTTCGGATAAGTAGTTTAAGAGAAAAAATATTTTATTAATTGATACATATATGTATTAGAGAGAACAGTAGTAGACATAGTTGTTGGAGGGCCCGATAAAGATTCGTAGCATCGGTAGACCTGTTGGTAGCATTCTCCCATTAAGCTTTGAACACGAGTAATTAAGATGTTTATTTTAAATGGAGATCTCGACTGCCAATCAAATACTTCCGTTCATTCGTCGGAATGCTAGGGCCAATAGGTGCCCAGCGTGCGTGCTCATCATCCCCTACGAGTAATAAGTCTATTTTGCGTCTCTCGTCTTTTGCCCTTGGTCAAATCGTTTCCTCAACCCCAAAATCAGGTATAACACCTCCTCAACATAAAAAGCCGGTGCAAAATCGAATCATTATTCAGTGATTTGGGAAGTAATTTTTGTTGATGTGGCGGGTTGACTTGGTCCATGATGAGGGAAGTTAGGTCCCGATCTTTCGATACCGAGCTTCTAAACGAACACGCTACTGAGCCCCGCAATCGTAGCACCACGTCTCCTCTAGTTATCAACCGTGTCGAAACCCGGTTGACCTCGCCGAGAAGGCTAATCCCTGTATGCGAATCGAAGAACACAAGCAAGAACAAGATAGATTGCAACACAATTGCATATGAATGATTAAGCACTCGAATTTGGGGTTCTACAAACCGATCTAGTAGCGAAACTGTTCTTCATAGAATAATCTAAGCAAAACCCTACTCTAAACGATGACAGCTATTGACTAAATATGATTAGGGACGTCTTAGGGTTGCCCTAGGGTGCACACCAACATGGGTTAAGCCCATGATACAATTACAAGGCCCAAAACCCAAATCAGATTCGGACTAGATTAGATACGTTGTTTGTTTTGCAGATTCCCGGCAGCTCGGTAGGAATTTTGATGTGGGACCAAAACCATCTGAAACTAGACTACATAACCTTTCCAACAAGTATTCATGGGCCCCGAAATTCCTTCTAGATCAGCGGCTAGGTCCATTTGAAGTTGATGCTGTTAGGAGGCCCAAATCCGAATCCAAAACATGTAAAACTTGATCTCTTGTCTTCTATGGATCAAAAGTGACGTGGTGAGATGGAAGTGGACTTGGAGAAGGTCTTGGTTTGGTCCCCAATCAACTTCTTTAATCATCCATGCATTCCTTACAATTGGTCTCTTTTCTTTCGCCCAAGCAAGTACCTCTGCAAACAAAAACACACGAAACTCATTGTGTAGCAACGTTTGTTCAAATATATAACATGTAAATCTAATATAGAATATATGCACCTTTGGTTGATTAATACATAAGGTAGTCATGGTTATATCCGAGCTAGTTGTGTCCTCATCATCCTCTTATTCTTTATTGGAAACAGTTCTCGGTTTCACTTTGTCATGGAGCGTATTGAACATACCGTTATCTATCACAACATCCAGGGAGGAGCATTTCTTGATGGTCATATGGTTGGATCCTGAAATCTTTGTAGTCGCAAAACCACAACATTCCCCTTCTTGCAAACCAACCTGTAACTCATTTAAACAACTGGAGGAACTGGTCCTCTAGACAATACATCTCATCATGAAAAGGAGGTATAGTCAAATTTGAATAAATATATACTCGATGCAAATTATATTTTCCTTTACTATCATAGTTGCCAATAACATGAAAAATCACATCAGAAAGACATGGCAATTCAAATCTAGCAAATAATTTCTTCTCTAAATAGTTTAGTGGACAAAGATCATCAAATTGAAAATAACCCCAAGTATTTAAAGAAGATAGCAATTTAAACTCTTCATGCTCGCTAGCAATGTGAAAATAACATGTTCAAACTCAACACATGGTGGCTCTACTATAGAACTAACATGTTCATTCACTAGTTGTGGCATGGATATAAGTGAAGCATCGCACAACTCCTTTATCACAAGAAACATCAAGCAAATTGTTTTGTGACAAAGGTATTTCAATAATTCTTTCCACTATGGGTTGCTCTAATGTAGCACAAGTAGTGGACATAGTTGGCACATCATAACTATGCAAACCTTGAGTAGTTGTAGATCCGTTATCATTACCTTTTTTCTCATCATCATTACCTTTTTTCTCATCTTTAGAAATTATAGGCGCTTGGTCAATTAAACATTCCTCAAGCATGTATGGAGCTATGGATAGGTCTTTTTGCTCTTCGTCTTTCTTCTCTTCCTCCTCATTACCTTGGTTGTTCTCATATGCCTGCAAAATATTAGTATCCAAAGCAATAGGCACAAAAATACATTTGTTTCATAATAACTCAGATTTAGTTAAAGGCATCGCAATATTAGTATCATTCCTGGTATCTATGAAAATCTCATCAATTCTATTCTTCATCCTTTCAAAACTATCTTTGAAAATTTTATCGATTCCATTCTTCATTCCTTCAAGATTATCTTTGAAAATTTCAGCAAAACTCAATGGTACCAATTTCATTTTTCGACCATTATCTCTAAATATGCATGTATTAGCAATATCATTATGCAAACCGTTATTATCATATATCCATGGTTGACCAAACAACAAAGAACATGCTTGCATAGGGACAAGATCAAAATTTGCAGTATCATGGTAATTTCCAATCGAAAAGTTTACTCTCACAATTCTATTTACCTTGAACTTACCACAAGAGTTGAACCATTTGATGTAATATGGATAAGGATGCGGTTGTGTAGGCAACTCAAGTTTCTCAACCAAATCTGAACTCACAAAGTTATTGCAACTCTCACTATCGATTATAACAACGACATGCTCTACCCTTTACCACAAACTTTGTTTCAAATAATTCGTGGTACTGCCATTGCTCCGCCTTCTCCATTTGAGAACTTAGAACTTGTTGCACCAAATTACTTTCATCATGTGCATCTGTAGAAGGTGATGTAGCAGCTATGGTTTGTCTCCCATCCAACTTTATCTCATGTCCATAAGATATTTAACCTACCATTGTCAGTAGAAAAGAGAGAACAACAGAACAGTATTGTTCCTATTAACTACAGAACATGGATTGTAGTGGAGGCTAGCAAATGGAAGCATTTTACCAAGCTCTTACAAGTGTCTTACTAGCAATGCTAAGGACGGAACAACCGGTGGCTAGTTCGTGACACCTTGAAGGACGTGATATTGCGATTACAAGGATCAAAGCGGTGCTGACCAGAAGTATATATGTGGAGATTGGGAGGCACAATATATAGTAGCAAGGAACACAATTGTGCTAATCAGAAAATGCAAAGTTGAATAATAGTTCAAAGTACTAGTCAATGTGCTGGCCTAGCCTAGACTCAACTCTACCTCAATCAAGCACCCGACAACACTAAGGACTATATATAAATCAATGCACAACTCCGCACTATGAAAACATACTCAAAGGATGAGTGATTTTTTTTCTTTTTTGGTGTGGCTTTTTTTAAGCACCTTTCTGCCTTTTTTTTTCTTTTTTTAGGTGTGGTTTTTTCTTTGCACCTTTCTGCCTTTTATTTCTTTCTTTATTTTTTACTATATTTTAAACAAGAACTGACCACTGACCTCGAACAGGGACTCGAATGTAAATATGAATATTAATCGAATGTAAATATGAATATTACAGGGACTAAAACACAAAGTGCAAAACTAAAATTGGATCACCTCAAAAATGGATTGCTCATATCATGTAGGTTCTATTTTTATAAAAATATCTCAAATCCGCTACTTAACAATTCTAGATAGAGAAAAATACGGAAAATCACCGATAGATCTGATCTGATCCGGAGTACTCCCCTCACGCGTGCGCACGGTACTCCCCACATGTGCACAGTAGTACGGCAACACATAAGCTCTAGAAATCGAGTAACTCCAAAACCGTTGGATAAAAATTTCTCCAAAATACAAAAACGGAAACCCGACGATGAGACGATTCAATTTTTCAAGGTCCCGCTAACAGCCGACGAGATGAAAAACTAGACCTAAAACTAACGTACAACTCACAGACTTGAGTGATGAACCCTAGACCTAAGTGATGAACAGATGCAATACTCAAAACTAAAAATTAAATCTAAAACTAAACCAGCACTCGACACGACGATGCAACCTAGAATTCAACAATGCAAAATCTTATAGAACAATGCAACGGCTCAAATTTTCTAGGTAATGAATAAATATTTTTGTGTGGCGATTTTCTGGTTATGGGAAGATAAATTAACTAACGGGAAACCACGCTCTGATACCAACTCAATTTTCTGGTCATGGGAAGATAAATTACCTAATGGGCAACCGCGATCTGATACCAACTGATGAGGAAAGTTAGGTCCCGATATTCCGATAGGTACTGATAAACAGTCGATTTGGGGGGAGTCGCGACACAACTTGATCCGGCTTCTGAACGAACACGCTACTAAGCCCCGCAA